GAATCCTAATAATAAGTCCAGTTCTAAATGTACATGTTGCAATGGAACTGACAGCCTGATCAACACCATAATATATTACTTAATTTATTTTAGATTACTTGTTAATTTAATCAATGATATGTACAATGAGTCTGTAGTATCCGTTATTAATAAGGCATCTAATTTTAATACATTAATATCTTTTTTCACCCGAATTTTCTTGGATCTTTCTTCATGTTTAAGAAAAAATTATCTACATGTAGATATATAAACCACGAGAGTCCGATACATATAAAAAAATAATTTTGAACCAAACTTTGAAAATTCATTTTAGAATGTATATATACATTCAAGAAAGGCTTTTTATGCAATTTCACACATACTATCGGCATAAACTTGCATGTACATGTACATACAAAATAAAGTCATGTATGAACGTCCAAGTGATCAATGGTGAATGATAGTCTTTTTTTGTAAAACATATTTAACACAGTTACAATACTTAATGTCAAAACAAAGGTTATAACAATATGAAATCTGACACTTCCAGGACTACATGATCAGTTTAATGTGCATATTTTTTAGTCCATTCTTCTGCATGTTTCCTGTACTTTTCTTTGTTTGTCTTGTACACATTTGCAATTTCTGGCACCAATGGATCATCAGGATTTGGATCTGTGAGTAATGAACAAATTGATAATAGTACTTTAGAAATAGTAAGTGCTGGTGACCACTGTGATCTAAGTATATCCAAACAAATGCTGCCATTACTGTTTATATTAGGGTGGTAAATTTTTGTTGTAAAGCTCAACTTAGGTGGCTTAAATGGATAGTCAGTAGGAAAGTGAATTGTCAAAAAGAATATTCCATCCTGATAAGGACTGTCCGGAGGTCCCATTATTGTAGCTTGCCAATGAAACAAATCATCTCCTACTGGACCTGCTGAACATTGTGCAGGAGGGTCTTTTCTAAGATCTTGAAGTTCTTTATTTATTCTTTTCAATGCCATTCCTGATTAAACACTTTTGTCAGTCCAATTCAGTTGTAAAAGAGCTTATGTTTTAACAGTGTTTCAATACCACGTTGTTTGAATGGACAGCAGAACTGTTGACTAAGTTAAGGATTGATGAAATCGAAAATGAAATTAATCACGAGCGGATGTGACGTCTGTTACTCGGTACTCCTCTAATGTTTATATTTTTCGATTGTATTTGACGTTTTCCTTGACATCGATATGGTATATCATCCTGATGACAAAGTTATCAAAGTTCACAAACTGACTCTCACTTTGTTTTAAAATGGATAGAAGTCGTCACATGTCCGTAAACAGCCCAGACGACGAAATACGAACTTTACTTTCATCATCAAATTCGGGGAATTTGCAGCAAAAAGAAGAAGGACCCTCTGCCTCAAGTCAGACAAGGCAAATATATCCACAAAAATATTATTTGTTTACACCCCACCCCACTCAAGTTTTCCTTTGTCAGCCTCTAAAAATGCTTTTTGAACACCAAATTTTATTAGCTATTGTGAAAAATTGCTTGAAAAAGTCAATCTGGAACTATTATACTATCAGGATATACCAGTCAATATATTATAGCTGAAGGAGTCAGGAGATGGGAATTTTGAATGGACCAATTCAAGCTCTTTTTTATGAATGAGTTATGCGGTTGACCAGAGGTCAATAGGAGTAAATGACGTCTGTCTGAGATTCGTAACAATTCATAAATAATCGTAGACAGACAATAGAGGACTAATTTTAGCATATAGAATATAATTAAATTTTTCCAAATTGCATATATATATACATGCATTGGTTTAATGATTTTCTTAACCATGTCAACATTATGATTTCAAGGAACTCATTTCATATGACTTAAAGGATTAATAAGATAAATTTTGTTTTTTAAAAAAGGCAGAAAATTGAATCTCTATAAAAAGTTGAGCATATAAGCAGGGTCTATTTTAATAGTAAAATCAATTCCTTAATCTTCTTAGTCAATAATTTTGGTTAATATAAGTTATAATTATCAATAAATTGCTGGAAACAATAAATAAAATTGTATAATTCTAACCTGTGTATTTTCTTCAATAAAATGTATTTATTCATCCCCCATTATATTTCTTTTTAACAGTATACACACTGTAAGGTATTTGTACATGTGTATATATAGTTACAGGAAATGTATTTTTCCAATGAAGAATGAACACCCATTTCAATAAAAACAGTTATTGAATGATTTTTCATTGTTGAAAAAGTGTATTTTCAATGCTTCTATCTGGAAAATACTGCATCTTCCCTCTTTCCATCAATAACAAAATCATTTAAATTGAAAAATGTTTATTAAAAATCAGTGCAACTTCTAAATTGAAATATAAAAAGAATTTTGCATCAATGTTGAGAAATTAATACATGTAATACATCTTACGGCAATAGAACAAAATATACATGAAGTAAGATTATAGAAATGAAAATTGCCCTCTGCCACCTTTTAACCATGTTAACCATTCATCTTTTTATTAAAAATCAATAAATAATTCTAAATTTAGGAAATAGAAAAAGAGTATTCCTATGTTTAAACATAGAAATACCCCCAAAAGCAACCATTTACAAGTAAATTTATGGAGACTATAAAATTATTTTGAACTCTCACTCTCTTTATCTATTGATTAAAGGTTGTATAAGAGAGGGACAGTCAAACTCATAGATCGAAAACTAACTGACAACGCCATGGCCAAAAATAAAAAGACAAACAGACAAATAATAGTACAGATGACACAACATAGAAAACTAAAGACTAAGGAACACGAACCCCACCAAAAACTGGGGGTGATCTCAGGTGCTCCGGAAGGGTAAGCAGATCCTGCTCCACATGTGGCACCCGTCGTGTTGCTTATGTTATTACAAATCCGGTATACTGTGTCTACCACCATACCTTAATGGAAGACTTCAAAAATATTATTTGAAGTTATGCAGCAGACATGGGGTCAATTACTTTTAAATGTAATTAATTACATTCAATTACAATTGCAAAATTTTCAATTAAATTACACATTACATTTGACTTTTTGACTTTTTTTACCAATGTAATTAATTACTTTCCAATTACTTGGCAAATGTAATTAATTACTTCAATTACTTTTGAAAGGAAAATTTAAATAAAATATTGAAACATGTATTTATTCTATGATATGTACATCTAGAGGTCTGGTTTAGTTTAATGCTCAAAATGATAAAAAAAACCTTATTCAATATTTTGAAAATATTAAATTTGGTTTTAATTACCTATTGAAATTTTAGATTTAAAAAAAAGAGAGCCCTAATTTTAATATTTTGAAATGATTTTTAATTTTGATCACAACTTTTTTTCTAAAAAAATGATTTAGAAAGCCTGACTTTTAAAAAAAAAATACTTTAGTTTGAATCACAATTAATAGATTTAAAAAAAATCATGTTTATCTCTCTCTAATTGGCTTAACACCTGTATAACATGCAAACATAACTGATGTAAAAACATTATATAGTTTATAATAAAACAAATAGCCAGAGGTTATATTTATTGATTGACTATGTCCTTTAAAGTTGATTATGTCAAAACAATAACTATATGAATATACATGGAGGTAACAAGCTTATTAAGGTATAAGACAGTAACTTACTAATGATTTCTTTTAAACACAAATTATGGCATGTTTCTACAATCATTTTTTTCTTCTTCTTTTTTATTTTTTGTTCACTCAATACAAAATAAAGTATCTCCCATGGTTGTGTAATTACGGAGAGTATACTGTGTAGGCTTTGCTTTGTCAGCTAACTACATTTACTAAGGTCATGACTTTTCATAATTTTTTGAGAAAACACAAGATTCAATCTTTCTGATCCAAAATTTCAAATGTAATTGAAAAGTAACTGTCAATTACAGACAACTTTGGCTATGTAATTCATTACTTTCAATTACTTGTAATTGAAAAAATGCTCAATTACACATTACATTCAATTACTTGAGAAATAGTAATTAATTACGGTCAATTACAATTACATTTTTCAATTACCCCATGTCTGTTATGCATACAATTCTTCCAATCTTTCCATAAGCATGATAAGTGAGGATTGATCTCAATCACTTTGATTGTCGGGAGTACCTCAAAAGACCTACACTTTTTACTCAAAATTTTGAGAGTTGACATAGGTTTCTAAAAATGAAAATAACTGGTAATTGTTGAAAATGGATGCAAGTTCATACAATTTATGTTCTAAGTTTAAATTCTTGTGTTGGTTGATTGACTTAAGATCTTCGTCCCTTGTTATCTTCTCTCTCTCTTTTAATAGACATCATGTCCAACCACAAATTAACATTTGGGCAAAAATCACTTTTCCAAAGTTTTGATGACTGTACATGTCATGAAATGTTTTACAGGAGTTTGTATATAAATGAAAAAAGTATTGAAAATAAGACTAAAAAAAACTAAAAAATGATTTAAAAATGACAGTTCAAACTAAGTTATCAAAAAAGAAGCACAGTTGACATTTCTAAATTGAAATAACACTTTGTTATGTTTATAAATTTTGTGCATCTAAAGTGCTTTCAGGATTTGCCTTCATCAGGAACGCTCAAACTCAAACATTTACAAGTTAAGAATGTATAAATAACTTAAAAAGTGAGAAGCTACATTGTATATCACCAAAAGGGACCTAAAAAGTATAACCAAATTCATCTACCGTCAACTTTGTGTATTACAGGTAGAACTTTTAAAAAATAGGAGATATGGTATGATTGTGAATAAGAACTATCTTCAAAAGTTTACTTAATTGTTGATTACTTAGCTTCATTTAATTAAAAAACAGTTCTGCTAGAATAAGATCTCATGTATAGACCTTTCATTACTTGAAAAGAGGTCTTCCAACAGCTGCTGCTTCGAATATAACATGTGTCAAGAAATTAATTAATGTAATATTTTACATTGCGAATGTTTAAGTCAGATTTGCTGAGTCGAATCACAGGCAATTGCCTCGCCTGATTTTCTTGCAAAAAAAAATTATAATAAGAAACAAAAAAGAAAACAGAAAAAGCTAGGCATGCAGGGTAGAAAACATCCTTGCATTTTCATATCAAGAATTAAGTAATGCAATTTACTTCGAATAGAAATTAGTGTTGACGTGCAGCTTCTGTACTTTTATTTAAACTACGTAAGGTATTGAACTCTGCCTGATTACTATCGCCAGTAAACTGGCATTTGGGTCTGCAACAAATTTATTTCTCAAAGAAAATGACTCTTGAACAATTTTGACTGTCAGAGATTTGAGTTGCCGGTCAGTTCTTGCTCATGTGAGAGATCTTTTTCTGCCCTTAGACATTTAAAGACATGGTGCAGGTCAACAATGACCGAGGACAGATTATGTGGTTTAGCCATGCTTCACGTCCATCTTAAGGACAATGTCAGGCAAGTGAACGCAGAAGCTGTTCTCAAACAATGGTATCTTAGTAACAAAGAAAGGTTGAACTAGCATTCACAGACAGTGACTAGGTTCCACTTTTTGGGCTTTATTAAAGCGTTGATAAAAAGTGAGTTATTTTTAATGAAGTGTTGACCAAACACACTTGTCCCGCTTTTAATACGACCGCAAAAAAAAAATTTTGCGGTCGTATATTGGTATGACGTTGGCAACATCGTCGTCGTCCGAACACACATTGGTTTTCACACTCTAACTTTAGTTGAAGTGAATGGATCTCTATGAAATTTTACCATAAGGTTCAATACCACAAAAGGAAGGTTGGGATTGATTTTGGGGGTTATGGTACCAACAGTTAAGGAATACGGGGCCAAAAATAAGCATTTTTGTAACTTCCAGACATAACTTGTGTGTTAGTGTATGGATCTCTCTGACATTGTACCACAAGGTTCCATATCACAAAGGGAATGCTGGGATTGATTTTGGGGGTAATTGCCTCAAAATTTTAGGAATTAGGGGCCAAAAAAGGGGCAAAAAACAAGCATTTTTCTAGTTTCATGAGAATAACTTGTGTGTAAGTGTATGGATCTTTCTGAAATTGTACTACATGGTTCCATATCACAAAGGGAAAGCTGGGTTTGAGTTTGGGGGTAATTGCCCAAAACATTTAGGAATAAGAGGCCAAAAATAAGCCTTTTTCTAGTTTCAAGACAATAACTTGTGTGCAAGTGTATGGATCTCTCTGAAATTGTACTGCAAGGTACCATACCACAAAGGGAAGGCTGGGATTGATTTTGGGGGTAATTGCCTCAAAATTTTTAGGAATTAGGGGCCAAAAAGGGTTAAAAAAACAAGCATTTTTGTCGAGCCTTCGTCTTTAGTCGAAAAAGCGAGAGATAGTGATCCTACATTCCGTCGTCATCTGCGGCGTCCACAAATATTCACTCTGTGGTTAAAGTTTTTATACGACCGCAAAAAAATTTTGCGGTCGTATATTGGTATGATGTTGGCTTCGTCATCGTCGTCATCAGAAGACACATTGGTTTTCGCACTCTAACTTTAGTTTAAGTGAATGGATCTCTATGAAATTTTACCATAAGGTTCAATACCACAAAAGGAAGGTGGGGATTGATTTTGGGGGTTATGGTACCAACAGTTAAGGAATTAGGGGCCAAAAATAAGCATTTTTGTAACTTCCAGACATAACTTGTGTGTTAGTGTATGGATCTCTCTGACATTGTACCACAAGGTTCCATATCACAAAGGGAATGCTGGGATTGATTTTGGGGGTAATTGCCCCCAAATTTTAGGAATTAGGGGCAAAAAAACAAGCATTTTTCTAGTTTCATGACAATAACTTGTGTGTAAGTGTATGGATCTCTCTGACATTGTACCACAAGGTTCCATATCACAAAGGGAATGCTGGGATTGATTTTGGGGGTAAATGCCTCAAAATTTTAGGAATTAGGGGCAAAAAAGGGGCAAAAAACAAGCATTTTTCTAGTTTCATGACAATAACTTTTTTGTGAGTGTATGGATCTTTATGAAATTGTACTACAAGGTTCCATATCACAAAGGGAAAGCTGGAATTGAGTTTGGGGGTAATTGCCCAAAACGTTTAGGAATAAGGGGCCAAAAATAAGCATTTTTCAGTTTCCAGACAATTACTTGTGTTCAAGTGTATGGATCTCTCTGAAATTGTACTGCAAGGTACCATACCACAAAGGAAAGGCTGGGATTGATTTTGGGGGTAATTGCCTCAAAGTTTTAGGAATTAGGGGCCATAAAGGGGCAAAAAAACAAGCATTTTTCTAGTTTCAGGACAATAACTTGTGTGTAAGTGTATTGATCTTTATGAAATTGTACTACAAAGTTCCATATCACAAAGGGAAAGCTGGGTTTGAGTTTGGGGGTAATTGCCATAAACGTTTAGGAATTTGGGGCCAAAAAGGGGCCAAAAAACAAGCATTTTTCTACTTTCCTGACAATAACTTGTGTTCAAGTGTATGGATCTCTCGGAAATTTTACTGCAAGGTACCATACCACAAAGGGAAGGCTGGGATTGAGTTTGGGGGTGATGAATCATAAGGGGGTTCAAAAAATTTGGGGGGGGGGATTTTTTTTCCTTTTTTTTCTTTAAAATTTTCCATTTTAAATTGGTTATTTCTGATTTATATATAAAAGCAAATAATAATGATATGGTTTGAATAGGTAAATTAAAAATTTTTAAGTTCTTAAACCACATTCATTCTATGTCAGAAACCTATGCTGTGTCAAATATTTAATTACAATCCAAATTCAGTGCTGTATCAAACTTGAATGTTGTGTCCATACTTGCCCCAACTGTTCAGGGTTCGACCTCTGCGGTCGTATCAAGCTGCGCCCCAGCGGAGCATTTTATTGACTAATAATTTTGAACAATAAATAAAGTTCATGAAATTTAAAAAGAAGGTACATTTTGCCTGTTTCTCAGATCAGATTAAGTACCTGTTTTGGTAATTCCTAAGTTCCAGGAACTAGTATGCTCTTATAAAGCTATGTTGATCTTTCAGTATTTTTTAATACAAGATACATTTGTAAGGTAGTGCTTTGACATGGAATGACTGTCACTTTATTTAAACTTAAGACAAAAGAGCAATGAATGCTTGAAATTGAAGAATTTTATCATTGAAAGTAATGGGGCAAAGTATTAGTGGTGTGCCTCCATAAGAAAATCAGTATTAATCTATATGGAATAGTGTGGATTTTCTATTACATGAGATGATTTTTTTATTCATCTTCAAATTTGAATAAAATGTAGCTGTTTGACATTGTATGTTACTTACATCCATCACGCTTTTTTTTTTATCAGATTGAATTAATTGCAAAATGAAAGAACTTTGTGGTTGCAGGGTTTTAATTTATGAGCTCATAGATCTTCTAGTTTCTAAATAAAATTGTTGATTTTTAAGTAGCACATTTTTCACTGTATATCTGTAACTAAAATATTTCATTTATTTTGATATATATTACAGATCAAAACAATTGCCCAAAAAGAATGACGAAGAAGAAGCATCACGACAAAGAATAAGGTAAATTTTCTAGACCACATAAAGGTTTGGCATGCATTCCTTGAAAATTTGTACCTTTCACTGCTTTCAGGAGTAATACCACCATTGTTTTGTCCCTATTAGTCTTTGTTAAATTGGCACTTTTCAAAAAATTGTGCAGAATTTATCTTTGTTTAAATTAAAGAAATATTTGGCATGAGTAAAGTTTTATCCTGTCCAGTACTACAGACAAAATTTCACATAACATTTCATTGCATATAATAGATAATAATCATCACTGGAAGTTAACCTATCAAATTTTCAGCCCTTTTTTTTTCCTGTTTACAAGCTTTCGTAACCATGTAACCTCAAGTTTCCAAAATATTTTATAGAAACACCAAATAAAAAAAGAATGGTGCTTTGAAACACCCAAGATATATATTTATGACCATGATGACTCAAGTAATTTTTTATTGCAATGAAATGTAGGATTAATTTTCTACACCAGTCAAATTCAAGGGAATATTTTTTTTCTATCCTTTTTCATATCACTGTTGACAAGCGGATGATGGTAACTGAAGTTGGGGAATCCCCGTAAGATCTTTCCCTCTTAATTTCTTTGTTTTTACATAAATGTGGCTAACATTACTCAGCCGTCGTTTGGTTATTAACATTTGCAATGAGTCTGTAAAATATTAACCTTAAACAGCTGTCCGTTACTGAAAAAATTGAACACAATAAAAATGCGATGATGATGGTAACTCCAAGATGGGATGATGGTAACTGTCGATCAAAATAGTTAGGAGATGATGGTAATTTTTATATTACTCGAAGTTTCTTTTCGATCATACAGTGTTTAACATCACTATACATGAAATGAAACACAATAACACATCTTAACTGAAACCACTATATTGGAGTATAGACCAATACTAGCGCAAGAGATAAAAATGTGTCAGGGAAACAAATTAAAATGTTTTGTAAAATGAAACATTCATTAATGCAACAATTTCACAAACAGTGTTGTAATACCAACTAAAAAACTATATATATATGCTTCAACAAAGAATCAAATAATTAAACAAATGAAAATTCAAAAGACTAAGCCTTAAACAGATTTTTAAGCAATTCCTGTTTCTTGTCAAAAATGAATAGATAGATATAGGAGTTTTATAAAAAAATACGTTTTAATTTGAGGTTATGAAGGATAAATCAAAAGTTAAACATATTTCAAGAAATGCTAGCCATAAGAGTATGGCTTCTTAGGTCATCACAATATGGGGTGGGGACTTTTTTCGGGACTCCGAGATTAGGCGGTTTTAAGCTCAGAATTTCGGGATTGATCCTTTTGGGATACGGGAATTCCTATTTCAAATTTCAGGATGTCGGGATTGAAATTTCTTTAAATTCGGGGCCTCTGAATTTTAAGCTTTTAAGCCCGGGATTTCGGGATCAGACCCCATGCTACCCCCCTCAATATAGTAGGTTTGGGAAACAGAAACAGGAAATAAACATATAATTGTTTTCGGCTTTAAAGTGAAACCAGAGAGGAATCTCTGGAAAACTTTTCATACCATTCAAACTTGTCAGACACATATCCTTTAAATCAACATCATATTAATTACAATTATTAGGCATATATGTCAGTTAAATTCGCAAATTCCTGAAACAAAATGTTAGCCCCCAATCATTTCATATATTTCATTTTCTAAAATCATTGCCGGAAAGGTATTTTTTTCCCTATTGATATCTCAAAATCATGTCCCCACACATCCTCATTTATCAAAGCATATAGTGAATAGAAGGAATCGTTTACAAGTTTTATGTTTTACAGAAGTAAAACAGAAATTCTAGATGTTCTGTAATGAATATATTAAAAGCAATTATCAATTTTAAGGACTTTAATGGTGCAAATAAATAATTTTAAAATGAGTGTAGACCAGTGTACAATATAAATTTTTTAACATCCCCCTTTTTAGCTCACCTGGCCCAAAGGGCCAAGTGAGCTTTTCTCATCACTTGGCGTCCGTCGTCGTCGTCCGTCGTCGTTACCTTTTTACAAAAATCTTCTCCTCTGAAACCACTGGGCCAAATTTTACCAAACTTGGCCACAATCATCATTAGGGTATTTAGTTTAAAAAATGTGTCCGATGACCCAGCCAACCAACCAAGATGGCCGCCATGGCTAAAAATAGAACATAGGGGTAAAATGTAGATTTTGGCTTATATCTCTGAAACCAAAGCATTTAGAGTAAATCTGACAATGGGTAAAACTGATTATCAGGTCAAGATCTATCTGCCCTGAAATTTTCAGACAAATCTGACAACCTGTTGTTGGGTTGATGCCCCTGAATTGGTAATTTTAAGGAAATTTTGCAGTTTTTGGTTATTATCTTGAATATTATTATAGATAGAGATAAACTGTAAACAGCAATAATGTTCAGCAAAGTAAGATCTACAAATAAGTTGTCATGACCAAAATTGTCAGTCGACCCCTTTAGGAGTTATTGCCCTTAATAGTCAATTTTGAACAATTTTTTGTAAATTTTTGTAATCTTTTACCAAAATCTTCTTCTCTGAAACTACTGAGACAAATTTAACCATACTTGGCCATAATCATTATTAGGGTATCTAGTTTAAAAAATTTGTCTGATGACCCCGCCTTCCAACCAACATGGCCGACTTGGTTAAAAATAGAACATAGGGGTTAAATGCAGTTTTTTGTCGAGCCTGCGACTTTTGTCGCAGAAAGCTCGACATAGGGATAGCGATCCGGCGGCGGCGGCTACGGCGGCGGCGGCGGCGGCGGCGTTAGCTAACTTCTAAAAAGCTTTATATTTTAGAAGGTGGAAGGTCTGGATGCTTCATACTTTGTATATGGATGCCTCATGTTACGAAGTTTCCGTCAGTTACATGTCCAATGTCCTTGACCTCATTTTCATGGTTCAGTGACTACTTGAAAAAAAAGTTCAGATTTTTTGTAATGTTAAATTCTCTCTTATTATAAGTAATAGGATAACTATATTTGGTATGTGCGTACCTTGCAAGGTCCTCATGCCCGTCAGACAGTTTTCACTTGACCTCGACCTCATTTCATGGATCAGTGAACAAGGTTAAGTTTTCGTGGTCAAGTCCATATCTCAGATACTATAAGCAATAGGTCTAGTATATTCGGTGTATGGAAGGACTGTAAGGTGTACATGTCCAACTGGCAGGTGTCATCTGACCTTGACCTCATTTTCATGGTTCAGTGGTTATAGTTAAGTTTTTGTGTTTTGGTCTGTTTTTCTTATACTGTATGCAATAGGTCTACTATATTTGGTGTATGGAATGATTGTAAGGTGTACATGTCTAGCTGGCAGGTGTCATCTGACCTTGACCTCATTTTCATGGTTCAGTGGTCAAAGTTAAGTTTTTGAGTTTTGGTCTTTTTTTCTAATACTGCATGCAATAGGTCAGCTATATTTGGTGTATGGAATGATTGTAAGGTGTACATGTCTAGCTGGCAGGTGTCATCTTACCTTGACCTCATTTTCATGGTTCAGTGGTCAAAGTTAAGTTTTTGAGTTTTGGTCTTTTTTTCTAATACTATATGCAATAGTTCAACTATATTTGGTGTATGGAAATATTTTATGATCTATATGTCAGTCACGCAGGTTTTATTTGACCTTGACCTCATTTTCAAGGTTCATTGCTCAGTGTTAAGTTTTTGTGTTTTCGTCTGTGTTTCTTAAACTATAAGCAATAGGTCAACTATATTTGTTGTATGGAAGAATTGTTAGCTGTACATGTCTGCCTAGCATGGTTCATCTGACCTTGACCTCATTTTCATGGTTCATTGGTCAATGTTTAGTTTACTTGGTTAATGTTAAGTTTATGTGACAGTTGTAATAAAGCTTTATATTTAGGACTATCAACATAATATCAATGATTAGTAAAGAAGGCGAGACATTTCAGCGTGTGCACTCTTGTGGTTTATATCTCTGAAACTAAAGCATTTAGAGCAAATCTGACAGATGGCAAATATGTTCATCAGATTTAGATTTATCTGCCCTGAAATTATCAGACAAATCCGACAACCCGTTGTTGGGTTACTGCCCCTGAGTTAGTAATTTTACAAAAATTTTGCAGTTTTTGTCGAGCCTGCGACTTTTGTCGCAGAAAGCTCGACATAGGGATAGCGATCCGGCGGCGGCGGCTACGGCGGCGGCGGCGGCGGCGGCGTTAGCTCACTTCTTAAAAGCTTTATATTTTAGAAGGTGGAAGGTCTGGATGCTTCATACTTTGTATATGGATGCCTCATGTTACGAAGTTTCCGTCAGTCACATGTCCAATGTCCTTGACCTCATTTTCATGGTTCAGTGACTACTTGAAAAAAAAGTTCAGATTTTTTGTAATGTTAGATTCTCTCTTATTATAAGTAATAAGATAACTATATTTGGTATGTGCGTACCTTGCAAGGTCCTCATGCCCGTCAGACAGTTTTCACTTGACCTCGACCTCATTTCATGGATCAGTGAACAAGGTTAAGTTTTGGTGGTCAAGTCCATATCTCAGATACTATAAGCAATAGGTCTAGTATATTCGGTGTATGGAAGGACTGTAAGGTGTACATGTCCAACTGGCAGGTGTCATCTCACCTTGGCCTCATTTTCATGGTTCAGTGGTTATAGTTAAGTTTTTGTGTTTTGGTCTGTATTTCTTATACTGTATGCCATAGGTCTACTATATTTGGTGTATGGAATGATTGTAAGGTGTACATGTCTAGCGGGCAGGTGTCATCTGACCTTGACCTCATTTTCATGGTTCAGTGGTCAAAGTTAAGTTTTTGAGTTTTGGTCTTTTTTTCTAATACTATGTGCAATAGTTCAACTATATTTGGTATGTGCGTACCTTGCAAGGTCCTCATGCCCGTCAGACAGTTTTCACTTGACCTCGACCTCATTTCATGGATCAGTGAACAAGGTTAAGTTTTGGTGGTCAAGTCCATATCTCAGATACTATAAGCAATAGGTCTAGTATATTCGGTGTATGGAAGGACTGTAAGGTGTACATGTCCAACTGGCAGGTGTCATCTGACCTTGACCTCATTTTCATGGTTCAGTGGTTATAGTTAAGTTTTTGTGTTTTGGTCTGTTTTTCTTATACTGTATGCCATAGGTCTACTATATTTGGTGTATGGAATGATTGTAAGGTGTACATGTCTAGCGGGCAGGTGTCATCTGACCTTGACCTTATTTTCATGGTTCAGTGGTCAAAGTTAAGTTTTTGAGTTTTGGTCTTTTTTTCTAATACTATGTGCAATAGTTCAACTATATTTGGTATGTGCGTACCTTGCAAGGTCCTCATGCCCGTCAGACAGTTTTCACTTGACCTCAACCTCATTTCATGGATCAATGAACAAGGTTAAGTTTTGGTGGTCAAGTCCATATCTCAGATACTATTAGCAATAGGTCTAGTATATTCGGTGTATGGAAGGACTGTAAGGTGTACATGTCCAACTGGCAGGTGTCATCTGACCTTGACCTCATTTTCATGGTTCAGTGGTTATAGTTAACTTTTTGTGTTTTGGTCTGTTTTTCTTATACTGTATGCCATAGGTCTACTATATTTGGTGTATGGAATGATTGTAAGGTGTACATGTCTAGCAGGCAGGTGTCATCTGACCTTGACCTTATTTTCATGGTTCAGTGGTCAAAGTTAAGTTTTTGAGTTTTGGTCTTTTTTTCTAATACTATGTGCAATAGTTCAACTATATTTGGTATGTGCGTACCTTGCAAGGTCCTCATGCCCTTCAGACAGTTTTCACTTGACCTCGACCTCATTTCATGGATCAATGAACAAGGTTAAGTTTTGGTGGTCAAGTCCATATCTCAGATACTATAAGCAATAGGTCTAGTATATTTGGTGTATGGAAGGACTGTAAGGTGTACATGTCCAACTGGCAGGTGTCATCTGACCTTGACCTCATTTTCATGGTTCAGTGGTTATAGTTAAGTTTTTGTGTTTTGGTCTGTTTTTCTTATACTATATGCAATAGTTCAACTATATTTGGTGTATGGAAATATTTTATGATCTATTTGGCAGTCACGCAGGTTTTATTTGACCTTGACCTCATTTTCAAGGTTCATTGCTCAGTGTTAAGTTTTTGTGTTTTGGTCTGTTTTTCTTAAACTATAAGCAATAGGTCAACTCTATTTGTTGTATGGAAGAATTGTTAGCTGTACATGCCTGCCTAGCATGGTTCATCTGACCTTGACCTCATTTTCATGGTTCATTGGTCAATGTTTAGTTTACTTGGTTAATGTTAAGTTTATGTGACAGTTGTAATAAAGCTTTATATTTAGGACTATCAACATAATATCAATGATTAGTAAAGAAGGCGAGACATTTCAGCGTGTGCACTATTGTTTGTTATTGTCGAGCCTGCGACTTTTGTCGCAGAAAGCTCGACATAGGGATAGCGATCCGGCGGCGGCGGCGGCGTTAGCTAACTTCTTAAAAGCTTTATATTTTAGAAGCTAGAAGACCTGGATGCTTCATACTTTGTATATAGATGCCTTATGTTATGAAGTTTCCGTCTGTCATATGTCCATTGTCCTTGACCTCATTTTCATGGTTCAGTGACTACTTGAAAAAAAAGTCAACATTTTTTGTAATGTTAATTTCTTTCTTATTATAAGTAATAGGATAACTATATTTAGTATGTGCGTACCTTGCAAGGTCCTCATGCCCGTCAGACAATTTTCATTTGACCTCGACCTCATTTCATGGATCAGTGAACAAGGTTAAGTTTTCGTGGTCAAGTCCATATATCAGATACTATAAGCAGTAGGTCTACTATATTTGGTATATGGAATGATTGAAAGGTGTACATGTCCAACTGGTAGGTGTCATCTGACCTTGACCTCATTTTCATGGTTCAGTGGTCAAAGTTAAGTTTTTGAGTTTTGGTCTTTTTTTCTAATACTATATGCAATAGGTCAACTATATTTAGTATGTGCGTACCTTGCAAGGTCCTCATGCCCGTCAGACAATTTTCATTTGTCCTCGACCTCATTTCATGGATCAGTGAACAAGGTTAAGTTTTCGTGGTCAAGTCCATATATCAGATACTATAAGCAGTAGGGCTACTATATTTGGTATATGGAATGATTGTAAGGTGTACATGTCCAACTGGTAGGTGTCATCTGACCTTGACCTCATTTTCATGGTTCAGTGGTCAAAGTTAAGTTTTTGAGTTTTGGTTTTTTTTTCTAATACTATATGCAATAGGTCAACTATATTTAGTATGTGCGTACCTTGCAAGGTCCTCATGCCCGTCAGACAATTTTCATTTGTCCTCGACCTCATTTCATGGATCAGTGAACAAGGTTAAGTTTTCGTGGTCAAGTCCATATATCAGATACTATAAGCAGTAGGGCTACTATATTTGGTATATGGAATGATTGTAAGGTGTACATGTCCAACTGGTAGGTGTCATCTGACCTTGACCTCATTTTCATGGTTCAGTGGTCAAAGTTAAGTTTTTGAGTTTTGGTCTTTTTTTCTAATACTATATGCAATAGGTCAACTATATTTAGTATGTGCGTACCTTGCAAGGTCCTCATGCCCGTCAGACAATTTTCATTTGTCCTCGACCTCATTTCATGGATCAGTGAACAAGGTTAAGTTTTCGTGGTCAAGTCCATATATCAGATACTATAAGCAGTAGGGCTACTATATTTGGTATATGGAATGATTGTAAGGTGTACATGTCCAACTGGTAGGTGTCATCTGACCTTGACCTCATTTTCATGGTTCAGTGGTCAAAGTTAAGTTTTTGAGTTTTGGTCTTTTTTTCTAATACTATATGCAATAGGTCAACTATATTTAGTATGTGCGTACCTTGCAAGGTCCTCATGCCCGTCAGACAATTTTCATTTGTCCTCGACCTCATTTCATGGATCAGTGAACAAGGTTAAGTTTTCGTGGTCAAGTCCATATATCAGATACTATAAGCAGTAGGGCTACTATATTTGGTATATGGAATGATTGTAAGGTGTACATGTCCAACTGGTAGGTGTCATCTGACCTTGACCTCATTTTCATGGTTCAGTGGTCAAAGTTAAGTTTTTGAGTTTTGGTCTTTTTTTCTAATACTATATGCAATAGGTCAACTATATTTGGTGTATGGAAATATTTTATGATGTACATGTCAGTCTCGCAGGTTTTATTTGACCTTGACCTCATTTCCACGGATCATTTCTCAGTGTTTAGTTTTTGTGTTTTGGTCTGTTTTTCTTCAACTATAAGCAATAGATCAACTATATTTGTTGTATGGAAGGATTGTAAGGTGTATATGTCTGTCTGGCAGGTATCATCTGACCTTGACCTCATTTTCATGGTTCATTGGTCAATATTTAGTTTTCTTGGTTAAGACTGTTTCTTAGAAACTATAAGCAATAGGTCAACTATGTTTGGTTTATTGAATGATTGTAAGGTGTACATGTATTTCTCGTTTGGTTTATCTGACCTTGACCTCATTTTCTTGGATCATGTTAAGTTTATGTGTTACTTGTAGTAAAGCTTTCATTTAGGACTATCAACATAAAATCAATGGTTAGTAAAGAAGGCGAGACATTTCAGTGTGTGCACTCTTGTTATCTTAGATATCATTATAATATCTAATATTTAATACTATTAATTATGATTTTAACCTTATTTTACATGATTTCCAAAGCATCAGTAAATACAGGTGAGCGACACAGGCTCTTGAGAGGCTCTAGTTTATTGGAAAAATTGTCTTCCTTATGGTACAAATTGACAAAAAATGTTAAGTAAAAAAAGTACTAGCACCCCCTTTTTTTCTGAGAAACCCTGGCCAGCACACCCCTCCTTTTTCCACAGTGTCTAGATCTGCCCCTGATACCGCTACGTATTTCTCAACCTTGGGTCATTATATATTACGTAACGTAAATTAATCTAAGGCATTACGTTAGCGCGCATTACCATTACATTTGCGCACATACGTCATTACTTTTGCGCGCAGTTTTTGATAACATTTGCACGCATTTATTTGACAAGTAAATACAGGTAATAATACTTTACATATATCCATATATCACGGCTAAAATTGTACTTAGTTTGTCGTTTTATACAACCTTTTGGCAAGTTACCACCATCCCAGAAATCAGTTACCACGATCTTTCAAAAATAACATGAACAGTTACCATCATCAACGTACTTTTTTCACTCTCTATTTTCTAAGTAATGGACAACTGTTTAAGGTTGATATTTTACAGACTCATTGAAAATGTTAATAACCAAACAACGGCTGAGTAATATTAGCCACATTTATTTAAAAACAAAGAAATTAAGAGGGAAAGAACTTACGGGGATTCCCCTCCGCCATATTGGGATCGTGGTAACTTCAGTTACCATCATCAGCTTGTCAACAGTGCATATGAAACCAGAAGTGACGTACTATGATTTGGTAGTATATATATATAGCACCTTCAGCCACATAGATGCACACAAAGAAAATGATTTTAAGATAACTAGACCAGACCATTTTTAATTTCCAGTTAGTATCAATCTCTGAATTTTGATTTAGATAACCCATTAGTTTGTATCAATACACAAGATATAGATCATGTCAGTGTATCATATGTCATCAGATTAATTTTTTTGACATAATGCAAATAATTTGTAAAGATAAAATTATAAACAAAATTTTGAACTTGTGTGATAACCAATTTTCCATAATAGATAGTGAGAAATATCTATTATCATAATCTTATTATGGTTGCAAGGACAATATATAACTAAATATAAATTGCTGATTAACAGCAAAAATGGTGCATTATTTCATAGAGAGAAAATGAAACGGATAGTTTATACAATGTGAAATTTTCACAAAAGAGGAGAAATATGAGTGACAGGAGTGGTGAAGTTTGTCGGTAACTAATACTGTTTGATTTCACACATTGCTAATTTATCTGTTGATTTATTTACTTTGATAAAAATGAGGGTTCACAAATTTTGAATGTAATTTAAATTGCTGTGAAAAAACATTATCAATTAAATTTTGGTAGGAATTATCTGTATTTCAAGCTTTTAATTTAAATTAAACTGTACAATAGATATTTTACAGAATAATTTTATTTTTTCAGAATAAACCTCTTTCAAATTCGTTGCATTTCCATCAAAAACTTTGGTTTTAGTGAACATCATTCGTGCGTTTAGGGGCATTGTCACTTCCTTCCCATATTGAGCGAGCAGTTGAAAAAAATATGATGCTCTATTCCACGAATTATTCCGCAAATTAAATTCTTATAATTGATAATTAGCACTGCTGTCATTAGGGAATTATGATTAAGTACCTACGGAACAAACATTATTTCTAGTTTATCCTGCATAATGATGATCACAAAGACGCTTGCTGAACTTTAATAGTGCAAGGATACAGGCAGTCCACTCTATCTGCTAAATGACATCATAAACGTCTTTTTTTATAATGTTGATATTAACAGCTTAGCTTTTATATAAAAATTTATTTATAAATAGGAAAATATATTACTTTCAGACAACCTGTGAATTATGCATCTATCAATAATCCCAATCCAGGAAGTCATGAAGAAGAAAGAGTGTCTGCTGTTATCAGTAGATATAAATACTATAACAGACTGGCACCTCACGGCAGTAGCAACTTTGTATGTATTCATATATTTTTGTACGGGACAATAAAACAAATCAAATGAAATATAGAGGGAGTCCCTCTGGGTCACCCCGACCCCCTCCTGTTTGAGAACTTGTAAACGGTCGAGATCCCCACCTTGAAACCATATATATTCTTGTATGGGATAATAAAACAAATCAAATGAAATATAGGGGGAGTCCCTGGGCGTCACCGCCACCCCCTCCTGTTTGAGAACTTGTAAACGGTCGAGATCCCCACCTCTAAACCATATATATTCTTGTATGGGACAATAAAACAAAGCAAATGAAAATAGGGGGAGTTCCTGGGGGTCACCCCCACCCCATCCTGTTTGAGAACTTGAATACGGTCGAGATCCCCACCCCTAAACCATATATATTCTTGAATGGGACAATAAAACAAATCAAATGAAATATAGGGAGAGTTAACGGGGGTCACCCCCCCGCCCTCCTTCTTTTGAAAACTTTTAAACGGTCGAGATCCCCACCCCAAAACTATATATATTCTTGTACAGGACAATAAAACAAATCAAATGAAATATAGGGGGAGTCCCTGGGGGTCACCTCCACCCCATCCTGTTTGAGAACTTGTAAACGGTCGAGATCCCCACCCCAAAACCATATATATTTTTGTACGGGACAATAAAACAAATCAAATGAAATAAAGAGTCCCCTGAGAATCAACCCCCCCTTTTTTTTTGGTCGTATATTGGTATGACGTTGGCGTCGTCGTCGTCCGGCTTCGTCCGAAGACACATTGGTTTTCGCACTCTAACTTTAGTTTAAGTGAATGGATCTCCATGAAATTTTACCATAAGGTTCAATACCACGAAAGGAAGGTTGGGATTGATTTTGGGGGTTATGGTACCAACAGTTAAGGAATTAGGGGCCAAAAAGGGGCCAAAAATAAGCATTTTTGTTACTTCCAGACAATAACTTGTGTGTAATTGTATGGATCTCTCTGACATTGTACCACAAGGTTCCATATCACAAAGGGAAGGCTGTAATTGATTTTGGGGGTAATTGCCTCAAAATTTTAGGAATTAGGGGCCAAAAAAGGGGCAAAAAACAAGCATTTTTCTAGTTTCATGACAATAACTTGTGTGTAAGTGTTTGGATATTTCTGAAATTGTACTACAAGGTTCCATATCACAAAGGGAAAGCTGGAATTGAGTTTGGGGGTAATTGCCCGAAACGTTTAGGAATTGGGGGCCAAAAAGGGGCCAAAAAGGGGCCAAAAATAAGCATTTTTCTAGTTTCCAGACAATAACTTGTGTTCAAGTGTATGGATCTCTCTGAAATTGTACTGCAAGGTACCATACCACAAAGGGAAGGCTGGTATTGAGTTTGGGGGTGATGAATCATAAGGGGGTTCAAAAAATTTGGGAGGGGGGATTTTTTTTTTTTTCCTTTTTTTTTTCTTTTAAAATTTTCCATTTTAAGTTGGTTATTTCTGATTAATATTTAAAAGCAAATAATAATGATATGGTAGGAGATACACACCAAACAGGATGTGTAAATTATTATATAATAAGTATTGTGCAATAGCAAGAAATTTTCAATTGCACAGTATTGCACAATAGCAAGAAATCTTCAATTGCACAGTATTGCGCAATAGCAAGAAATCTTCAATTGCACAGTATTGCGCAATAGCAAGAAATATCCAATAGCACAATATTGCGCAATAGCAAGAAATTGTCAATTGTACAGTATTGCGCAATAGCAAGAAATATCCAATAGCACAATATTGCGCAATAGCAAGAAATTGTCAATTGTACAGTATTGCGCAATAGCAAGAAATATTCAATTGCACAGTATTGTGCAAAAGAAGATACTTCGTATAAAAATTGCTTATTTCTTGATCAATTTCAATGGGGTTTTATTCTTGAATTCTTGGGGTTCTTTAATATGCTGAATCTAACCGTGTATTAAGTTTTTGGATTTTGGGCCCCATTTTTAAATTGGTCCACATTGAGGTCCAAAGGGTCCAAAATTTAACTTTGTTTGATTTCATCAAAAATTGAATTATTGGGGTTCTTTGATAAATGCCGAATCTAACCGTGTATTTAGATTCTTAATTTTTGGTTCCGTTTTCAAATTGGTCTACATTAAGGTCCAAAGGGTCTAAAATTAAACTTAGTTTGATTTTAACAAAAATTGAATTTTTAGGGTTCTTTGATATGCTGAATCTAAACATGTATTTAGATTTTTGATTATGGGCCCAGTTTTCAAGTTGGTCCAAATCGGGGTCCAAAATTAAACTTTGTTTGATTTCAACAAAAATTGAATATATGGGGTTCTTTGATATGCTGAATCTAACCATGTATTTAGATTTTTGATTTTTGGGCCCCGTTATCAACTTTGTCCACATTGAGGTCAAAAGGGTCCAAAATTAAACTTTGTTTGATTTCATCAAAAATTGAATTCTTGGGGTTCTTTGATATGCTGAATCTAACCATGTATTTAGATTTTGGATATTGGACCATAATAGGTGAATGTCCAATTTAAAATTTTTAAGTTCTTAGACCACATTCATTCTGTGTCAGAAACCTATGCTGTGTCAAATATTTAATCACAATCCAAATTCAGAGCTGTATCAAGCTTGAATGTTGTGTCCATACTTGCCCCAACTGTTCAGGGTTCGACCTCTGCGGTCGTATCAAGCTGCGCCCTGCGGAGCATTTTATTGAGAACTTGTAAACAGTCGAGATCCCCACCCCTAAACCATATATATATTCCTGTTCATGATTTCAAGAAGATTTGAATGACATACAGAGTTAATCCCTAGGCGTCACTTATGCATATCACTTTACTAGACCAAACCAATTTGTACTGGACTTTGCCAAATGTCAGGCGACCGTAGGAATGACTAATTATGGGAGCTTTGTTTGGGAGACTTCGTAACAGCGTCCTGTTACAATTATTTCTTGTACATGTATTAAGTAAAAAATTTTAGAAGTCGGAAAAAACCGTTAACCACACAATCTAATAATCGTAGTCTGAGTTTGTTCAATATATAACAATTCAAACAAGAAAACTAACTGCTTAATTAGTAATAATACAATTTACTACAAACAAATATGAAGGACCTTAATTAATAAAAAATACTTAATCACAGGCCCTTTACATGGGATGGGCACAGAAAAAAAATAACAGAGCTTTCTGTAAATTTGATTATTTTAAATCTACAGTTTAAGGTTGCAATAGAAATTATCAAAATTTTACATGACAAACATATGAAAAAAGTGATTTTTGATAATTGCTGATGAGACAATGGTTTAGGGAAAAACACCAAAGCTGTGATTAAATACATATTTGAAATAATACACATCTACAACCTATTTGAAATAATACACATTTACAACCTATTTGAAGTAATACACATCTACAACCTATTTGAAATAATACACATCTGAGACTACTATAACACATGTGTGTTATAGTAGTCTCAGTACACATCTACAACCTATTTGAAATAATACACATCTACCGTTGCAAACTTTCCACAGGTGCTATCCAGCACTTTGATTGTGTTTTGGTCTGTTTTTCAATTACCATAAGCAATGGATCAACTATATTTGGTGTATGGAATAATTGTAAGGAATACATGTCTGTGTGACATTTTTATCTGACCTTGACCTCATTGTCATGGATCTTTAAAAAAGTTTATGTGATACTTGTAGTAAAACCTTTATCTTTAAGACTTTCAACATAAAATCAATGGTCTGTAAAACAGGCGAGACATTAAAGCATGTGCACTCTTGTTATGAAATTTATATTATAGGATTATATCAGCAATGTCTTTGATGAGTTCAAAAATCAGAGCCGATCAAGTATTTTTAAAAGAGTTGTACTCCTTGGAAATATTGATTATATGGAGAATTGCATTGTTAGCGCTCTCATGTGTTCTGTTCTTGAAATAATTTTATGAAACTTATATCATAGGTTCATATCAGCAATGTCTTTGATACTTTAGAAAAAATAAGTTCTGATCAAATATTTTTAAAGAGTTATGTCCCTTGGAAATATAATTATAATGGAAATCACATTGCATTTGCTCTAAAGCCTTCATTTCTCGAAGATATTAACAAAAAGTTTTAAAGAACAAAAAAAAGTGCTTTTTTTAGTTATTGCCCTTGTACCTTGGATAGATAAAATATGTGCAACGCAGGGGATATTGGAAGTCTGTTCTTTTATTTAAATATAAAAATCTCTGGTTTGATTCTTTTAAAAGCAGAAATGACATATTGTCATGTTTAAGGGACTTTACAGATTTGATTAATCATGGTATTATTGTATAGGACATACCTCTTAGTTATGCTCAACAACCTTATGTGTATTTGTAATATTTTTCAGCTTATGCCAGATCATGTTGTTCCTCAAGTATTTGTCAATTATGTTTTCAAACCAATTCCTGGAGAACAAAGTAGTATTGTTACAATGTAAGTTTTCAATATTTGTTTACCTTTTCTTAATCATAGTAGGTTTTTATATATTATTTAGTTCTATCTATAATTTCTTCAGAAATCTTTGGACCAGTTTGAAGCTTGATATGAATCATCTACAGGTTTGTAATATGTTGTCACCAGTTATTGCATCTTTAACAGCTTCTATATTTAGAACACTTGAATACAAAAAAAATGTTCTTTGTGTAGCTGATTAGTCTTCATAAACTGCAGTATGGTGTAATGATGGTATTATTGACACAACTAATAAATGGACATTGTAAACAAGTTAAACATATTCTGCCTTTGACATAGAAGTAAAAAACTATACCTTCAACAATAAGCAATATACATACCGCAAAGCCCCAATTTGAAAAATGTAAAAGAATTCAAATGAGAAAACTAATACATTTGTACCCTGATTTATGTACAAAACAATAAACAAAAATCAATACGAAATACAGCAGCAAACAGCAACCTCTGAATTTTAGGCTATTAGTTTAGCATAGCTATATATATGGGTTGGGACCCCAAAGTAAGAGAAAAAACCACATATTCTATGTATAAAACTACATAAATCAAAGCAAGCTTAAGAAAATAACATTGATCATTGGATGAATGATGTATTTTAACAGATTTTCACTATGGAACACAATGATGGGAACCTCACTTCTAAGTATGCCTTGGGCAATAAGACAGGTAAGATATATATGTTCCATATTTTTCCAAACTATCTAATATCATTTGCACTAAAATATAAACAAACAGATCTCAGTATTACAAAAACATTTCTGGTGCGTATTGTATTGAGATTTTTGAGTTGACTGTGCACAAATTGGACTCTAAATAAAGAGGGTTATCAACTACTGATTTTTACATTCCTATTGGTCAATTTGACCGAAAAGCCAAATTTTTGAACTACTAGTTTACATGAAGTCTTGTATCTTTGACATTTTTTACTTACAGATGTGGTTGAGGGCTCAAATTAATACTCGGAATACCAGCAACATGATACAATTTGCGCAAAACTTCTATCATTCAATATGTAATGTTGATTTGCTCCTTATTGACAAGAATATTTTCTGTGAAGAATGTTTTTATTTTTACTTTTGAATAGAATATTTTCACAGAATATTGTAAAGTAAATCATTGATTTAAAGAAACATATAACTTTTTTTTATGAATATGCTGTGTTTTTTTTTCCAAGAGTACTATTTAAACTATATGTAAAATATTTGATTCATAGAGTATCAGCATTATGACAAACTCTAAAAGCACTCAAAATTCGTGTTTCTTTATGTCAGTTTTTTTGGCGAAAGAGGTGAAAAAATCTAAAATGTCCTGAAATTGTTAGTTGAGTTGGAATAGCAGTAACAAAACTTTGTTTCTGTAGTGCTTGATTATGAGCATGTTGGACACCATATCGCTTAAATGAAGGAAAAGTTACATATCAATGAAAAGTACGAACATTTCTGTATTATTTTCTCATATATTTCCTTGAAAATAAAGGCATTTGCAAAAATGGCTTCCTAAGAGAAAAGAAGTTGGATGATGTTCTTCCCATTTTTTATTAACTTCCCGAGAAGTAGACTTACATACTTAAATTCCATGATTTTACCAATGGTTTCTGTGGCTCAGCGGAAAGATAAACAACCTGGCGACAGAAAGATCGCATGTTCTAACTTCATTGCCAGGGGTGACAAAATGATTTCCTATATTAATTGTAACTTGACTTAACTTTACTTTCAATTTCAAAAAAGACATCTGAAAAACACGCTCAAGTCATGTTAGAAAACTATATGCTTCTTTATTTATGAATTTATGAATTTCGGTGCCTTACATCCCCCCCCCCCCCCCCCTTTTTTTTGTTGATATGTTCTTACCCTGGGTGCTGAAACCATACCAGATTAACATTGTAAAGTCAGTGAAAATTCTTTTTTCACTTGGGGTTCGTGTGGATAGTAGAAAAGGTATTGTAATCGACTAGTTATGGATTTTTGATACTTGGTATATATAATATATGTCTACACATTGTTGAAAATTCTAAATATGGAAAAATAGATTTTTTTTTTTTACAATGGGGCCCAAATACCTGTGTTCTTTTGTATAGGACTCATTCTGTTTACAGTTTAAATTAATGCATTTTTTTTTTACAGATACTAGTGCAATTAATATGACTCTGACCAAAATTCTTCATAAATCCGTTATTTTTGTCTCACCTGCAAGGAAAGTCGCAGTATGCAAGACATAGTTATTACTATCTGGTGGCGGCGGCTGCATAAACAATTTGTTTAAAGCTTTATATTTTAGAAGGTAAAAGACCTGGAATGGCTGGATGCTTCATACCTTGTAGATACCTTATGTTATGAAGTTTCCGTCTGACATATGTCCATTGTCCTTGACCTCATTTTCATGGTTCAGCAACTGCTTGAAAAAAAATTGTTTGTCATGTGAATTTCTCACTTATGAGTAATCGAATAACTATATTTGGTATATGGGTTCCTTGCAATGTCTACATGTCTGTCAGATAGGGTTCACCTGACCTCAACCTCATTTCATGGGTCAGTGATCAAGGTTAAAGTTACGTGATTAGGTCTGTTTCTCAAATGCTATAAGCAGAAGGTCAACTTTATGTGGTGTATGGAATGATTGTAAAGGTCTGGCAGGTTTCATCTGACCTTGACCTCATTTTCATGGTTCATTGGTCAATGTTAAGTTTTTGTATTTTGATCTGTTTTTTATACGACATTTGGTTTCCGGACAATAACTTTAGTTTAAGTGTATGGATCTCTATGAAATTTAATCAAAAGGTTCAATACCACAAAAGGAAGGTTGGGATTATTTTTGGGGGTGATGGTCCCGTTACCATTTAGGCATTAAGGGCCAAAAAGGGGCCAAAACAAGCATTTTTCTAGTTTCAGGACAATAACTTGTGTATAAGTATTTTGATTGCTCTGAAATTGTATCACAAGGTTCAATACCACAAGTAAAAGGTTGGGATTCATTTTGGGGGTAATTGCCCAAACCGTTCAGGAATTAGGGGCCAAAAAGGGTCTAAAACAAGCATTTTTCTAGTTTTCAGACAATAACTTGTGTTTAAGTGTATGGATGTCTCTTAATTTGTACCACATTTTACAAAAAGAAAATTTCTTCAAAATAAATTTTTTTGGAAGGAGGGGGGGGGGGGGGGGTAAAATTATTTTGCTTATTCTTTGTATATAGTCTGAAAACAGATGTACTAAGTATTGCGCAACAGCACAGTGTATTGCACAACAGCAAGAAATCTTCAATTGAATATAAATTCTAATCATACAACCAATTTCAAGTTCTTTGACTACACCTATAATGTGTCAAATATTTAATTACAATCCAAATTCAGACTTGTATCAAGCTTGAATATTGTGTCCATATTTGCCCCAACTGTTCAGGGTTGGACCACAGCTGTCGTATCCAACTGCGCTCGGCGAAGCAGTTTATTAAGTACTATAAGCAATAGGTCAACTATATTTGGTGTATGGAATGATTGTTAGGTGTACATGTCTTTCTGGCAGATATCATTGGACTGTGACCTCATTTTTATGGTTCATTGGTCAATGTTAAGTTTTTCGGTTTTGGTCTGTTTTTCAATTGGGGCAATATGCACAATTGATTTTCCATAGGCGGTAATGGTAATGTTTTCTTCTGTAGCTCAGTCCATATCATAAACTTGGATATGTATGATGGCTCGTTTCGAAGCTGAGACATTTTCACATATGTGGTTAAATTTTCGGGGTAAGAAGTGAGATTCATTTTTCCGTAAATTAGCATACCCCGAAAATCCTTTCGTGATGCGGCTCCTTGTGGTATAAAAAAATTCCTTTTTTCACACAATTAGTTCTTTGAAAATTTAATACTTTGAATACATTTAATAACTCCATAGTTTTTACACATTTATTCTATGGTCCTCTACTTTACAAATCAACACAAATGGTTAAGCTCAGTCACTTGTTAAAAATAGAAACATGTCCAATATCACTACTCAGAGATTTTTTGTTTATACACAACTTTTGAGTTCCTCAATTTGAGGCGCATTAGGGATATTGACCCAATTACCATAACTAATAGGTCAACTATTATTTGTGTATGGAATAATTGTAAGGTGTACATGTCTGTCTGACATGATTTATCTGACCTTAACCTTGTTGTCATAGATCTTTAAAAATGTTAAGTTTATGTGACACTTTTAGTAAAACCTTTATCTTTTACACTTTCAACATAAAATCAATGGTCAGTAAAGCAGGCGAGACATTTCAGCGTGTGCACTCTTGTTTTTATGTTTTGAGCATCGATATTTCGATGCATGCATTGCTTTTGCACTAAAACTTTATCCTATTTGGTATCAAAAAAACCTGTATGATATCTTTTCACATTTTTTCAGGAAGTCACATTTTGAGAGATACCACATGACCAAGGAAAGGACTATTTTCTTGAAATTAAATTTTCTGGATATTCAATCAATTATCTTTCAAATGAGTGCAAGTTGGCCTTTGTTTGAGCTTCTGTTAAAATGTTCAATACGATTGAAATTGGACAGCGTTTATTCAGGTAGAAAACGGCAAAAGTCCTTGGATGTTTAAGGGTTAAATTATAGGCTCAAAAAACAAGAGCTGGAAGTGATATCGATGGTATTTAAATATTGAAGCTATATTCTATATAATGTGAGGACTATTTTAAAATCAAAGGTGTCACCCATTGCTTTATTGAAGGATAAGCAATTTCTTAGTAGCTCTGATTGATTTGAAACTTACTTAAAACAGGAAGGACTCGACAGTCACTGCAACACACTAATAAAAACACTAAATTCAAGTGCTATGTGCATAAATGATACCTTGAATAATGCTGCTTATATTGTAAATTTCAATGTCAGACAACAACAAAAATATTTTGCCCTATCAGATTCATTGAAAAAAGTCTTTTTTTAATTTCATTCTTTGCCCCTCATCTGAAAAATGGAAGAACAATTATTTTTTTTGGTGTGACCTTAACACACAAATGTGGTCTCTACATTTTAGTTGTCTTTTCATACATCTGGAATTTCTGATGCCAAAAGGTTCTTTTTCTTTACTAAATTATGTCTACTTCATATGGCTGCTGCATTTGTACTTCATATGAAAGGGATCAAAATTAAAACTGTAATGCATTTTACATGTTTCATTAAATGCAATAATTTATGAAATAAATATGAATTTTGATGCATAGAGTTGTGGGGAGAAATAAGGTGGTGTTGTATGACAAAAGGCTGTATTACTATTATTTATACAGATGAGTTTTTGGGTTTCAGTTTTGTTTGGATTTATGGCATATGGAAAACATCTTAAAGTTTGTGATTAGGTCAGTTTTATGGGAACCACTTATTTTTAGTCAATGATATTTGGTATGCAATTGTATTAGCATTAGCATATCTACTTTGCAAGATTTTTTGGCCATGCACCTCCAGTCATGATTCATTGACTTTGAATGATTAATGTCAAAGTATTGCCATTGATTTTAACTTTGGCATTTTATTATCAAAATTGCAAATTGTGAAACATATCTCTGTGTCAACGGTTTATGTTTATACACGTTTGATGTTGCTTTAGTTGAAAATTAATACTTAGATGAGATTGGAATCTTTTTAAAATTGGCAGCTATGACAGAACGGGAATAAGCCTTTTGAATTTATCTCAAGGGTCATTCTTTACTGTCTCATGTTTATTTATTATTTAACAAATGAATGCACATACAATATCTTATGGAAAATGGTGAAGAAATTCTTTGGTTTTCAGTATATTACTAGTAAATTTTCTATAAATTGCATAATTTTCTCTGACATTTTGATTTATATGGAATTATTAAAGAGGATTCCAATGTAATATTCGTGAATTAAAAAGAAAGTACATTATTGTCGAGCCTGTGACTAATGTCGCAGAAAGCTCGTCATAGGGATAGTGATCTGACAGAGGTGGCCACGGCGCCGTTAACTAACAACTTAAAAGCTTAATATTTCAGAAGGTAGAAGACCTGGATGCTTCATACTTTGTATATAGATGCCTTATGTTATGAAGTTTCCGTCTGTCATATGTCCTTTGTCATTGACCTCATTTTCATGGTTCAGTGAGTACTTGAAAAAAAGTTAAGATTTTTTTGTAATGTTAATTTCTCTCTAATTATGAGTAATAGGATAACTATATTTGGTATGTGCGTACCTTGCACAGATCCTCATGCCTGTCAGACTGTTTTCACTTGACCTCAACCTCATTTCATGGATGAGTGAACAAGGTTAAGTTTTCGTGGTCAAGTCCATATCTCAGATACAATGAGCAATAGGTCTACTATATTTGGTATATGGAATGATAGTAAGGTGTACATGTCCAACTGGCAGGTGTCATCTTACCTTGACCTCATTTTCATGGTTCAGTGGTTAAAGTTTAGTTTTTGTGTTTTGGTCTGTTTTTCTAATACTGTATACAAAAGGTCAATTATATTTGGTGTATGAAAATATTTTAGGATGTACAAGTCAGTCTGGTAGGTTTTATTTGACCATGACCTCTTAAACCAAAACAATAGGTCAACTATAATTGGTGTATGGAATGATTGTAAGGTGCATAGGTCTGTCTGGCAGGTATCATATGACCTAGAACTCATTTTCATGGTTCATTGGTTAGTGTTAAGTTTTCCTGTTTAGGTTTGTTTGTTAGATACTATATGCAATAGGTCAACTATATTTGATCCATAGAATGATTGTAAGGTGTACATGTCTGTCTGGCAGGGTTCATCTGACCTTGACCTCATTTTCATGGTTCATTTGTCAATATAAAGTTTTAATGGTTTGGTCTGTTTCTTGTAAACTATAAGCAATCGGTCAAGTATATTCAGTGTATGGAATGATTGTAAGGTGTACAGGTATTATTGGTTTATCTGACCTTGACCTCATTTTCTTGGATCATGTTAAGTTTATGTGATACTTGTAGTAAAGTTTATATTTAGGACTATCAACATAAAATCAATTGTCAGTAAAGCAGGCGAGACATTTCAGCATGTGCACTCTTGTTTTTCTGTTATTTGAGATAATTTCTTTTTCAGGCTGGGTTTGCCACAGCTATTCCATTGTTAGTATTGATGGCAGGAATTAACCTTTATACTAGTTACAGAATACTAAAAACTTCACAAGAATATTGTAAGTAAATGTACAGTTCTACAAAATTGTTTTATCACTTCTTTTTTCTTATGTATTGTAAAGGAGAATGTGTGATAAGGCTACTGTCTTCTCCAATTCAATTAAAAAATCCAGAAGTATTATAAATCTATCCATAATTTTAACAGATATTCACAGAACATTAGTTTGTCAGATATTTATACTATTTATGTTTTTAAATTTTGTCTTGCATATTTGTGTCAGGCTTTCAAACTTCTTGCATTTGAGAAAAAAATGCCAAAAATAGCCCTTTTTAGAAAATGACGCAGTCAATTTTCTTTTACCATTGACCAGACTTCCAACCCGCATTCCGAACTCGGTTCCGTATTTTACTAACTTAAAGTGAATGTTAGTATGCTCATACTTTGGTAAAAGAAAGACAACTCCAGTGTTGCAAATGTACATTTAAAATAAAAGATGGTGTTGTCTCCCTTCAATATGTCTTGATGTGTACAAAATAGCGGTCATTAACCTTCGTGACCATCGGACAATTTTCAATCATATTGTTGGAAATACAACTGGAACAGAATTAAATTTGTAATTTTCATTCTTTAATTTCTTAACCTGTCATACCTGCCAACTTGCATGATTCAGGCTTGAAATACTCGATTTTAACCCCTTGTCACGATTGCACGATTGTCATGTAAAAACCTCTAAACCACGATTTTGTTAAACTCTACTGTTCACAATTCCTCAAACTTTTCCCAAGGGAGACAACTGTGATCAGCCAATCAAAATGGGAAGGTCTAAAACGCGGAAGTGGGAAAACATGGAAGGGTAAAATTGATATATTATAAGTGATTTCTCTAGAACTGCTTTAGATAAATTAACACTTGATAGATTTTAAAAGCTTATATGATATTCTATAAGTTAAAATTAAAAAAAAATAAATTTTTGATAATCATTATGACCAAAAAGTTGACCGGAAGCCTTGTTAAGCGTGACTGGCAATCCAATTTCGAATCTTTAAACTTAAATTCACGAAAAAACATATAACCTGGTCAAAATCTTTAAAACGATTTCTATAGACAATTTAATAACAAATAATATGGTATAAAAATAGAAGAAAAGGGCAAAATATTGACCGGCAACTTCCCTTGTATATATATGCAGAAGTCAAATTTTCAACTTTGGACTAAAAACTCTCCAACAATCATGGGAATCCATAAATAATCTCTGCATAATTTCTAAAGTCCATTTTATAAAAAATAAACTTACTTTAGTTTAGTTAAAATGAATTAAATGGAAAATGCCCAAATCTTGACCGGCAGCACCCTCTTATGGAAAAAAATTACTAAAACTTCTATAAAATTTCATAGTTCTCAAATTTTGTATGTAATAAAAACCCAAAGCAAGCAAATCTACTGGTAGCTCTTTCCAATCATTTTCCCTTTTTAAAACGGCATTCATACCTTCCGAAAGATTGTTTGTTATTCCAGAATAAGGATTAAACATACCGGGATATTTTTCAATTAACCATTTGCCAGAGTGAATTTGAATTGCTGAAGATATATATTTATCGAAATGTTCTAAAACTACGGGTGTCCATTTTGATGTTAATTTTAATTTCATTTCCAAAAATTATTCTTCACTTTCTGAATGCAACATTTGATTCAAATGATCTATATAGATTTTAATATTATCACTTTCCACTTTGCCTTTTAACCAAAATTTAAAATCTTCTTTTATATGATTCCAACAAAACATAATTGGACAGTTAGAAAAAGTATCTTGAATAGCCCTTTTTTAAACCGGGTTCTTGATCAATGACAAAAGGAATTTGTTGTCTTTCAAAAATTTAACCAAAACTTCATGCCATTTAGCGTGTTTACGTTCATGGATCAAAAATGCTAATGGTACAAGTGGCGTTTCATCAAATATGACATGTTTGAAAACTATCGATGATGCATAACAATCGCCAAGATTAAAAGTTGTGTCATAAACTAAGTAAACTTGGTCTTCAGATTTTAGCTCAATTATATCTTTAAATGCGTTTATGATTTCGGGGAGTGCGACAACAGCTAAAAGATCTGGATAGACTAAAACTTCAGAAACAAACCCATTTAACTGATGCGCCAAAAGTACTAAATTGTAGATGTCATCTTTTGATAAGGCTTTTTCTTGTCTCTCTTTACTTAAAATATTTTTTACCTGCTTAGTATTTTGGGGATTTGCTACGGCTTGGTGCGATCCGTCTACATCGTTTGTACAAATCATTTTTTTATAAACCTTATGCGGATTACCCTCTTTTTCTTTAATGATATCAATGACTGATGGCATAGTACGAACAAATTCCGTATCATGTTTACTATTTCCATGTGGCATTGATTGATATAAATCTTCGTCTCCTAAATAGTGAATGAGAGAATTTTAGTTCAAAGTTGAAATTTTGACTTCTTCATTTATATACAAGAGAGGCTTCCGGTCAAGATTTTGCCCTTTTTGTCTGATGTATTGATAATTATTTTTATATCATTTAATTTGTTATTAAATTGTCTTTAAAAACATGTTCAAGATTTTGACCGGGCTATATATTTTTTTGTGAATTTTAGTTCAAAGTTGAAATTTTGACTTCTTCATTTATATACAAGAGAGGCTTCCGGTCAAGATTTTGCCCTTTTCTTCTAATGTATTGCTAATTATTTTTATACCATATTATTTGTTATTAAATTGTCTATAGAAATCGTTTTTAAGATTTTGACCAGGTTATATGTTTTTTCGTGAATTTAAGTTTAAAGATTCGAAATTGGATTGCCAGAGTCACGCTTAACAAGGCTTCCGGTCACCTTTTTGGTCATAATGATTATCAAAAATTTTTTTTTTTTTAATTCAACTTATAGAATATCATATAAGCTTTCAAAATCCGTTTCAAGTGTTAATTTATCTTAAGCAGTTCCAGAGAAATTACTTATAATATCTCAATTTTACACTTCCGCGTTTTCCCACTTCCGCAGTTTAGACCCTCCCAATCAAAATCGTTGTTTCTCCTGATCTTTGGGTATTGTAAACTGCAAATGTGCTAAATTTTGAACTTGTTAGGAACTCAGAATATTGTAAAAACCGGTATCATGGCAGACCAATTTTCAATTACAAGAAGGTTCTTACACAGCTTAAGAAGTACATCATGACTGATTGACAAAGTTCAAAGATACAGTTCAACCATAAACATAATAAACAGTAGCTAATGGACAAATTTTACACTTATGGTAACAGATCATACATGTTGTCATTCTTGAAATTAAATTACCAAATCAATTAAAGTACAAAGTTCTATCTTTTAATTTTCACAAGGAATCAGATATATTTCCTTCTTTGTGCATATTTTTATATTTGAAAAGTCAACAATCACTCTAATATTCCTGTGACCAATAATCTGATAATCCACCTTACACCATGAAATTTTCTCTGAATGCAGACAAAACTCTGTAATTCTAATAGTTTTAAATCCTGGCAGCACCTGGCCACAACTCTTCTTTTTCCTGTGGTACCTGAAAACAATATACTGGTTTGGTATATTGTTGAGGTCTGAAAGTGACTTATAACTGCCAACAGCCACATTATTTGGACTCTGGTAGATAGTACACATTATTTGGACTCTGGTAAATAGTACATCAGACTGTTATCTCATTGGCAATCACACCCCATCTCCTTATTTTATTACTGGTCAATTATTTGAAATAAATGACTACGGTACTAAACATTAAATCATTTGAAAAAAAAATTTTGCAATAATTTATGTTGTCATTTTAAGATTTCAGTGTAGCTTGCTTACTACAGTCTCTTCACAATGAAATTAAGTTGTATAAATGGTGTCACTTTGTTTGTAATTGTGAAACTAGTATAACAATACTATTGTCTAAATCTACAGAAATTGATCATGTTTAGATAACTGAAATAACAATGTGATTATGTCACTAGGTCACCTGTAACTTATCTCTTGAATAAGGACTATGTTGGGTATAAGAGCTTTCTTACTACAGGCTCTTCATTATCATTTTGTTAAATAATTCTACAAATAAGGGAAACAAATTCACATATTACTTTGAATATTGTAGATTGTTCAGGTAGTCTTGAGCTATTTCTTTGTACAGCAGAACAACTAGTAGTTAATTTCACTTCACACACATATATATATATCTTGACAAACAAATAAAAACGCTATAGATTGTGGAAACAATTCATATCTATTCTATCAGTCACCCTACCTACCATAAACTGAAACGTCGCCTAAGATTCAGTAGGTAAATTAAGTAAAAATCAAGACTTGCATCAAAAATATCCCAATATGAGAGACAATGGCGTCATTTTTACTTAGAGCTTTCAGCTCTTTGATTTGATATCTTGTCGTAATATTTTGATATAAGTAACAGCTTTAACATAAATATATTTGAGTCAAGATGTATTATTCAAAGATGTTGATGAGAGAAAAATATCTACTTTAATACTCCAACTTTTCTATTTTGACATGCTCATAAGGACATTTCTGCACTACAGTGACAGACTATATCTTCAATAAAATTTTACAGATTTTTACAATTTCATGGGCCATCTTCCTACCACCTCCTTTTGTTTTCAGATGTGCATTCTTATCAATCTTATTTCTTTGCACAATTTTTCAATTTTTTTTTAATAGATTTCAAAAATTGTAATAGTAAAATTTGACTTAATTAATGATGCCTTGCCATGAAAGTAACTGAAACATATAGCTTTATCTTTACCCATCCTAAATTCCATATAGATACATACCTGTTCAGTAAGATTAAGATTAAGATTTTAATTTCAGTTTATTTTCTAAGAAATCTATGATCATGTATCAGATATATTTGTTTATATTGTACAACATGTCTTAGCAACATTCAACTCACATTGAGTGTATATGTAATGTTTGAATTACTGGTAAGGTGTTGTCTTCATTATTTAATAATCTGTAATGATACATGTAGATTCTACCACTGCATGGAGAGTGATAAGATATTTCTCCACTTGATACAGATAAATTTTCAAATTTAAAATGTGAGGCTCGCTGAGGGTTTTAAATGTTTAGAATTTAACAGTCTCGGGTGGAGAAATATTGTATTGCACAAGATTTGGTGGTAGAATCTGTTTCTGTAATGATTTTTAGACGATATGCAGATATTTAATCTTTCTTTTCCAATGATCTGCAAAAAAATGTATTTTAATGCCCCACCTACGATAGTAGAGGGGCATTTTGTTTTTAGCTCACCTGGCCCGAAGGGCCAAGTGAGCTTTTCTCATCACTTGGCGTCCGTCGTTAGCTTTTTACAAAAATCTTCTCCTCTGAAACCACTGGCCTAAATTTAACCAAACTTGGCCACAATCATCATTAGGGTATCTTGTTTAAAAAATATGTCCGATGACCCCGCCAACCTACCAAGATGGCCGCCATGGCTAAAAATAGAGCATAGGGGTAAAATGTAGATTTTGGCTAATATCTCTGAATCCAAAGCATTTAAAGTAAATCTGACATAGGGTAAAACTGATTATCAGGTCAAGATCTATCTGCCTTGAAATTTTCAGACAAATCTGACAACCTGTTGTTGGGTTGCTGCCCCTGAATTGGTAATTTTAAGGAAATTTTGCAGTTTTTGGTTATTATCTTGAATATTATTATAGATAGAGATAAACTGTAAACAGCATTAACGTTCAGCAAAGTAAGATCTACAAATAAGTCTCATGACCAAAATTGTCAGTCGACCCCTTTAGGAGTTATTGCCCTTAATAGTCAATTTTTAACAATTTTTCATAAATTTTTGTTATCTTTTACAAAAATCTTCTTCTCTGAAACTACTGAGACAAATTTAACCATACTTGGCCATAATCATTATTAGGGTATCTAGTTTAAAAAATTGTCCGATGACCCCGCCTTCCAACCATCATTGCCGACTTGGTTAAAAATAGAACATAGGGGTAAAATGCAGTTTTTTTGGTTTATATCTCTGAAACTAAAGCATTTAGAGCAAATCTTACAGGTGACATAAATGTTCATCAGATTGAGATTTATCTGCCTTGAAATTTTCAGACGAATCCGAAAACCCATTGTTGGGTTGCTGCCCTGAGTAAGTAATTTTACAAAAATTTTGCAGTTTTTTGTTATTATCTTAGATATCATTATAATATCTAATATCTAATACTATTAATTATGATTTTAACCTTATTTTACATGATTTCCAAAGCATCAGTAAATACAGGTGAGCGACACAGGCTCTTGAGAGCCTCTAGTTCGGTCTGCGTCTGTTCATTCTTCCGTCCGTTCATTTGTTCCTCTGTTCGTCTGTCTGTCCCGCTTCAGGTTAAAGTTTTTGGTCAAGGTAGTTTTTGATGAAGTTGAAGTCCAATCAACTTGAAACTTAGTACACATGTTCCCTATGATATGATCTTTATAATTTTAATGCCAAATTAGAGTTTTGACCCCAATTTCACGGTCCACTGAACATAGAAAATGATAGTGCGAGTGGGGCATCCATGTACTATGGACACATTCTTGTTTCTCTGTTACTTCATCAGGCATGGTCACCTTTTTTCATAACGTCTCAATAGGAAATTCAGAGAAAAACAAGAAAATTTGACATCATAGTTGAATTTTGACCAATGAAGAACTGAGATCAACACTAGTAATGTATGTTATTGGTAGATCTTGCAAAATGTTGCTTTCAGACACAATTGTGACAGTTTTAATTGATGATCAGAGAGCACCTCTGAAGTCTAAGCTATGGCTGTTTTGATATTACTATAACATTTGAGTTGTTTAGCTTGCTATTTAAGACTTCATTAGCTATCAAAATCAGCAATGAAACTACTGTTCTAATATATGCTTATTTATAAATATATCTATAATTAGGACAGAAGCTGAACATATGTTAGTTGGTTCATTATTTGACTTAAAGGAGATAAAATATTAAAAAAGATCACAGGATTTAACAAAATGTTGGACACAACATCAAACTGCAGCAACAAAACAACAACCAATGTATCCAAGGCAAAAATCACAAAAAGAAACAAAAAAAGAAAAAAGTTTCCTAGCTTGGTAAATGGACAAAGTGTTTTAAACAAGGAATTATTTGAATCTGAAATAATTTTGAATTCTGGAAAATTGATTAGAAATGTATGATGAAAACTAACCCAACTAAATAGGGTTAGCCATGCGTGCATGGCTAAGGTTAATTTTACTTTCACTATCATTTCAGTATGAACTAACTAACCCACCTTAGCCATGCACGCATGGCTAACCCTATTTAGTTGGGTTAGTTTTCATCATATATTTCTCATCAATTTTCCAGAATTCAAAATTATTCCAGATTCAAATAATTCCTTGTTTTTAGGGCATTTCTATTTCTTTAATCATGTATTCAAACATGCCCTTTATCATGTTTATCTATATGAAGTAAAAAACACAATGAAAATGTTTAAGTGTTAACATGGTTTGGAAAGTAAGAACAAAATAGAAGGGTAGCATATAGGTATGGTTTGTCAGTGAATAGTCATCTACAAATAATAAGCCTAAACATAGTAACAAAATCATTTCAGTTGTTTATATATTTTTTTTTTCAGTAAACACAATTGGTAATACAAAGTGTAAACAAACACAAAACATGCCAGCACAGTTTTATCCTTTGTACTCCCACCATTCATTCCTGCTTATTAAATTCTTCTGACATCAATTTCAGGAAAAGAAGGGTGGAATGGGGGCATTATTAAGAAATAATGTGATTCTTGCATAAAAATCATTCACAGGTATGGGCGAAATTTAAAAGGAAAAGTTTTTCATATATATTATGAATATTGATGGAGATTTGAATGGCAAAGGATGGCTTAATTTTAATTCTTTTTCTATAACAAAAAAAAAACATATTTTTGTCACATATTTGAATTAGTAGATTTTGAGTGCATGTAAAAAACCAAACAATTGTTTATGAAAAATGTGTTTTTCATGCAGACAATCATTGTGGAAAATTATTTAGTTGGTTCTGGCAAGCACTGTCAGGAAAACTAAGGTATATGAAAATCAAACAAAATTTATGTACTGCAGCTATAAATCTACAAAGATTTCAATGGCATCATACCTATGTTTCAATGTAACGTCATGGATTCTAAACTACCTTTTTTATATTGTATTATCTCATCTTTTAAAAAGACATAATTGAACATCTGTAAGTTAAAAGTTCAGTGAAAAGATAGAGTAAAGACAACCCTTGGCACACCCTGTCCTTTAATGCAGCCTACCAGCAAACACATGTGACTGATTCTTGCCATTGAATTAATAGATATAAAATGATTTGCATAAGCATTCAGACTTTTACTGTTTATGTCTTTTAAATTGTCCTTGTATTGTAAAATTGATAATTTATTTTATGTATCAGCTGTAAAGATCTATGTTTGCATTTTTAACCGGATTTCCTAAGAAAAGTATCGATTATTAATTTGGTGATGTACGGTGGGCAGCTGCCAAACAGTGTTTGTGCAATAACTTGAAAACTTTTTAACTAAATCTTTTCTAATTTAAATATGTTGTTTCCTGTGACTAAATGATCAATTACGATTTTCATGATTTTAGCTTTTATCGTTGATGAGTTATAGATCTTTAAGGAGCGAAAAGTGAAACTTACTAGAGCTCAGTCCATGGGATAACTTGAAAAAGCTTACCGGGGTAGATGAAAATCTTGTGATACTTTGAATGTTGTATGATTTTTCACGATTGTAGCTTTTATCAATTTTGAGGAGTAGACCTGCAAATATCATTTTCGTGCTGTCAATCTCTTGTTTCACATGTAAATTGGTAGTACTTAATATCGTATTTCCACCATAATATTAGTATGATCTTTAAGGTACCTTTAAGGTTTGTCAATGTCCATTAATTCTGATGCATGAATTCAAGTTTATTTCTGTTTTCTAACAATTTGGAAGTAAATTAAGTAGAAAATTAAAAATGTTTCTTCTATTAGTCATGTGTAAAAATCTTATTTTCTGTTTTATTGATTCTAATGAAACTCACAAAATATAAGTCTTTCAACTGTAATTAACATTTAAATTTTTCTTTTTTTCAGCTGTTGATGGACAGTTGGTAGAATTTTCTGATGTATGTAAACATTACTTAGGGAAGTGGGCACAGTATCTAGCTGTGGGTTCATCACTACTAACTCTACTTGGAGGTGCTATTGTTTATTGGATACTCATGTCAAACTTTCTCTACAATGTAGTTTTATTTATTTGGCGTAAGTATTGCCAGCAAGATCTAATGTACAATTTGCAGTAGTGTTTATTGTTGAATAGACATTCATGAGACAGTTAGTTTAAAAATGTATTAGCTTGAAAAGGGTTTCAGTAGTTCCTGCTTTCAAAAAAGTTTTTAATCCAATACTCAAGCACAAAACCTAAGGAAGAGACCGATTTCATTGAGCCGCAACTCCTCTGAAACCATACAAAGTCACAAATATTTGTGATATGACGTATAAATGTAGTGTTTTGTACTTCCTAAATTTGTCTTTGAAACAATCTTTTTTCCACAGAAAACGCCAATTTTTGAGAAAATATCCAAATTCAGAGACCATGTCTTATATGCTTTCGCGCATGCTCAGTCGATTTTTTTCCATTGTGTTACTCATTTTGATGCCTTTCGGTAATGTCAACGAATTTTACGTAGCTCATACGGTTATTGAGTTAAAGGGTAAAATACTACTGAAAATCACACTTTGCCACACGTTTCTTATGGTATTTAATATTTTTATTTTTCAACCGAGATGAATGGGGTCTTTTGCATTATGTTCCTCATTTTCATCTCTTTAAAGAAATAGAATTAAATGTATTAACCGTGTCCAAATCCTGACTGTGTCCACCTTATTACTGTGTCCCACTCTGTTTCAACACTTGCCCAATTTACCGCGATTTCGCGGGCATCTTCTAGTATGATTAAAAGGAAAGAGGTGTATATGCCAATGAGACAGCACAAACAAAAACAGAAAGAGACAACTTGATATCAACATGAATACAGTCTTAAACAATATACAAGTGTCTGTATCATATATACAAAAAAAAATCACTCGGCATATTGTTATACCTCCACTCTGGACCTTGTCTGTTCATTGTCCATTCATGCAACAATCAATTTTGTCACACATTTCTCAGGTACCATTGAACAGAATGACTTCATATTTATTTAGCAGCTTGGCAGTGATGAGTTGTAAAGTGTGAGCGCTTTTGTGATCTGTCAAACACTTACTTCCTTTTTGACGAAGGTGTAAAATTTATTTTGCTAAAGCGAGACATAGTGATCCTAGATTCTGTCGTCGGCATCGTCAACATTTAGGTTCAGTCTGTGGTTAAAGTTTTTTTTAGACATCAATAAATTTGTCAAACCTACATGGAGTTTTATGAAATTTGGACAGAAGCTTATTAATGACCAAAATACAGTATCCAGAGCAAAATTTTGAAAACATTTATTTTCACTTTTCTGTATTTTACTGATAAATGGACTTAATTTTTTTTATAGTTAACATTCAGATTTAGTCTAAGGTTAAAGTTTTTCAGTCACCAATAACTTTGTCAAACCTTCATGGAATTTTATGAAATGTGGACAGAAGCTTGTTTATGACCAAAAGACAGTATCCAGAGCGAAATTCTGAAAATATTTATTTTCATTTTTCCATATTTTCCTGATAAATGGACTTAGTTTTTTTATAGTTAACATTCAGATTTATTCTGAGGTAAAAGTTTTTTTTAGACATCAATAACTTTGTCAAACCTTCATGAAATTTTATGAAATTTGGACAGAACCTTGTTTATGTCAGACCAAAATGCAGTATCCAGAGTGAAATTTTCATTTTTCCATATGTTACTGATAAATGGACTTAGTTTTTTTTTATAGTTAACAAGTAGATACAGTCTTGGGTTAAAGTTTGATACACATCAATTACTTTATCAAACCTTAATAGAGTTTTATGAAACTTTGGCAGAAGCTTTTTAATGAGTTTTTGACATTTTAAATTTGTAAACCTTCATGGATTAATATGAAACTTGGACAAAAGCTACTCTTCAAGACCAATAAATAGCATCTAAAGAAAAATTACTGATAAATGGATTCACTTTTTCAGTCAACATTTCACTTTTACACTGACAGCAGCAATCACAGGCGATACACAGGGTTCCGCGAAACCCCTTACAAATTTTTTTCAGTACTTGAATTACCAGTGGTGGTATGTTGATCACAACAATACATGCAATTATGCTTATCAGGACAATGCATGCAACTTCTTTTTTGTTTCAAAGTTTTTTTGTCTCGCCTGTGACGAAAGTCGCAGTATGCAAGACATAGGTATTACAATCACAATACATGCAATTATGCTTATCAGGACAATGCATGCAACTTCTTTTTTGTTTCAAAGTTTTTTTGTCTCGCCTGCGACGAAAGTCGCAGTATGCAAGACATAGGTATTACAATCCAGTGGCAGTGACGAGGTAAACTATTTGTTTAAAGCTTTATATTTCAGAAGGTCGAATACCTGGAATCGCCATACCTTGTATGCAGATACCTTATGTTGCGCAGTTTCCATCTGTCATATATCCTTTGTCCTTGACCTCATTTTCATGATTCAGTGACTGCTTGAAAAAAAATTACAGTTTTATTGTTAAGTGAAATACTCATCTTTTAACGAGTAATAGGATAACTATATTTGGTATATGGGTTCCTTGCAACATCTACATGTCCGTCAGGTATGGTTCACCTGATCTCGACCTTATTTCATGGATCAGTAATCAAGGTTTACGTTAGGTGGTCAATTCCATTTCTCAGATACTATAAGCAATAGGTCATCTATATTTGGTGTATGGAATGATTGTAAGGTGTACATGTCTGACTGACAGGTTTCATCTGACCTTGACCTCAATTTCATGGTTCATTGGACAATGTTAAGTTTTTGTAGTTTGGTCCATTTCTCAGATACTATAAACAATAGGGCCACTGTATTTGGTGTATTGAATGATTGTCAGGTGTGTGTATATGTCCGTCTGGCAGGTTTCATTGGACCTCAACCTCATTTTCATGGTTCATTGGACTATTTTTTAGTTTTTGTGTTTTGGTCTATTTTTCAGATTTTATAAGGAATAGGTCAATTATATTCAGTGTATAGAACAATTGTAAGGTGTACATGTCTGTCTGGCAGGGATTATATGATCTTGACCTCATTTTCATGGTTCATTGGTCAATAATAAGTTTTCGTAATTTTGTCAGTTTATCAGATACTATAAGCAATAGGTCAACTATATTTGGTGTATGGAATGATTGTAAGGTGTACATGTCTGTCTGGCAGGGTTCATATGACCTTGACCTCATTTTCATGTTTCATTAGTCAATGTTAAGATTTTGTGGTTTGATCTGTTTCTCAGCTACTATTAGCAATAGGACCACTATACTTGGTGTATGGAATAACCTCATTTTCATAGAACATTGATAATGTTAAGTTTATGTGATACTTGTAGTAAACCTTCATACTATAGACTTTCAACATGAATTAAATTTCAGCATTTGCACTCTTGTTTAGTGAGGGATCTGAAAAATGATAAATTAATATACTGTATGGTTCATGCTCATTGTTTAAGACAAGCTGTTGACTCTAAAATAATCTTGTACACCATATCTCGACATGATTTCTTATAACAACAGTCATACTATTAAAAAGTACAAGATTCCATTATGTGCACTTTCTGTCTATGGTAAAGGTGAATCACAAACAACGGGCCAAACTAATTAAATAAGAAATAACTGAAACAGCCGATAGATACATGTTAATTAATTCTATTGGGTGATCAGTAAAATTCTTATATTTCTTTCATTGTTCAATTTGACAACACTTTTAAATGTGTAACAGTTTTCAAAGAAAAAAATAAACTTTATTTTGAAAACAGAAAATTCATAATCATGATGGTATTATACAGCTGTACTCCCTTTTATATTGTAAAGAATCAGTGTTATTGTGTGTGTTTAAAATTAAGATTTTCTGCATATTTGATTGGCCCATAAAAGCTTGTCATACCTTGGTCCGTATCAAGTGGTTTAATGATTAATTTCAGATAAAGCTGAACATGATTCTTCAACTGCTAGCAACATGAATATTTCAAATCCAGATATAGGTGAGGTATTCAAATAAACCACAAACTTTTATTGACTGTGTTTGAGGACAAGAGTAATTTTTTTTTACCAAAAGAAACATCTTCAAAGTATGAAGGTCAAACAGGACATATGTTTTAAGAGATCACACCATAAAAGTCTTCTTTAAATCTTATTTATTTTATTTTTAAAGCAGACCCAATGTAAATTAAACTTTGATTAGATGCTGCTTTATTCAGGAGAGTTGTAAACTCCTACTGGAATAGAAGCTTGATCTCCTGGTAACAAAACTGAAACTCTTCAGCACTACTTACTAAACTTTTAAAACTTGGAGAAACCATACAAACATTCAAATGATATTTTTTGTATTTAGAAAGATGTTGAGTTTGAAATAAAGTCCTTTATTGTAAACAACATTTACCCTGAAAATGAAATGGAAATTTATATATTTATGGATAAATCACAAATTTCAAATAACAGTCTATATAGTTGTCTTATTGTCAATCATACCACATCTCCTTATTTTTATATATGACCATTTCAGTTTCAGATTGTTTTTTTTATTACAGTATGCAATGTTCATCATCCAGATAAGAATCATACATCATCTATATATGGATCTCATACACATGAAGAACAATTTGATAAAATATGGAATGTATCTTATACAGTACCTTTCTTCTTAATACTCATCTTAGGACCTCTAGTCAACTTTAAATCTCCTACATTCTTCACAAAATTCAATGCTTTAGGTAAGTTAACGTATTATATACAAAGTTTTTTTTGGGGGGGAAAGGGGGTATATAGGTATTACCATGTCCGTCCGTCTACCCATGTGCCTTGTACAGACAACTCTTCCTAAACAGCTAGAGGAATATTGATGAAACTGTGGTCAATTGTAGAATACTGCCTTAGAATGTGCTTAACAAAATATGATCCTTGCCCAACATGGTAAAGGGGAGATAACCAAATTTTCCTTACAGTACTTCAGTATTGAAATATGTGGTAATAGTCTCTCACAAACACAAATCCTTCTAAAAGGCTAAACTTGTAATGATGACACTTGACACATATGTAGAATACTACCTGAGGATGTGCTTGAAGGAATATGGTCTCAGGCCACATATATATTCAGGAAAGAATTGAATGTACTTATTTCATTGTTGCAATATGTGGTAATAGTATTTCATGCATACAACTCCTCTTAAAGGGATTGAAGAATATTGATGAAACTGCACAAAGTTGTAGAAAACTACTTGAAGATTTGCTTAAAAGAATATGATCCCTGTCCAACATGTTCAAGAGGAGATTATCAAATTTACTTACTTCAGTATTGCAATACATGTACGTGGTAGTTTTCTCTCATAAGCACAACTCCTCCTAAACAGCTAGACGAGTATGGAAGAAATTTTACTCTGTATTAGAACACAACATTAGGATGTGCAGTAAGGAATATTCTGGCATGTGGCAGGTTCGCTTAACTCCCATCTTAATTGACTAGGATTGTCAGTTTTCCTACTGAAGGTCGTGGTTCTCTCTGGGCACTACAGCATCCTCCACTAATAAAAACTGACCAACATGAAATAGCACAATAGTACTGAAAGTGGCATTAAACACCAATCAATCAGTTTACATGGAACTGTAATGAAATAAAGTGGGTGTCAATTTTTGTGGGTTGCTGAAAAATTCATGGTAAATTTTATTTAAGTAAGATACTATTTAATCATATAGAAACTGAAATAGTTATAGAAAAGATTTTTCTCATAAAAAAGTGTAAAATGTATATTTAAACTTGGATTTAAAAAATATAAGTCTCTGTATTTACTTTTGAGAAATGTATGATGTAAAATACAATCATTTTGAACAAGGGGATATTGATATGATCTTAGAGGAGATTTTTTAGATGAACACCTTTCAGGAAATCAAAATATATATATAGAGGAGTAACCATTCTGGTTTATTGATATATAGTAAGAAAAGATCTTTTAAGCAGTTATAAGTCCAAGATAATATAATTTGACTTTACTGTAAGTGCTGCTGGCCTTCCTTTGCAATTGACACATTTATTTTTAGCTTTTAATCAAAACATTTACATTTCAGCTACCTTATCTGTGACATATTTGATATGCTTTGTCATAATAAATGCTGCAAAATGGGGTATAAATGTAGATTTCAGTGGAAATGAGCAGCAGATATTTTATGTCTCGGGTAAGCAAGTTCTATATATAGTACTGTTTATTGTTCTCTTCACATTCACAGATCAAATTCATAGTTAGTCACTTTAATACAGTGAGTAATCTTTCTTCCTAATTCAAACTCAAGAACAAGTTAATGGTAGATTAAACATTCTTTTTCTGAATTTCATGGCAAGTATGAGAGGAGATGGCCCACTTTATATATCTATAAATTCAGAATAAAATAAACGTTTAATTCTTATAGTTCCAGTCTGACAGAAATTTGTATTTAAGGGATATTTATATTTTTTTCCCAAAAATTCAGAAGAACACAAAACATTTCTGAATTTCCCAAAAATAAAGAATAAAATGCGCAGCAACATCGAAGTTGAAAAAATGTTACACTGGAAATTTTTTATTACCATTTTTCAATTTTACATCCTGGTTTAAAAATGAGTAAAGGAATTGTTCATAAGAAATAAATTCGTTATCCTGAGGCGCAGCCGAATGGGTGTATGAATTTTCAACAACGGTGTAAAATTCCGTACACCTCTGATTACACCAAGATAACTAATAAACCAGAAATAATATAGAAAAATAGTATGGAATCAATATCATATTGTATGCAACATGGAAATAAGGTTGGAATTACACATGTACTGTTGTCTAGATACAAGCTCTGCAATATGTTAGTCAGACATGGTAAGTATGATGTTAAGAGTACTAGCAGAGGATACAAAAGTCCACAAGAAAAGTCCTATTTTATTTTTTTGATCTGATTAGATTTGGGGTTCTACTAATGTAGAAGTGTAACACAAATGCTGATTTCAAGCCAAAGCAACCAGTCTTTACCAAAGGATATCCGATATGATACAATTATCTAGACAAGTAATGGAATCTACGTAGCTTGCCAGATCTTACACATGCATGCTGATCAGTACACTACTATTCCAAACAATTGTCATTCCAACCAATATATGAAAATAAAACAAACAAGAAAAGAATGGTATAAGAGTTAGTCATAAAATTCTTGAAATGCAAGACCAGACAATTCTCATATGTATAATTTTTCAGATTTTAAGGGAAGTTTTCCTGCATTGACTGGTATTGCAGCTTTAGCTTATTTTGTACAGAACTCTTGTGTATCAATAGTCAGAAATCAGAAATATCCTGAAAATAATGTAAGTATGGTGTCTAAGTTACTTTCATATAAGGCCAAAATAAATAAATAGTGTGTTTCCGGTTTCCCGACCCTACCTCCGTTTCTGACGCCGACCTTAAACATTTTATTGACAAAAATAAAATAAAATATTAAAAATCCGGATTTTTCGGTCTGTCCGGATTTGACTTTTCGTTTAGAAAACTACAGATCTTCAAAACCTTTGATAGCAATGACCAATAAAGATAAGTAAAGCGTTTCAAGAACCAAGATTTTAAATAAACAAGCATGGCTTTTTCACAACCGTGCAGCGTATTAGCTGTCAAATATGCGAAATGTGATCACATGGTTGCAAAATATAATGACATTAATTTCGGATAATTACGATATGATGAATCTTTTTAAAGAACACCATGATTGACCTATAGACGACAAAAATACGAAGTTAACGCATTTTGCCCAACTTCATTGCACAGGCAGTGTTCTCCCCAGGCACTTAAAGGACCGCAGCCTGCGATGTATAATTGTTGACCGTGGTGGTATCGGTCTTACCGCGATGTATAATTTTTTACCGTGGTGCTAAAATTTTCAGTAAAAAAAATCGTGAATCGGTAAAGTTTTAAGCGATTTGTTAAATCTTTTCCATGCGATAAAAATTCCAGGTGAAATTTGACCAGTTCAAACCAGTTTACCCAGATTGTTGACACCACATGATCGATTTACCTTATGAGGTTAACCTTGTTGATTGGATTTAATCATTGTAATTAACACTTGTTACATTATTCTTTTGTGTTTTAATTAGGAGTTCATAACTTTATGATCACTGATAACTATTTTATGGCTTCACTCACAACCCAAGCGCTGACCTGTGACAAGTCTGCAAATACTTTGTACACAAACAGTGTGACCCGATAGTTGCACACACGCCTGTACATTTTTTGTACATAATAAAGTTGGCTCATTAGTATAGTATAATATGTCTGATTAAACCCGCCGATGATGGCCAAAATTTTCTTTGATTATGACATAGTTAGTGCATGATGTCGGGTTTCAACTATAGTATCTGTGAAGGGGACGGACATATGTACATATCACATGACCCAGTTAGTTCACGTAGAATATTAAAGTTTATTTAATAAATAAAAATGTATGATCATGACTGTACTTTCAAACTGGATATCTATATCCACAATTAATGAATAACATAAGTAATCTTGCAAATTTTATCCATAAGCACATGTCAAATCTATTAATACCTGCTTCCTGTCATTTAGGTGGGAAAAATAGGGAGACTTTGTTGTTGACATTGAATATGGTTACTTATAGACCTAAGATAAATTTATAGATTTAGGAATTCTTTTTAAATGGATCATGACAAATAAAGATTTAGATTTCAGTGCAGTATTAAGTCTGTATCAATGTTTGATTATCACCAAAGACAAGAAAGGTTAATATTTACATGAAATCTATGGCAAAATGTTTTTAAATTTATGAAAAATTTCTTTTTTTTTTAAATTTAAGATAGAAACTGGTTCAAACAATAAATCATTATTTGTTCTTGTTATTTTATATCTCCTTATGACAAGAATCCTTTCAAATACAACAACTTTCTTTCTAGAAACTATAAAGTTTTTTTAAATTAAACATTTTTGGTCTCCTTTGAATGATATTTTATTTTTATTGATCATGGATTTTATAAAATATTTGATTACTTTAAATTTAGATGAATATTTTGTAATGAATCATGTTTTATTTATTTAAAAAAAATATTAAAGTATACAAACTGTTTATTGATTTACTTCTTTTTTTACCAATAATTTTCTGACTCAATGTCTACATAACACAGTACCACAGTGTTAAAACAAAACAAGAGACATACTGCAGTAACTAGAAATATACGCGACACAACTGATTGTATGAATCATTTCACCAAGCTGTCCACACGAGTTACCCTGGTGCTATCCAGAAATCCTGGGGAGAACACTTGACAGGTACAAGACAAGATTTTTTAAATATTTGTATATATAGTGAATAATGTATTCAGTATATATACATATATTAACAAAATCTCATTTTGTACCTGTGCTTCTTTGAACCAAAAGTCAGAATCGTTTCAGGTTGTACAGACTGTATCTAATTCTGTCGGTTAATTGACAAATAATTTAAGAGTAAAATGAGATCAATTTACTGCTAAAATCAATCCAGCTTTTGTTGTGAAAAATGCTCTTACGAATGTTGTAAAAAATTGTTCTTAGGGCAACATAAACGGCTGTTAATGCTTTTGAGCATTTGACAGTTTGAGTTCACGACGGCAAGGGGGCAGACAATGTGTAACGAGAAATAGAAAGCTTTCCCCAGTAGGCAGACATGGTGTATGATTCATGTTCATTTACAAATGAATCTGCCCCGACACCATGTCTACTTTTATTCTTTTATATTTTCTCTGGATGGTCCTTCAACAGTTTATACTAGAGAAGGAAAAAAAATCATGTCCTATTAATATCTACAATTTTTTTCCATAGATTTAATAAGACAAAGATTTCACTCTTCTCAAAACCTGGAATTTTAATATTGTCAGAACCCTCCTCTTCAAGATTAAATTCTGTCAAACATCAAAACACATCTATATATTAAATAAAAAGGGTGCAAGAGTATTACCCCTCGAAAAATCATAATAAGCCACTGCTTGGCATCGATTTGCAGTGTTTTTACTACTAAAAAAAAAGGGGGGGCGGGGGGGGTAGGAATCTGTTCCCACATGTATATCCTGTGTGTCATTTACATTGTTAGGTTCAACGAGGCCTAACATAATAATACCATGCCAGATTTTTCACTGCCATTTTTGCATTAAGATAATTAATCGACAAGAACATATTCCTATACTGATGGACTTTAAAAACGCAACACTAGATTATTCTTTTTTACTCCCATTTTCAAACAGGCAATTTATTGTAAAATAAATGTATAAAGATAACTTTTATTCATTTCTTAATTGTCTGAAAAAAAAGTTTGCAGTTCAAAAGATGAACTCATGATGTCATTTTTAAAGTTTAATTCATGTGGTATATGCACTGAAACCCTGGTTTTCTCCTTATCAATGGAACACCGTCGAAGGCAATGACTGCCTGCAACCAACGTCAAAATGATTGTCAGAAAGGTCAACCAATTTTGTGGGCATGTTTTGAGTTCTGTTTTGTACCTTTTGAATTTGCCTCTGCCCCATGCATTACAGTGTGTTTTAGCAATTAAGGGGTTTAAAATTAAGAGCTTCAAATATTTTTCTGCAGTCGATTCTTTGGCATTTCAGTGTATGGGAAACATTTTTGGCATGAATCTGTCTGCCATTGCATTCGTCGACTTGATTAGCAGTTGACGTTGCAGCCATAAATAAGTCTCGCAAAAGATGTTGCATAATCAAATTTTATTGACGTTGCGTCGTCACTTTATATTGATCTGGTCATGGATGGTCATCAACAAATCCTGTCTGCCTGTACCGTTGTTGTAAGGACAGTAAAAAGAGTTTCTGACGTGAAATTGTCTGAAAACAGCACGTTCACGTATTCCTGCCTGCAATATTCTTATGGCCTGATTCAGATTTTCACTGCTTAGTCTCAGCAATATGGAGATGCAACATTTGTTTAATGATTCAAGTGTGGGTACAGATTGAACGAATTGTTTCACCAAAAAAAATCCTTAAAAAATCATTTGTTGGTTTCAAATTTCGCATTGAGAAATTCGTGCGACTTCAATAATCCGATATGTTACATAACCTCAGGTACGTCAGGTATTGAATTTTTCTAACCATTAAGAAGTATGGTAAGAATGAATAGTTGTTATATGAGGATCAATCGTGGTTTGGTAAAAAAAGTTCACCAAAATGTGTGTTGCGTTTCTAAAGTCCGTCAGTATATTACGACCCATGAAATGCATAAAATTTGCATTAAAGTTTATTTTCATATTTCTTACACAGAACTTAAACAGAAAATTAAAAAAGCTGTAGATTTAAGTACTATTCTAAATATCAAAGAAGCATGCAAGACACATCAGATGATTTCATTTTGAACCTTTTTCTGCTGTTATCGATAGAAAAAAATAAAAAGTTTTTATAAAATAAAATGTTTTACCTACCTACCCTACCTAATTTTTTTCGAGGTGAAATAGGAAACACACTATTTATTTTGGCCTAAATAAAAACTGTATTGTCCCCCATCACAATGAGAAGGAGGGAAATAAATAAATTGAGTGGTTTTTTTCATCCATCCATCCATTCGTTTGTCATGTCCATCTATCCATCTGCCTTTCTGTGCCATTGTTCTACTCATTCATCAATCTCCCCCTGGAGTACACAATTCAGAGGTCTGTTGAGATTTGAGATAAGTTCTCATATATGGAATGATTTATAAATGATCGTAATATTTAGCAATGTTTAATCAATATTTTGTTTGGGAGATATGCTCCTGCAGTTTACATCTGATTTATTTGATCAGAGTGAAATATGGTAGAATAGCCTCTAAACATTTGAAATTTTAAACAAATTGTATAATTTACAGTTATTGTGAGGTAAAGGTAAACCTATTTTTTTTTCTTCTCAAAAACAATTTTAATTATGCTATGCTTGATCCTTTTTGCATGAATATTTGCTCCTTAAAAAAATTGGAAATTGCAACAATATCTTCATTTTTATAAGAATATCTCACAAAATATCTTTTCATTTTCTGTTCCCCCTAATAACTCTAGCATTTAATCATCAAGATGATTTTTTATGAGATTTCTTCATAAATCTATGCATAACCAGCATAATACTTCTTCGCTCGTCAATGAAAATAACATGTTATAGTTTTGCTTTTCTGTGTTAACCTTTAACACACAAAGCCAAAAAAATGAAAGCCAAGGATGTATAAGTACCAAAACATGCAAAGAGCTATATGATCAAAAGGGACCTAAGATAATAGCCAAATTCATCTACCATCTACATTGCATGAGGGAGTTGGAACCTTAGTTTCATAATATTGTCTAAATTTATCAACGGAGAATTTAACAAATAACCTGTTAGTACCTGTCATAACTGTTAACATGTTACATCTTCTGTATTTTGTAGATAAGAGATTTGATTATAGCCTATATATTAGTGGCCTTTACTTATATATTTGTTGGTGTTATGTTTTTTATAAGTTTTCCAATGGAAAAGGACTGCATTGAAGATGTAAGTAAAGAGATTTAAAACTATAGAAATATGCATAGTTGGATAACATTTATTTGCTCAAGTAACCGATAAATGTTAATGTTGACAAGATTTACTGGAGATTGTATGGTCTTATCAGTGTCTGACTTTAGTTGTATTTTAGGGTTGTTTTTTTTTAAGTCTTTAAAAGAATTCAGAGCTTGACATATTACTAGACACTGATCTTTTGTTGAATACTGCATGTCAATTTATAGATATTTTTGGTTGTTTTCATGGTTTTTAGGTTAAGTCACTGTCTTTATTTTATTTATGTGCTTCTTCCCCTTTTTATTGATAATACAAAAACAAAAATTTAACAACAAAAAAAACAAAAAAAAATACTGCTGTGTTTGGTATTCTAAATTCAAAAATAAAATATTTTGTTTATGATTTTTCTTTAGTTAATTAATATATAGAAAAAAATGTAAACCAATAATTTTGATAGCAGAGTTCAGTTTTAACATTCTTCAACACCTTTACCGTCCATTGTTACATAAACAGTAGCTATCTAAAAGATGTTATACCTTTTAGAGCTTCAATTGAAATTTGAAATGGACATTCACATGCACGTTTTATGGTTGACATAGCAGATGCTTCATTTAGTATTTTCCTCTTTTATTTGCAGAATTTATTAAACAATATGTCTGACACTTATGTCTTGGCATTTGTGGCAAGAATTAGCTTATTCTTCCAGATGATGTGTGTTTTCCCATTGTTATTGTATATATTTAGAGTACAACTTTTGTATACCATATACAACATGGTTTGGCCAGGGTAAGTTATTGTATACATTTATATTACAAAAAAAGCAAATAATCAAAAGTTGATGATCAATAACAGAACAACATGTTTTGCAATCATAAAAAAGTAAAAGAACTTTAAAAGATGTTAAACTTTTTGCGTGCACAATTGAAGTAGTGACTGTTTTTTTATTAATTTTTTTTTATTTAAAGGACAGTTAAAGTAGTCAACATAAAATTTATTACATAGGCCAAACCGAAAAAAAAGAATTTGTTCTTCAGAATTTTCAGAATAAAAAGGGGCAGAGCAAAATTAAAAAAAAAACATATCCATAAATCTTATGGGGTGAAACATTGAATAGGACAATATAATGAAAAAATTACACTTTTTAAAATTTTGTGCGTCTGAAATGCTATTCTAGATTTACCATTCATAAGGAATGCTCTAACCCAAACTTTTGAAACTAGGGATTTATAGATACATAGAAACGTTAGGAGCTTATGATCGAAACTGACCTTAAAGGAATAATCAAATTCACCTAAGGTCAACTTTGCCTGATGTATTTGGAACCTTAGTTTTTTAGTAATTTCTAAGCTGCATCATTAAGATTCCTAGGCATCCTTGCTTGTCATTAAAACATATTCCACTTAATGTTTAATTTTACTGTCGGTTTGTTGCAGTAACTTTAGAGCCCATTCTTTTTTTATGCCATTTTAAAATGTATCAGGGAGCTAGTAAGGAATTGTTTGTTTTTCTTTCCCAAAAGCAATGGATGATATTTTAGATTTTAAAACAGTCCTAAGAGTTATAAAGAACAGCTTCAATATTTGAATGTCATCCATATTACTTCCAGATTTTGTGTTTACAGTGGCCTATGATTTAACAGGGAAGTTTTTTAATCAAATCAAATGATGTTTATTGAACATGTTCAAAATAAAACATCATCTTTTATTGAAATAGACCATTTACTCCACATGTCAACAACAGCTCCCACACTGAACATAATTTGAATAATCAACAGCCAAAAATTTCTGGTTGCTTATGAATTTTGAACAACACACTAAACACATCTGAAGTCTACTTACGAAATATGGGAATTACCCTCTGTACTTTTAAATGTTGCCAAACAAAAGCAACAGTGTTGATAAAATTCACCTTTTTAGTCAAATTTGTATGTTGTCAACTAAAACATTTCTATTGGATATGTGCCAAAATCATTCTGGTAAAACTAACATCTGTAAATTTGCAGATTAACAAAAATAATTTCTGAACAAAAAATAAACCAAAAAAATGAAATCTGAAAATTTGAGGTAGTGTTTCTGAAGAACAAGATATCAATTTGGTGTGGCTTAACACACATTTTTCCATGTGATCTTCATCCATAACTTTTTACCCACAGCTATTTCCAATTATAAATCTTCTCTAAAACTAGAAGCAGAATGTAGTAATGTGCTTAATACATATCACTTTTAATCAATTACATCACAGATGTCCCTGTAAAGTTTTGTCATCACAAAAGAAAAGTGACTTCAATAGCGGAAGTCTGAAAAATGTCACAGATTTCTGAAATAGTGATTAGGTCTGTCGTCAACTGCAGCATTATTATATCTGTATATTACAATTGTGTCTATTCGTTTAGCTACTTCAATTTGCAATATTTTATTCTTATTTTATTTTTTATATTTTGTAGATTGCGCCATGTTTTGGTATTGAATGTGTGTATAATTGCAGTATGTGTGGTATTTGCAGTATTTCTACCTCATATAGGAAAAATTATAGGGTAAAATCATTTATACTAATCTAGCTAAGTTTTCTGAATTGTGACTTGCAAAGATGTATAATGTATTGAAGAAGTATTTGGTATATCATATTGTCACAAGTTTTATGGAATCAATCATTATGAAATATGGATTCCGTAGTCTTTTTCAAAGGGATTCCAAAGTTTGATACACATTACAACATATACAAGAATGGCATTACAGAGTCGAACATCCTCATAACTCTTGGCAGGTCATTTGGTCTCTGGTGATTAGTTGTCTCATCGGCAATCATACCACATCTTCTTATTTTTATATTGCATATGACCTAAACAATTAAGTTAGACTCAAATGATTAATGAAATTTTTAAAAATCAACTAGAGGCTCGAAACCACCTGGCATTTAAAAAAGTGGGGGTTTACTGTTTTACCTCTGTCTGTCCGTCCGTCCGTCCCATGAATATTTTTCGTCGCATTTTTCTCAGGAACTACATCATAAGGATTTCTGAAATTTGGTTTCAGGGTTTATATGAGTCAGCTATACCGTGTGATGAGTTTTCAGAGTCATCACTCATCAACTTCCTGTTTACCGAAATATTTGGGCAGGGGTATCATCAGTGAGCAGTAGCTCGCAGTTTCACTTGTTTTTTAATCTTGTGGAAATTTGAATTATTTTATAATTTCCATAATTTTCCAGGATTAATAAACACCAGAACAAATGTGTGCATTCTTTCATTTAGACATTTGTTCAATACTTATTTACATTAGCCTTGTACAAAAGATTTATGCATAGTGAAATATAAAAAAATAATAGTTATGAATAAACTGTTCATTTATTTATTTTTTGACACTGATATTTGATATTCCATCCAGTATTCCAGTTTCATTTTGACATAATTTTTAAATATTTTCCTAAATCTATTAACTTTTTTGGAATATTTTCTCACATTTTTCACTACAGTCGACTCTCGTTATCTCGAAGTCAGCCGGACCACAGAATTATTTCGAGATACACGTAGTTCGACTCAAACGAAAACCGGAAGTTTGACAGACCAAGGGACACAACTCTTGCTTAGCTTGGTAAAGCTAAAATAAATCCGGATGAATATGGGAAGGGGATCGATATTCTGGTATCAGATCGATGTATTTGTATGTCATGGTCTTTCATTATTTTAATAACATTATTTTTACTTATTCAATTGTTTCAGTTACAACTTTTTCTTATGGCTTTTATCCGAGAGAGTAATTTCCAATCTGTCTTAGCGTTATTTAGGTCGTTTAAAGTTAACAAAATTGTTTATTCTCGGATACAAGAGATTTTAGAAAATTTAGATTTCTCTTCATTTTGTTTCATCTCACTCTTTCTTTTCAAAAGAAAATACAACAAGATTAAAGATGCCGATTGAGTAGTTTTTAGGTGATCATCAACGGAAGTCTTAATCCTCACTTTATACACACCCAAGCTCATTAGTGTAAATCACGATTAATTGTTTTGTAAACATGTTAAATACTTTTTCATGAACATTAACAATGTATCACTAATTATTTATTAAAATTCTATAAAAGATATCTTAAGTAAACACTCGTGGAAATAGCATGTCATAAATTAATTACAGTGGTCAGTGACCGGAAATTTAATTACACGTGTATTGTCAGATTAACTCTTCAATCCATTTAAATCCTGGAGGTCATGTTTTGACATATTTGTATTAGTTCGAGATAAATAATGAATTTTGAATGCTTTTGTTAACCTTGGGACCGTAAATTTAGTTTGACTCAACCGAAATTTCGACTCATCCAATTTCGACTCATCAGGAGTCGAAATACATACATTCATATGGAACAAAGTTCGGGACCACGTGAAAACTTCGACTCATCCGAAATTTCGAGACAACGAGAGTTGACTGTATATCACTAGATTTTTTTTCTATATCCAAAGTATTATATTTGATTTCCCATGATATATATGTAGGACTCTGAACCGCGATGGTCATGCTGATGTGCGATGGTTTAATGCTGAAGTGTGTTTTTTTTTTATCACGCCGAAGTGCGATGGTGGCATTGTGACACTATCTTGTTGATAGCTACGCCGAAGTGTGATGGTGGTTACGCTGTAGTGCGATGGATCATATTTTCAAAGTTTTTCAAGTTCAAATGTCGATGTAGAAGTCAATTTGTTTGTTAGAAGTAGCTTTTCGTTTTTTTATGTAAAATATCGAGAGTATAACCCGTTTAATTCAAAACAGTCATGATAAATAGTCATTGGATTTTCAGTCCTCACTGTGACGGTGTAGTGTACATTATACTTTGTAAATAGCTTAGACAAACAAACAAACCAGTTGTTCAAACAATCATTCAGAATTGACACTACCGGTACATACAAAAGCTATTTTCCTTTAAAACCAGTACCAACTGCAATGACTGAAAAAATGTGGTACTTGTTTGAAATGCAAATACTTCTTGGTAAGTCAGACAAAATAAGCAAAAAATCTATACGGCTGCTGTGAATCAGAACAAGGAATAAGATAGATCACCGATGTTTTTTTACTGCAACTGGAGAAAATATTGAACGTTTGGTATTTATATACCAACTTATAAAAAAAATCAAGCTCGCATAATAATTGAACATCTGTTAATTCTAAACTAGCCATCACGCGTCTTATAGACCATCGCACTTCAGCGTCCCCATCTCACCTACGAGTCCTACATATATATATCCCAATTAAACAGGTGCAGAGTCTTTATATTAGATCCAGAATTTTGTAATTTTTGATTATTTCCAATATCACATTACAAATTTTTTGGATATTTTATTCATATTTTTCCCTTTATCGCTTGATTTTACTATATCCTCAGTATTCAGTTTTTGTTTTTTTCCCATGATATATATCCCAATTAAACAATATTAGATCCAGAATTTTATAATGATTATTTCCAATATCACATTCAAAATTGTTATCCTCATGTTATGATTTTTTTTGGAATATTTTACTTTTATTATTCACTTTATCACTAGATTTGACTATATCCACTGTATTCACATTTAATTTCATTTCCATGATATATATCCAATTTAAACAAGTGAATCATCTTTATATTAGATCCAGAATTTTATAATGATTATTTTCAAAATCACATTTAAACATTTAAAGCCACAGAAACATGTTGGTTGAACTTATTTCTCCTTCTTGCATTCCAGATTTGATTTTTTTTACCTTTTTGATTAACTAAATCCCAATTTATAAAAAGTGAATTCCCTTGAGAGAATACAGTATTTGTATGCACAAAAATCCTAATAGATTTCAAAGAAAAACACTGCAAGGTATACTCCAAATTTTTTTTGACTTTTACATGTACATCATCATGTGAAAGCCACACAAAATATTTTGAATGAATTATTTCCTCCTTGATACATTTATGACAATCCAGTCAAAGTCACATTTTAAGAAGAAAAATTAAATTGCATATAAGAAGTGAATTCAAATAAAATAAATCCCTATTTTTTATGCACATTGATTCCAATAGATTTCAAACACTTTGAATAATATTCCAAATGAAAAAATTGAATGGATATATGAAGAATTGCATAACATATCCATCTGAAAACTGAAACTGAAAACACCTGAATAGCTATTTCTTGTTTCACTGACAACTGGACAATACCATGTATAAGGGTTAACAATTTAAATATTCTTTTATTATGTAAAAACAGTTTTAATTTTCATACGTATTGCATGCTGCTAAGAAAATCTTTTGACCGATTTAGATTTTTGGATCAAAAGTAGATTAATCATCTATATTGGGGACTTAAAACAATGAAAACCAATGATATTTTCTTCCCTATCAATTTTATGATAGAATAACCCTAGGTGAAGAAAACTTAAGGAAAAAAGCATGCTGTATGGTTGGGTTAGGTGAATAAAAAACAGTACAGATAGCATCAAGGTAGACTCAACTCCAATACCAACTGGTCAATTTAAATGTCCCAATTGTATTGACAATTTTACAATCTGGTTGAACAATAGGTAAAGGTAAACAGCAACACCTATAGTCAAGTCACAGTAACATTAAATTGTTTTAAGAATTGAGTGCTTCTTTTTGTAAATTTATTGGGGTGTAAAAGTGTTGACCGAAGTACATTTTGTATGAAGCGCTTCATTCTAAAAATGTGCGCACGGTCAATGCTTTTACAACCCTATAAAATTACTAAAAGAAGCATTCAATACTTATAATTACATTTTTTTACTAGGATCATGAAAACACGATTTCTATCAAGTTTTTCTTTTATTTACCTGTGCACTTTATTGTGGAAGCTCGTGTCATCATGAATGTTACATTTCAATTTGAAATGTAGGTTAATTTCAGAATGACACGAGATTGCAGTTAGCCAATCAAATTAATGTATTATAATGAGAAATACATGTAATGTAATTATTCTGATATCAATCTTATAAATGACATCCTTAGGTGCTAAACAATATATTATTGGTGGTCATTGGTATTATTTTTCCCAACAGCTGAAATGTAAACTCTGATTAAAATGATATTGATTTATTTTTTCAGATTTTTTGGAGCATTCTGTGGTTTTGCCTATGCCATTATGTTGCCATGTCTAGTACATTTGACTATACAACACAGAAACGGAGAACAGTCTTTATTGAGTACTGTTTTACATTCCTTTCTCATTGTCATAGGATTAGCTAATTTTGTTGGACAGTTTTTAGTTCTCAATGTAAAATGAAGTGTGCTTTTCAAAGGACCTAAGAAATCCAGAAAATTTTTCTTGGTCTCAGAGAATGTAAAGTGCATTGTTCTTGAAGTATGGAGTTGAAAGATTTTATATGGATTGGCGATTTGATAGTTAGAATTTGCATCACATTATGAGCATTCTGCAAAATGCATTGGAAAAAGTTTGAAATATTTGACGGCATTATGGCAGGGCATATAAGTCAAGAATTTATCATATTGATAATTATAATATGTTTACTGCCACCTTCAAAGATGGTTTTTTTTTAACATCCTAGACTATATTTTAAATTTTGATGTATTTTGTTAAACAATATGTTATGTATGTTATGAATGTTATATTTTTCCCATAATTTGTGAGTGTGAGAGATACCATATTTTAAGAAATGCAGTTGATTGTTGTTATCTAAACAGTTTTATGGTCTCGCATGCAATGAAAGTCGCATAATGCGAGACATAGGGATAAAAATCCAGCGGCAACAACAGAAACTATTTGTATAAAGCTTTTTATTTCAAAAGCTAGATGACCTGGATGCTTCATACCTTGTATGCAGATATCTTATGTTATGAAGTTTCCGTCTGTCATATCTCCATTGTTCATGACCTCATTTTCATGGTTCATTGACTGCATGAAAAAAATTACTGTTTTTTGGGAAAAGTGATATACCGTACTCTCTTATTATGAGCAGTAGTATGGGGTTATTATATTGGGTGTATGGGATGATTGTAAGGTGTACATGTCAAACTGGCAAGTGTCATCTGACTTTGACCTCATTTTCATGGTTCATTGGACAAATGTTTGGATTTTATGGTTTGGCCTATTTCTCAGATGCTATAAGCAATAGGTCAACTATATTTGGTGTATGGAATAATTGTTAGGTGTATATGTATGTCTGTCACGTTTCATGTGACCCTGACCTCATTTTCATGGTTCATAGGTCAATGATAGGTTTTTGTGGTTATGTCAATTTATACTAGTTACTATAAGCAAATGGTCAACTATATTTGGTGTATGGAATGTTTGTTAGGTGTACATGTCTGTCTAGCAGGGTTCACATATCCTTGACCTCATTTTCATTGGTCATTGTTAAGATTTTGTGGTTTGATCCGTTTCTCATGTCAGCTATAAGTTCATGTGATACTTTATATTTTTATATTCTATATCACTCTAGCATATTTCTTTACTGAACATGTTCTTGCTCACCCATGCCTTTACAATCTAAAAAATCAACATCTTATAAACAAGTTTATATTTCCTACCCTACCTTTTATTTCATTAGTATCTTTAATCCCTGGACCTTGGCAAGAGAAAAAGAAGAAAGAACTATATTGCTTATGATGAACCAGAAATGTTATGTAAAATATGACTTTCATGATGAACCAGAAATGTTATGTAAAATATGACTTTCACCCAAAACAACAGTACAAATATCCATAAAGTGACAACTCAAATGTTTGTTTGTGGAATGATGAGTCCAACTTTATATATTTTGATAACAACATGTACTTATTACTACTTGTTGTATAAATATGTCTTATTTTTGAAAGACAGATTAGAGTCCAGTACACTTCTATTAGGTCCACCAAAAATGCAAGTGGTGCTGGACCTATTCTTTACAAAAATTTGGAGATCTCTGCCATGCTGCAGTGGTGCAATTTTTTTTTCATTTGATTTAACAACTGTATTTCATTTAGTTTGAAATACTGTGAATCAGAAAATATTCAAAAGATTATAAATTAGATTCATAAATTTCTGTGCATTTAATAATATTGAACTATGGACAAAATTGTGTGATTATTTTTTTCGATTTCAGAAAAGTCAGCATACAAGTAATGCTATAAAAAATGTTTAAATTACAAGTTTTTATTTTTTTTAAACCTATCCCACTGCAATTTTTTCGATATTTACAGTATTTTTTATTTTATTTATGACAGCTTAGTTTTTAAAAAAATATTATATACAAGACAAAAAAACATAGGATAGAGTTCAGATAGAGATCTATTTGTACATTTTTTTTTTGTATATTAAAATATCCCAGTTTATGATTGTATTGAAAAACATGAGATTAATGAAAGCTTTCTTACTGAACAAATGATATAAATTCATGGCCAGTAATATTTAAATGGTTGTATATTTTTTTAGTTTGTATCTTAACCCAAGAGATTTTAGTCTTTTAATAATTTTATTATTTCACACATAAGCATATGTGTACCTTGTTAAGTTGAATCAGAATTTGTTTAGTTACATTTTGTTGCTTGTCAGGTCACACTGCCATCATTTTGTGTCCATTGTTTGTTGTTTTAAACTTATTCAATGGTCTTTCCAATTGAAGCACAGATGACTAGAATCACCCTTATGTAGCTTAGCTTCAAAATTTTCAAGCACTTTGTTTTTTGATAAAGTAGAAAAATCTTTACTGCTGTTAGTTTTAGGACATATTATTGTCTTCTTTTTAAATGATATCAATAGTAACTCTGGTAATAAAATGAACATTATTTTAACAACAAAACACTATGATGAATCATGTTGGTGTAAAGTCCCCTATTAAAATTATGTAAGACTCCCAAGTAAGGTAAAGTTGGAATGTTTGTTAGGTAAAGACCTCAAACTTAATTCAATATTACAAATAGAAATAAGCTAGTTATTTAAAAGCATAAAAAGTTGGAATAGCCAAAAAAGTCTTTTACTGCCAAATCTTAATTAGATTAGGAAACACTTTGAAATTTACATTTTGACTGTTAAAGCTTTTAGAGGTTTCAAAAGAAAAAAATAGTTTTATTTATTTTGAATAATAAAACAAGCATACATCACATTCAAGTAAAGAAAATTCTGTTCTCTAATTGATCTAGGATGGACACCATTAAACAGTTCTGTCTTTTATCTGACAAGTCTATTTGATCTAGGATGGACACCATTAAACAGTTCTGTCTTTTATCTGACAAGTCTATTTGATCTAGGATGGACACCATTAAACAGTTCTGTCTTTTATCTGACAACTCCCAATTGATCTAGGATGGACACCATTGAAGAGTTCTGTCTTTTATCTGACAAATCCAATTGATCTAGGATGGACACCATTAAACAGTTCTGTCTTTTATCTGACAACTCCAATTGATCTAGGATGGACACATTAAAGAGTTCCAACATTGAACTCTATCATTAAACCATTTCATCTTGCAAAGCATGGCTCTGCTTAAACTTTGATTTTGTGCAAATTGAAGTATCAAAATGAGTGTTCTATTTTATATGTAGGATTCAATGGGAAGAATTCTACATTTGTATAATATGGTATGTAGGAATTGGTACCAGAAGAGCAATACAGGATCCTTAGTACAACCACTCTGATGTTATGCTTTCAATTTATTTTCATGTGTGACCAAAACTTTATCCAACCAATTTGTTTACATTGATTTGTCATATCTACATTCCATTTGCTTAACATATATTTTCATACAAATGTTATTACATTTTACCAGCAAAAGTTCAGGGAACTTGCAAATAAACTAAAAGATCATAAAAGTTTTAGTCTTTTTTAGTTCAGTTTGATTAACCTCTGACAATATGCACCTAGACATCTACATACACAAAGAAGAATGAAAACACCATAAGGGAAGGGGGATTTAAATTGCAAGGTAAGGGGATAGGTGATTAAAATTGCAAGGTAAGGGGATAGGTGATTAATATTGCAAGGTAAGGGGATAGGTGATTAAAATTGCAAGTCAAGAATGGATAAACACCACCATTGCCAAAATTTTTTTTGACAAGACAAATAACAAACCACAAAATACTATATAGAAAACAGATTTCAAGTTTTATAAATATTTATTAAATGCTAATATTCTATATTTATCTATCCACCTTCTCAACTTTTCACATTTGTTTGTTTTTCGTAACAGCACTGGCCACTATGAACCAAAGTTAGCAAAATACATATATGCATATTTATGTATACTTGAAATGAGCAAATGTCTGCTTTAGTCAAATACTTTTTTCTGAAGTATGTAAGAATCCAGAGTATAATTATACCCCCGCTCCAAAGTATACTGTTTTACCTGTTGGTCTGTCGTATTTTTCTCAGGATGTACAAATTAGAAGTTCCAGAAATTCTGTATCGGGCTTTATGTGACTATGCTATACTGTGTGATACTTTTATTTTCTAACACATAATGAATTTGCTTGAAATTTTCATTGCACCTTTCTAGGCAACTACAAATCAGAGCTATTAAAATGTGTTTCCAGGCTTTGTGAGATGTGTATTCAAAGTCATTTCTCATCAATTTTCTGTTTACCTACCAGGTTAAACTTATATATTTTAACACAAAATGGCAATGAACTGCATGAAATTTTCATTGCATTTTTTTAGGGAACTATGAGCATCCTGAAATTTGTTATCAGCCTATTAGATTGTATGTTCCTTTATGATGAAATCAGATAGAAAATTGCAGGAATATACCTCTTTGTGATGTTTTTGGAAAAACCCTGAGAAAAGTGAAAACCAGAATGAATTTTTGTACAAAAGGGAAAGACAGAAAACTTAAATTGAACGATTTGGATATTGTATATAGATTTATCTTCTGTTATGAGGACTTGGTTCTCTATCCGACAACAAACAAACCCTTACAAAGCACTGAAAATGTAGAGAATTCAGTAGTCTCAACAATGAACTTTATATTTTATGTCCATCCAAGTCACAATTTGTAAAAGTAAACCATTATAGGTCAAAGTACGGCCTTCAACACGGAGCTTTGGCTCACACCGAACAGCAAGCTATAAAGGGCCCCAAAAAGTAAACATCTGATTTTATAAAAATAAAAACAACAGAAAATCTAAAAAGAAAGCAATAGCAAATGTACCAAACTGAGGTATATCCAAAAACAAATCCTGAATAAACCAAAACTGTAGACAAGCAATGTAATTAGAAGTAAAAGACAGGCATAGTCCTGACTTGGTAACGGCTTTTCTAAATGAAAGAATTAAAGATAAATATTCAACAGATTTTATTTCAACTTTTTTCATATTTATGCACAAGTAAATACAAAAATTATTATTCAATCTATTTTCTGTCAATAAATATAAAAATAGTGTATACATTTAGTTAAATATAACAGATCACAGTCTTAATAAACACTGAAATAATCACAATATTTCAAAAATAAAAATGCAACAATATAATGTTTGTAAACAAATAAGCAGAATTAGGTATTTTAAAATGGACGGAATACAGTCAAGTTTTTTTAAAAGCTTGTGAGAAACCTAAGCATAATACTAGTTAAATACAAAGGTACTCCATTTCAAATCCAGGAAAAATAAAGAAACACAAAATATTTTCACTGTTGTAAATTATAACTGATATGATATCCTATGTTTCTGGTAAAGGTTCATCTTCCTCCTTTAATAATCCTAATTCTCTAAGGAATGATTGCTCTTCCTCTTTAAATTGGTGGTATTCTTGCTTCATTCTGTATTCTACTTCTTCATCAGTTAGTACCACATTTGGTGCAATCTAAAATAACAAAACATATTATATTTTGTATGTGTGTCATGTTGTTCAACTACAAATATAAAACATGAGATAAATTTGTAAATTTTTCTCAAGTGAACATTGTAGCATTTGTGATATTGACATTTACATACACCTATATGCAAGTATTGAGTGTTATCTAGCAATAAAATCTATTTTCGTTATTATATATTAACCCATCAATAATCAACAGACAGTCCAACAGATACAAAAACATGCTTTACTCCAAGGAGCCAGATTCTTTCTTCCAATTTTTGTATATTTCATTGACTAGCAAACCTGCGTGAATCTAAGTTGAGCTAAAAGAAGATTTGAGGTTTGTTGAGTAAATGATTTTTTTCTCTCACTCCAACTACTTATTCATTTGTTAATTCCCTTGTATATTTCTCAACATTAAGGCAAATGAAACAGATATGAAAGGCTACCACACTGATACAGTCATTTAACATTATTTTCATGGTAGGTACAGAAAAGGCCTCTCCCCCGCCCTGCCTTCAAAATAAACAAGAAGTTGCATGCATGGTCTTACTAAGCATACCCTTATCATAAGCTGTTAAACAAATATAAAGTCATCTATTCAGTAGTTGCTTAGTAAAGTTACGGAAATAAACGGCCTACATAAACAAGATATAAATACAGATGGACACATAACAAAAGTTTTGTTCACACTGACTTCATGGATAAGGAACTAAAACAAGAGGCTCTCAAGAGCCTGTGTCACTCACCTGTATTTACTGATGCTTTGGAAATCATGTAAAATAAGGTTAAAATCATAATTAATAGTATTAGATATCAGATATTATAATGATATCTAAGATAATAACAAAAAACTGCAAAACTTTTGTAAAATTACTAACTCAGGGGCAGCAACCCAACAATGGGTTGACGGATTCGTCTGAAAATTTCAGGGCAGATAAATCTAAATCTGATGAACATTTTTGCCACCTGTCAGATTTTCTCTAAATGCTTTTCTTTCAGAGATATAAACCAAAAACTGCATTTTACCCTTATGTTCTATTTTTAACCAAGTCGGCCATGATGGTTGGAAGGCGGGGTCATCGGACAAATTTTTGAAACTAGATACCCTAATAATGATTATGGCCAAGTATGGTTAAATTTGTCTCTGTAGTTTCAGAGGAGAAGATTTTTGTAAAAGATTACAAAAATTTACAAAAAAATGTTAAAAATTTGACTATTAAGGGCAATAACTCCTAAAGGGGTCGACTGACAATTTTGGTCATGGCAACTTATTTGTAGATCTTACTTTGCTGAACATTATTGCTGTTTACAGTTTATCTCTATCTATAATAATATTCAAGATAATAACCAAAAACTGCAAAATTTCCTTAAAATTACCAATTCAGGGGCAGCAACCCAACAACAGGTTGTCAGATTTGTCTGAAAATTTCAAGGCAGATAGATCTTGACCTGATAATCAGTTTTACCCTGTCAGATTTACTCTAAATGCTTTGGTTTCAGAGATATAAGCCAAAATCTACATTTTACCCCTATGTTCTATTTTAAGCCATGGCGGCCATCTTGGTTGGTTGGCGGGGTCATTGGACACATTTTTCAAACTAGATACCCTAATGATGATTGTGGCCAAGTTTGGTTAAATTTGGCCCAGTGGTTTCAGAGGAGAAGATTTTTGTAAAAAAGCTAACGACGACAAACGACGGACGACGGACGCCAAGTGATGAGAAAAGCTCACTTGGCCCTTCGGGCCAGGTGAGCTAAAAAGTCAACTTAGTCTTACTCCTGCTTTCTTCTTTAGTTCATTTTCAATTTCTCTCTTCTCATGTTCTCTGAAATCCCATCTCTGTACCACAAATGATCTTCTTTTCACTTCACGCTCTACATAATTTGATACAGTTGCAAGCTGAAAAATAAAATTCTCTGGTTTATTGTTTTTTTTTCCCTTTTTTGCAGAGTTAAACAAAATGTCATGATACAGTCGAAGTCGAAGGGACGGACCAAAGTATTCGACTTATCAGAGTTTCGACTCTATCAGAGGTCGAGTGTGTCGTCATAAATTTGAAATGCATGAAATATGGTGAGATTTGTGTAAACTAGATACTTTGAACAGTCTGCCTTTTTTCGATATGACATTTTATGATTGTGTATTCAATCTCCATATATTTTGTTCCTTCATAATAATTAAACACACAACGTCACAAGTACAGATACAAATTATGCACAAATAAAATCAATAGTATACCCAAATATTTTCAAAGGTCAGTCAATATAAAATATGAAATCACTCGCGGAACAAAATATGTTCTGAATGGTCTCTGGTGAGGTCGTCTGCTTTACATTAAATTATTATGAATTTATCATAATTGTCTTTATTCTTTTATTTATTGTAATTAATGAATTTTAATTCTAATGATTCATTTAATCTCGGCATGGGTCATTTAAATTTCCTTTCGTTTTTATGTCAGGTGAAATATGTTCAACACACTAACATTCCGCTTGAACGATCAACAAAGGTGTTAATTACCGGTCACCATAAACATGTTATTTTAACTGTTATACAATCAAGTATGTTTACTCAGCTTTAATCTCTTTAGAAAATGATTAGGTTACATAAGAAATACATTCGATTTGAATTTTTATCATAAGGTCTGCATCTTTCAAAATTTCTTATTTTCGAACTTCGAGACATCTGGGACAATTTACATTAATTTTACATCAACGGGACTATAAAATTTACTCAACTTAACCGAGTATTCGAATCAACCGAGTTCGACTCATCAGAGGTAATTATGCATTGATCAAATGGAAATTTTACCAGGGCCAAGAACTTTAACGACTTTAAAATAAAAGTAACTTCCCCAAGAAACTAGAGCAAAATATTCTTTATGTGCCTGTCCCAAGTCAGGAGCCTGTATTTCAGTTGTTGTCATTGGTTCATGTCTGTCATTGTTTTTTGGTAAATTGTTGTTATAAATTAGGCCGTTAGTTTTCTCAATTGAAGTGTTTCATAATTACTTTTCATGTCGGCTCCTTTTATAGCCGACTATGCAGTATGGGTTTTATTCAATGTTGAAGGCTTTACGGTTGCCTATAATTGCTTAAATCCACTTCATTTAAACTTTGGTGGTTAGTTGTCTCATTGGCAATCATCCCAAATCTCCTTATTTTAATATTGGAAACTTTTTGGCAGAACTTACTATCATTTTCCTTTTTCAGGTACATAAAAGAATAGCTTTCCTATGTCCCTTGCGGTTGCATATAGTTCAATCTGTCCAAGGGCATTAATTAAAATCCTTAGAAAGGTATACATGAGATTGCTAACAATGTAATTTTTCATATAATTTCTATTTCCAAGGGGATTAAATCCTGTAAACATAATTGCACAGCAGTGTTCCAAGACATTACTGGTAAACCTTTGATGTAAATTTCAAAAATTTTCAACAAGAAATGAAAGTGTGAGAGTGCTTACAATGCAATGTTCAGTATAAATTACATTTCAAAGGGACATTACTCCTCTAAAAATAGTTGATCAGCACCGATATTCGAACTCAACATGTAAATTTCATAACAATCCTACAAAAAATGTAGTTGTGAGAGTGCTAACAATGCAATTTTTTCATATATTTTATATTTACAAGGCGCTAACTCCTTTTAAATGGTTGATATGCACTGAATTTCGAAATTTGCCCCATTAATCCAATATTAACTTGTCTCATGCACTGTGTTGTGCAGACAAGACTGGACAATCAATATTAATTTGTCCCATGCACTGTGTTGTGCAGACAAGACAGGACACCCAATATTCATTTGTCCCATGCACTGCATTGTGCAGACAAGACAAGACACCCAATATTAATTTGTCTCATGCACTTTGTTGTGCAGACAAGACAGGACACCCAATATTAATTTGTCCCATGCACTGTGTTGTGCAGACAAGACTGGACAACCAATATTAATTTGTCCCATGCACTGTGTTGTGCAGACAAGACAGGACACCCAATATTAATTTGTACCATGCACTGTGTTGTGCAGACAAGACAGGACACCCAATATTAATTTGTCCCATGCACTGTGTTGTGCAGACAAGACTGGACACCCAATATTAATCTGTTTCATGCACTGTGTTGTGCAGGGGACAATAAAATATCGGTAATTATTATATATATATTTTAACAAGGATGTGTTTTGTGATTTGCTAGTTAATATTACTTCCTAATCCCAAACTCTGTACAATCTATTGCCTAAAGTTTTAACTTTTAAGTAGAGTTATGCATTCCATGCTGTACAATATGAATCCAGCAAACTTAATAAAGACATTATTATACCTCATTTGGTGTAGGTTGTCTAAGACTCCATGGTATCTCCAATATATGTAGGGTTCCAGCATTATCCCCTACTGCTAAAAGATGCTGCTTCTCTGCAATTAAATATCAGGATGTTAAAAATGTATGGTATTTATGAGTGGCTACATCAGATTTATAACCAAAATAAATAGTTTGAATTTGTGTTTGTAAGACAACCAATTTAGAAGTTTACTATAGCATCCTATCCAAACCTGGAACATGAGGTAGGCATATATCACTGGTTCTCCGGTAAAGCGCCCAACGTCAGAGTAAAAAATGATAAAATATAAATTGCAGCAAAACTTGTAAATAAAGAACATGGAACATCCTCATAGTATATTCTATCCACCATATAAATTTCAGCATGTAATATGCTACCGTTAATTTGTAATGATCGAGACAGTTTAAATGAAAAAATCTCAAAAAAAATACATTTAACGTCATTTTATTTCCTTTGACGTCGTGATTTTCAATTCCAAAAATGCTAAAAACTTTAAATAATTTCTTTTACGGTGTTTACAATTTGTTATCTTTATTTATTCACATGAACTTTAATGTGCGTTTTTCTTGTGAGTTGAAATTAAGGAATATACAGCCATGTCTGCTTTATTATGTAAGTCTTTTTTTTATCTCTTCAACACAAATTTCGGTAATACATCTTCCTGTGGACTGTTTCCTTGTGAACTAGTACGCTTAAAAATCGACTCAGCATGTCGGTCTTGTACAAGGCAGGATTAATATTAATATCGTAAAATGCTTTCGACCAGAATATGCATGTAATTCGCCGCTGAATCCTCCTCCTCCTCCTCCTTTTCATCATCATCATCTAGTGTTACCATGAATTATCATCGATGTGGTCATATTTATATATAAAATCAACTGTTTCAAAATTGCAGAAGAATGGCGTATAATGCATTCATCCCTTGATTTGAATAGTTTGAATAACTAAGAATTTTCTATGTAGACGCAACAAAATTCTTGTATCTTTGATGGGTTACTTCCTTTGATATTCAATAATACTTTTTTCTTTGTATCGGAAATTTTGAAATAATAAAAGAGTAACGAGACGTGTTTATATCTGACCAAAGTATTAAACGAATCACTTATTTGATAATGTTTAAAGTTATTATAATACTGCAATTTTAGAGGAGATTGTTGTTTTCTGAACGTAAAGTGGCAAATATTTCATGCAGATTTATGACCGATAAAAATATATATAAACAAAACCATGACGAGAGCGAGACGACAAAAAAGCAGTCAGCAAAATATAAAATATAAAAACATTTTCCATAGATTTTTTTATTTATAGTAGGCAACCCTCTTTGTTGGTTGGTTGTAGCATATTAATCTCACCGACTTAAATTTTAAAAGAGACCACCAAAAAAGACCAATTAAACAGCTTCTCCTTGTAGGTACTATTATAATATCAGATAGTTATTTGAAATAACCCAAGATATATGAGGTGGTTTATAGAATAGAAATAATCCCCCCCCCCCCCACAAAAAAAAATAAAGAAAGAAAAAATAGGCAATCAAATAAGGAATAGAAAATAATTTACAGAATAATGAAACTTTGCGTTTTCTGCATATAAAATTTATTATTGATAATTGACAATAGAATAGTAGATCATTTGGAATAAAATGTTGAACTGGTCGTAATCGGAACTGGTAATTGAAAATAGCGATGCAAATTCTATACATTCATAATCCTCGGTATTTTTCTCCAAAATCACGATCTTGCACGAGTTAACGTATCATTTCGTTTCCTATCCTATTGCAGACAAAGTTAACCTTACATCCTTCTCCTGCATTGTGTCTCAATGATTACATTTTACACCACTGATAAAACAGTTCGTGACAGAGGTCAGACCAGGATAACCATTGACAACAAAAAGCTCTGCAATAGTGTTTTGAATTTATCTTCATCATTTACGCCCAGCGCCGAATATTTTAAAGCCAAGGATGTAAAAGAACAGAAAGAGTTGATGAGCTATCTGACCAAAAGGACATAAAGAAATAGCCAAATCAGTCGAAGATGAACTTTTCCCGATAGAGTCAAAATTTATAAATGGACAATTGAAGGGAATTGAAAGGAATTGCAGAATCAAAACGCTGTCATAATTTTACGTCTTCAGTTTCATATTTGTAAGATCCATAAATCATTATAATTCAAACAACAATTTCTTGGTTAGGGCTGGAAGATTGATGCTTGAGGACGGATGACATTGTCTTAGATTTTTTGGGGGTATAATATTTTTTTTTAGTACCAATCAATGTTAAATATTTAAAAATTGAATGCTTCTTTTTGTAAATTTATTGGGGTGTAAAAGCGTTGACCGAAGTACATTTTGTATAAAGCGCGGAAGCGCTTCGTTTTAAAAATGTGCGTACGGTCAACGTTTTTACGACCCTATAAAAATTACTTAAAGAAGCAATCAATACTTATAATTACATTTTTTTGCTTGGATCATCAAAACACGATTTCTATCAATTTTTCCTTTTATTTACCTGTGCACTTTATTGTGGAAGCTCGTGTCATCATGAATGTTACATTTCATTTTGAAATGAAGGTTAATTTCAGAATGACGCAAGATTGCTGTTAGCCAATCAAAATAACGTATTATAATGAAACATACATACATGTAATGTAATTATATTTTAATATTCTCCAATGGATAGCTTTGTTTGATCTATTTAACTGTTTTTATTTTCGAAAAGAATATTTGTACAAGGACTTAGGTGTTTTTAATAAATGTAACGGACAATATATACCATGCCCTCTCAGCCGACGTCGTAATTTCATTTTAATGAAAGAAAGTAATTAAAAGCTTCTCTCCCTGTGCAACATGATATAAAACTCATTAGGCAGAGCAGTTTTTATGGCTACTTGCATAATTGTTACATCGTATTAAATTCGTTATCAAACTTATATTAATAGTAAAAGTTTCATATCTTGAATATTGAAAACGGGTTAAAATTATTTACTTGCATATATTAATATTGATATAAAAACATCCGGTTCGGGTTTTTTTTTCTAGATCTGAGATAAAAGCAACTCTGTTACACTTAAACAATTGATTAATAAGAATTGTTACATGGTGTCTTCTTATGTCGCCTGAATTACAATGTATGTTATTGTTCTGTAATTCATATATTCGCCATCCGTAATAATTATCTAATATGTTTATTTGGCATGCCATACTCGATAAAAGTGCGGACGTGATAGAAAGCACTCTTTACCAAAACGTCAACGGAGATTACAGTCCACGGAGGTTACATTTCAATGATTTCGTCATTTATAAAGCATAATATGTGTATCTGAAGATAGAAGTTGTACTAAAATTAAATGTTGACACCGATATCGATCTGATGGATGTAGAATTTATTTTCAAAGTTGGTGTTTGTTTAGGATAGACCATTCCACGGAGATTACATGCTTAACAAATCTCTGCAGTTTTCAACTTTGTTTAGTTTTTCAGACTGATATGATTTGGAATAAATGACCATTGTTATAAACAAAATTATTTATGGTAACCTTTATAATCACATTTAACTCATATCACACTCTATGTTGTGCTGAATATTTTGTCCTGCTTGATCTTTTATCCGTTAACGGAAATTACAGGTTTACGAAGAAAACATTTCGACGGCCGGTACGATCACGATCGTTGTGCAATATGTACTAAACTTTGTAAAAATTTAAAATATAGATAATAAAGAAATATAAAAATCTCAGAAATAAGTATAACAAGCTACGGGTATATAATTAGAAGTCGTTAGTTTTGCTTTATTACGGTGGGACAAATTAACGTCATAAAATGGGCGCTTTAATGGAGAACCAGTGATATATGTCATCTAGTGTATAGATACATCTTTTATAAACTTTGAAATGTTTTCTTCTTTTTCATGGATGACATGGTCTAATTGACATCTAAAACCAAGAGGTAACGCAACTTAAACAAAACTTTACCTTTTTTTTTATAGCTTTTAGTTGATTTAAGTTTAAAAATCTGATATTGAGTATGAGGTATCAATAATTCATTCAAAGGGAGGCTACAAACATTCTAAAATAAAAATTGAACTCTTGTAAAAATATCAATTTAAATTTAAATATGACATTTATAGGTACAAAAAATCTGAAAAGAAGTGTGATTGTAGCAGCCATAATATTTTGCACATGCATATACATAATCATCTCTATGTATATAAGACTTACGTGATACAGGGAATGGAAAAATGGTGGTGATCTGAACAGGAGAAACACTCTGTGTCAATGAAGGCTCGTGGGTTTTATCTAGGATATCCCAAACATCCACACTTCCATCCACTTTGGCAATAAAGAACACTGCTGGCCTTGATGGGGACCAGAAGCCTGCTGTATATCTCACAGGACTAGAACAAGATTGTAAGATTGGTCCACTCTACAAAACATAAATATCAAAATAAACCATTGTTCTAAATCCTACTGTATATTTTGTCTGCAAGACCAGTCTATTATACAAAGTGTATCTTGTAAAATTTAACCATAAATGTAAGTTTGCTCCAATGTGTGTTAAAATTCTGAATGTTAAATGTTATATCAATATTCCATGAACAGTAATGATATGTTAGGTAAAATTTAATTAAACGCTCTAACCTGTCTTCAAAGCAATTTTAGGAAACATGATTAACCAGACGAAACTTCTGCGCCATTTAAACATGCATGATCCTTTTGGAAAGAAACCCATCCAATGAAGAGATCAAGTTGAATAATTTGTGCAATAGTTATCCCTCCTGGCCAATTCCAATTCGTTGACAAAGTTAATACTGTACAACAAATTCAAAATGGTGACATCTATAATTTTGTAGATGGATGCTACGTTTAACATGGTCAATCTACTCTTTAATAGAGGATGTTTCAGAGTACCTTCTTTCAGACATTGTATCTTAATGTCAAACAGTTCTAAGAATTTGTCAATATGTAATACAGATGTTTTCATAATTAAGAAAACTTTCAACATATGGACAAAAAACTATGTGTCAGTTACTAATTATGTCTTTGTATTCCATAAAATGGAAATCCAAAATCCTAGATACCTACATTAATTCCTTCCTTCCAGATTGTAAATGTCCATCCTCCAACACATAATACTACATCATTAAAGAATGGAGATCTTTGTAATGACATTACAGGTCCATCATGTACAGCATGGTAATAGTCTGGCTTAGGTGCTGTACAAATAATGTAAAATTAAATGTTTTGGAAATTTGTATATGTTTACTTGTGCAAAAGTTATCTCCTCTGACCATAAAATAGTGACATCAGTAATTATGTAGTTGGATGCTCAGTTTTCATTGGATAAGAAATTGCCAATGATCCAATTTATAATGTTACATTACATTCATATTACATTCAATATCAGTCTGAAAGACCCAAGGACTAATAATTAATCAAAGATAAAAATTATCATTGAAATAAATGTTTTGTTATCACACATGTATGCTTCAACTTGAGGGGAAAATTTAATGGAAGTTAAGTTTATAATATACTATCTTAACATCTATTTTGGTCAACTAAACTTTTGTCACATAGTAACTGTCACCTTTTATTCATATATATATATATCACTTTTCTTTGAAAATAGTTTAAAACATATTTTTAACATATCACTGAAATATTTCATATAAAAATATTGTAACATGTAAATGCTTTCTGATTCAATTGCAAGGTAAAATTTCTATGAGTGTATTGAATTTCATTTGAATATTACTGCAGTTTCCATCTTTCAATGTCAACACTGATGATGCAAGTTTGAATCCTGCACATGGCAGGTGCTCTTGACTCCAATATTAATTGACTAGGACTGTCAGTTTTCCTACCAAAGGTTGTGGTTCTCTCTCCACAAACCCACAAACAGTCTAAGGTTGTTCTTATGTAAAAAGAAAATACATGCATTAACAACTTTTGGTAAAATATGCAACTATGACATGTCATTGATGTGACCAACATATATGTATATACTTACTTTGTATTTTTCCTGTATCTTGATCTTTTTGTGGCATCCAGTCAACAAATACAACTTCACCATCCTAAACAATATTGTTTTATTATTATGAGTGAAAATGTCTTAACTCCACAATACATGTATATGAAACATACAAGTAAGAATTTAAAATTTTTTTTAGTGCTAGTGGTGTCTCATACAGCAGTTAGTTAACTTTCACTGTAAAAGTAATTCAAGATACTGAAATTGTTAATGGTTTACTGCACATTGAGAGACAAAGTCCATTTATATTTTCCTTTGTTTTTCCTAACAAATGCAAAGTTAGTGTTCTTTTTGTATCAAAGAATATGTATACTCTAATCATTCTACTTAATCTAACCACTTAAATACAATTTACAGAAGCCAAACAGGGAAGGGAAAAGCTGTGCTGGACATTTTATACAGGATTGCTGTGTTTGTCAAATTAGCTAATGTGTGCAAAAAGCAAGCATGTGCAATTACAATTATTGTATTCATTTGATTGAAAGAAAAATAAATGATGAATTACAGTACACCTTGTAAAACTAAATAAATATGATACTAAATATATAACCTTCACCTTACTTCACCATCTTGTGAAACAAACACGGTAGCTGTTAAATTTATTCCACAGAACAAATGCTGTTGGTAAACAGAGCAGTCAAATCATCCTTATCAAATGGTCATTACCAAAATGGGAATCTATATACTGTACTTAAATCTTACAACTCATTCTTAGGGATTCTTAACTGGTTAATATCAAAATCTTAGTTTAAGATGGAGCACTAACAAAAGACAGATAATCCACTCAGTCATTCTGAATATGAATAAGTGATGAACTATTACAGAATGAAGGCCTTAATACTACTATTCAAAATTTGTGAAAATAACATCACTTTTGTGTAAATTGCACTTGTGTAAAATGGTAAACCTTATTTTCTTATAATGATGTGGTTAATCTGTCAGCAATATACTGTCATTTTGAGCAATTTTCACAGTTGAAAAAAAATAAAATTTATGATATATAACATGAATAATATCACATTGTGTTAAAAACACTCTTCATAAGTAAGGGGAACAAATTAAAGGAATCAGCTGTACCTCATTCCAATTGGTGAAAGGGGTAATTAAGCCATTATTAAGGACTGTTTGAAATGGGACCACCAACCAACCAAGATATTTACAATTCAATTTTGAATTTTATCCTAATGATATTATACATAATACAATAAAATGCTTCGCTGGGCGCAGCTTGATACGACCGCAGAGGTCGAACCCTGAACAGTTGGGGCAAGTATGGACACAACATTCAAGCTTGATACAGCTCTGAATTTGGATTGTGATTAAATATTTGACACAGCATAGGTTTCTGACACAGAAAGAATGTGGTCTAAGAACTTCAATTTTTTTAATTTACCTATTATGGTCAAATGTCCAAAATCAAAATACATGGTTAGATTCAGCATATCAAAGAACCCCATATATTCAATTTTTGTTGAAATCAAACAAAGTTTAATTTTGGACCCCAACTTGGACAAACTTGAAAACTGGTCCCATAATCAAAAATCTAAACACATGTTTAGATTCAGCATATCAAAGTACCCCAAGAATTCAATTTTTGTTAAAATCAAACTAAGTTTAATTTTGGACCCTTTGGACCTTAATGTAGACCAAAAAAAAAAAGGGACCCAAAATTAAAAATCTAAAAACACGGTTAGATTTGGCATATCAAAGAACCCCAATAATTCAATTTTTGATGAAATCAAACAAAGTTTAATTTTGGACCCTTTTGACCTCAATATGAACCAATTTGATAGTGGGCCCACAAATAAAAAATCTAAATACATGGTAAGATTCAGCATATCAAAGAACCCCATATATTCAATTTTTGTTGAAATCAAACAAAGTTTAATTTTGGACCCCAATTTGGACCAACTTGAAAACTGGGCCAAAAATCTAAAATCTAAATACATGGTTAGATTCAGCATATCAAAGAACCCCATATATTCAATTTTTGTTGAAATCAAACAAAGTTTTATTTTGGACCCCAACTTGGACCAACTTGAAAACTGGGCCCATAATCAAAAATCTAAACACATGTTTAGATTCAGCATATCAAAGAACCCCAAAAATTCAATTTTTGTTAAAATCAAACTAAGTTTAATTTTAGACCCTTTGGACCTTAATGTAGACCAATTTAAAAAACGGGACCCAAAATTAAAAATCTAAATCCACGGTTAGATTTGGCATATCAAAGAACCCCAATAATTCAATTTTTGATGAAATCAAGCAAAGTTTAATTTTGGACCCTTTTGACCTCAATATGAACCAATTTGATAGCGGGCCCACAAATAAAAAATCTAAATACATGGTTAGATTCAGCATATCAAAGAACCCCATATATTCAATATTTGTTGAAATCAAACAAAGTTTAATTTTGGACCCCAATTTGGACCAACTTGAAAACTGTGCCAAAAATCAAAAATCTAAATACATGTTTAGATTCAGCATATCAAAGAACCCCATATATTCAATTTTTGTTAAAATCAAACTAAGTTTAATTTTGGACCCTTTGGACCTTAATGTAGACCAATTTGAAAACTGGACCCAAAATTAAAAATCTAAATACACGGTTAGATTCGGCATAACAAATAAATAAATGTGGTCAAAGATTTTACAAATCTAATGCGCCATACTGGTCTTCCTTTATAAATATGCATTTCTTTAAACATAATTTAAAAGCAGTGTAAGGGAAGTAACCAAAACGTTGTATTTGGATTACCTCCCTTACACTGTTTTAAATTATCTTAATTGTTCATTAACCATTACTTTATACATAATTTAAAAGCAGTGTAGGGGAGATAATTTCAATGATGTATTTGATTTATCTCCCTTACACTGCTTTAAATTATGTTTTGTACTAAAGTATTTGTCCATTAATGAGGACAACCTTGTTTTTCCCCCTTTTTTGCCCCTAATTCTTAAACGGTTTGAGCAATAACCCCCCAAAGCAAATCCTAACCATCCCTTTGTGGTATGGAAACTTGCAGCATAATTTCAGAGAGATCCATACACCGTTCCACAGTTATTGTCTGGAAACTAGAAAATGCTTATTTTTGGCCCCTTTTTGGCCCCTAATTCCTTAACTGTTGGTACCATAACCCCCAAAATCAATCCCCACCTTCCTTTTGTGGTATTAAACCTTATGGTAAAATTTCATAGAGATCCATTCATTTAAACTAAAGTTAGAGTGCGAAAACTAATGCGTCTTCCGACGACGACGACGCCAACGTCATACCAACATACGACCACAAAAATTTTTTTGCGGTCGTATAAAAACAGGTATGATACTTGGGAAGATAATTATGAAGCAGAAGTTACAAAATGATTATGGTTACTAAAAGGCTTCAAATAATCATGTGTTTGAACTTAAAAAAAAAGGATTTACTTCCAGAGTACAAAAATAAAATTAGAACATTGTTGATCTCTTCAGTCTTCTGTGCTGTTTTAATGCATTTTAATAGATCTATTCCCATCTAGAAAACATTGGTCATTCCTTTGAATAAAACTAAAAATTATCATAGTAATGGCTATGATACACATCCTTACAGCACAACAAAAATATTCGAATTCTGACCTAAATTAGTCAAAATTTACAGTATTATTAAATATCCTAAAATATTTTTTTGGGTCAATTTTATATAAAAATTACAAATTGATTTGTATGGCTTTTAGACACAACATTAACCATTTGTGAATCTACTCCTTGCATAATTAGTTGCTTTTTACTCAAAACTTTAGAAAAAAAAGTCTCAAAACCTTGACAGCTTCTTTGAGATGAAAAAAAGTTATAAACATTTATGCCGTTAGACTCCTTGAACTAAATTTACAAATCAGAAATTAGTCTAGTAAATTGGTCAATGAAAAGCAAAATGAAGGTTATGATACATTTTTGTAAAAGGCTAATAAAAGACTCTTTTAAAGAACTTAACAAGAGACCACTTGGTATTTATTAAATTCTTTTATAGGTTTTGTTGTGTTGCATGGTTGCTGTCACATTTAACATTTAGAGGACATTCCTTTTATTGATGTTACTTTACCAGTCCAAAAAAAATGAAACTAAGATAATGGAGACCTATTGTTTATTGGTTGTAAGAATACTCCATATAAATCATTGTAATTTGTTACTCGGAGTCAGTAAATTCTTGCAAGAACCAATCAGATGTAATCCGAGTGGTTGATTGACTGAAATGAACAACATTTTTCACATCTTAAAGTAAGAGGATGATCTATTAATAGCTTTACATGAATTTAAACTGTTTTGTTAAAGTTTAATGTCATTTATAATTATCATCTGTTGTCCTTTATTACTTTTTACTTCTGAAATATTTTTTTATTTTATTTTTTTTTACTGAGAAGAAAAAGGGGATTGGAAAAAATATGACCTAAAGAAAACAATCCGAAGTAATCTCTTCTAAAATTAACCATAATTAGAGATCTGTAAAAATAGGGTCTTGGTAATCTATTTGGACTTTTAAATGTAATCAAAGTAAACTATAGCATACAATATTTCTCTAGTGAATAATTGTGAAATGTCAAAAATAGTGATACTTTTGAATAGAGAATTGCCAATAGTACTTCAAAGTCATTCTCCTTTATCGACTTAACTAAAACTTATATAAATTTATTCCAACAGCAATAACCCATAGATTTAATTATCAAATAATTGTTATTCTGATGGTGTAGTTAAAAACACAAATCATCCCAACTAAAAACATACAAGCAGAAACAATGTATCAAAATTTGTCTATTAATGTCTTTATATAAAGGGTATTTAATCACTCCCCTATGCTTCAGAATTTTTACTTTTCCCCAACTCTATCAATAAGGAGTTACTGTGTTAGAACCCTATAAAAGTTTATTTAGTTAAAAAACAAATTTCTGATTTTGATTACTCTCTTAATTAAATATGACTTTACACACTAGTGGCATGCTACATTGAGATGTAAAAGATCTGTCATGCATGTCATGTTCAGGGACAAAAATGTACATCCACAGTATCTATGCACTGTCTAAGTATCTTATTGTAAGAATCAAAGCATGCATTACATTTATTCATATCTACAATTATATATATACAAAATTGGTTAATTCCACTATGTTACTAACTTTGTAAAAAGGAAAGAAAATAAATTAAATGCAATTGTGAAGAAGAAGGTTATGTGCAAAGAAGGCTGGAATGAAGAAGGAAGGTTTATGCTTGCTCTGTTATAACAGTAAGTGAAATAGATAGAACAGCTATGTGCAGGGTGTGACTAAACAGGACATTACAGGGAGTCAGACCCATTCAAATTCACTCACTTCTATAACTGGAGGCTGCATGACATTTTTCAGTATTAACATCCCTAAAACACTTAAACTTTTGGTTAAACTGAATAAACTATCTATATTTTCTGTCATGCAATCACCATTTTTATGAAGTCAGTAAATTTTAAATGTAAAATTTTGAGTCTACCTCCGACCCAACATAGAAATGAGTCTTGACACTCTGCAGTGTCCTCTTTTCCTTGCCAGACCCAGGTTTCATGGATGAATAATATCCTCCACCCATTGCATCTGACTTAGATGTATCTAATCCATCTGTTGCTTTATTTACTGAAATAAGAACAACACTTTTACAATTATTATTTATTTGAACACTATGTTGTAAAATTTTTAAATGAATTATCATTTCTATTGTGTAATATTTTTAACTGAAAAACGAAAAATTAACTTATGCACTGTTCAAAATGGTAAAGCTTAAATATGCCATATATATTACCTACAAAAATTATACTATACAAATTGAATTGTTGTTTACTTTAAAACAGAGTAATAATCCCATATATAAATATATATTTTATTTTAAACAAGGTGATTCATAAAATCCTACCACTATGAACGAAAGTTTTGAATAGAGTGGTACATGTTTTACTTTGTTATGTTGAAATATTTCCTATTTTAATTAGTGTTCTTTTACTGTGACTTGACTATAGGTGTTGCTGTTTACCTTTACCTATTGTTCAACCAGATTGTAAAATTGACAATACAATTGGGTCATTTAAATTGACCAGTTGGTATTGTTAGAGTTGAGTTTACCTTGATGCTACCTGTACAGTATTTCTATTCACCTAACACAACCTTACAGCATGCTAGGGAAGAAAATATTATTAGTTTTCATGGTTTAAAATCTGCAATATAGATGATTTATCAAATTTTGACCCAAAAATCTAAATCAGTAAAAGATTTTCTTAACTGCATGTTAACTTGTATGAAAATTTAAACTGTTTTTACATAATAAATGAATCTTTAAATTTTCAACCCTTATACATGGTATTGTCCAGTTGTCAGTGAAACAAGAAATAGCTATTCAGGTGTTTTCAGTTTCAGTTTTCAGACGGATATGTTATGCATTTCTTCATATATCCATTCAAATTTTTCATTTGGAATATTATTCAAAGTGTTTGAAATCTATTGGAATCAATGTGCATAACATATTGGGATTTATTTTATTTGAATTCACTTCTTAGATGCCATACAATTTTGCTTCTTAAAATGTGACTTGTTTTTTCCAAGAATGGATTGTCATGAATGTATCAAGGAGGAAATAATTCATTCAAAATGTTTTGTGTGGCTTATACATGATGATGTACATGTAAAATTCAAAATAATTTTGGAGTATACCTTGCAGTGTTTATCTTTGAAATTTATTAGGATTTTATGCATAATATTGGAAATAATCATTATAAAATTCTGGATCTTATATTGTTTAATAGGGACATATATCATAGGGAAATGAAATAAAAACTGAATACTGTGGATAAAGTCAAATCAAGTGATATAGTGAAAAAAAGTGAGGTTATTATTTTGAATATGATATTGGAATAATCAAAAATTACAAATTTCTGGATCTAATATAAAGACTAGGCACCTGCTTAATTGGGATATATATAATGGGAAATTACTGTTGAATGTTGATATAGAAAAAAATCTAGTAATAGAGTGAAAATGTTAGAAAATATTCCAGTAAGTTAATAAAATTAGGAAAATATTTTAAAATCATTTCAAATAGTGAAACTGGAATACTGGATGGGATATCAAATCTCAGCGTCAATAAATAAAAATTTATTCATAACTATTATTTTTGATTTTCACTATGCATAAACACTTTGTACAAGGCTCATGTCAATAAGTATTGAACAAATGTCTAAATGAAGGAATGCACACATTTTTTCTGGTGTTTATTAATCCTGGAAAATTATGGAAATTATGAAGTTATTCAGATTTCCACAAGAGTAACAAAAATATTTTGAGTTATCTCCCATTAGAAAAAGCCAAAGAGATAAAAGAGGTCTTTTCAACAATATAAAGGAAATCCAAGCACTTATAGTAATTGGCTATTAAAACATTGAGGAAATGTAGTGCATTATAAGACATGCAATTAAATACCCTGCAAAAAAAAAACATTCTTCTTCTGGCTTGCTTACTCCTAATTTGTGAAATAACAGTAAATAAAAATATATCTTTTTCCTTCTAAATTTTGTGTTCCTTTAGCAATTGTACGGTCAATTACTTCAAGGAATACATTAATTTCAATGAAAATAGACTGTAATTATATATAATAATTTATACTGTATGCATGTTATGTAATTTTTAAAACAAAGACAAAAATTGAAGCCTGAATGCCACACAGATCACTTTTGAAAGACTTATCCCAGTTACACTACAACAGTAACAATTGAACAGGTGAAGTGATAGGACAGCATCCAGATTGACTCTAAATGTATGAGTAATCATCTTTTCATCAACTCTAACAATACCAACTGGTCAATTTAAATGTCCCAATTGTATTGTCAATTTTACAATCTGGTTGAACAATAGGTAAAGGTAAATAGCAACACCTATAGTCAAGTCACAGTAAAATATACGTACGTGATCCTCTGTCTCCTTGTTTTTCTGATATAGAAAACTTAGTAGGACTATGATCACCTCCTGGTTCAGACTTGTGTAGATGAACCTAAAATTCAGGTTGTATATATTATTTCTTGAAAAAAACATGTGTGTTCTTTATTTACCTGAGTACTAATTCATCTAATTATACTGGTATTGAAACTTTATGAACTTATATTTCATGACAAACATATATTGTTCCAGATTTTGATATGGAAAATATTTCAATTTAAATGCTTTATCAGAAATTAATCGTCAGATCAAACAGGTTGTTATTCCATGTTTTAACTGCAAAATAAATTTTGTTCCAAAATCCTGAATCTTTCCAACAGTTGTGAATGTCTCTTTATGTTCTATTGTAGATTCAGTATTCAGTATTGATGTCAGACCTAAAGCTGTCTATGTTGAATTGTATAAATAACATATAAGAATTATCTCAATAATTAAAAACTGATTGCTACTGAAATTTTTCTCTCAAAATGACAAAAACTTACCCTTAAAAATGGTTTCCATGACAAATCTAAGTGTTTAAATGTATTAGGCACTCCCATTGGATTCTTTGGGCCTTTGTCGTCTGTTTTCTTTGTTAAAAGCTGACTTGGACCTTTTGGTGGTCGAGTATCCCAAAACAGAACACAACTAAAAAATAAAATAAATTTCCTGCAGATAAAAGATGTACAGTTGTAAACTCATTCATTTTCACCTTGTTACACCAACACTTATAAATTCTTCCTTGATATTACTTCAAACTAACATACTCATATGCTGCTAATATTTGGCATCATGATTATTTAATTTGGATAGAACCCTTTTATGATAACGTTTTTATTCAATACTCCACATGTTAAGGAAATAAAAATGTACAATACATCAAAATAATTGATATATACAACTTACTGTTTGTTAGCTCAAACATATAGGTGACATGTACAAATGACTGTAGAGAAAACAATGGATGCTCATTAAGTCATCTGCAAAGTCCTAAAATTTTGAGTAGGTTTGTCTTTTTTTTTTAAATACTGTGTAATATATATAGAAAACAATGCAGCCAAGTTAAGAGGGAACATATTTGTTACCTTGTATTATTTCATCTTCTCTACAGTTGTCTCGTTTATTTTATTTACATTACAGATATGCTGATCCTTGAGGTTGATTAAACCAACAAACTGAATATCTACTTACTAATCTGTTGCACATGTCATTAATTGACAATTCTGTAATGATTTGTTTTCTTGTGGAACACCCATTCTGTTAACCTGAATAAATACATGACAATTAATTCTACATGCATCTACAAATCTTAAAATATCTAGCACACAATGTTTTATAACACCTATATCTTCAACTTTACTTTTCATTATAAATTCTACCTATTTTCAGATTATATTTGTTTCTCTCTTTGTTGTCAAGCTAGTTTTCTATTTATCATATGAAGATATATTTATTGTATCACACTTAACATATTGTGATATGATCAAGTGATACCACAATTGTGTTAATTTAGTTGGCCTATCCTGCAATGCCATATGGCTACATTGTATTTTGTATGTATTTACCTCTTGTTTCACATGTCAATGTGACAGAGTGTTTTTAAATAAAGCATATTGTATTGTATTGTATTGTATTCCAAAGGTTGTTCATTAGGTCAATGATGACTAGAAAAGCTCAAAACAGACTACTTTTTCTCTATGGTAAGGGTTTGTTTACTTCAAGTTTTCATGATGTATGCTTTATAAATCAAGGATAACGAAATAAAGATACCATGTGCACTCAAGCAATAGCAAAAAGTAGTCATAATTGAAATTAATTTAAATTTCTCCACACTGAAGTTTCCTACATGTCTGTGTCTTAGCTATCAACAAAATGTGCCACACAAAAAGAATTTTTACCATAAGAGAAATAAATTAAACTCATGAGAATTGAAAATTGGTTGATATTGCACTCCTTGCTCAATTTTGATAATAATAATAAACTGAAGGTAGATAAACTGTATACCGCCATCTTGGATTGTAAAATAGCAGTACACGATTGGTCTAGTTCTAGACAGATTAGCAATTAATGTGCGAGACTGTTTATTTGAATAAAGAAAAATAAGTAATTTATTGCATTATTTAAACTGTTTTAACAAATATTTGTTTTTGTTTGAATCAATTTTTTAACTTAACCATTTAAGGGGAGAACACTCTAATATTAAAAATTTAATAAGGGAATGTTAAAGAAATTTACATTTTTTACTTGTAGCAAGAAAAACAGTTTAATGATTTAATGACCCAATTTTTCCTTTTAATTTCTTTAAGTATATCATTAAACCTATCTTCTCATATTTCAAAATTTTATCTCATAGATTTCTTTTTATTCACAAAAAAGTGTTTTTTCATGAATAATCTATGTAAAATTGGGCTATTTTGCACGACTTGTAGCTTTAAAAATAGCATGGGTACCCTTAATTTTTATTATATTTTCGAAAAAAGCATTGTAAAATCTACATTTTGGCAAAGAATAAGAAAATTCTATTTGAGGAAATATATATCGATGATCCAATTTAATAGACTCAATTTTCATCATATTGCAATTAAATAAGTTGATATCATGGGATATCCAATTCTCACTTGTTATAAAACATATAATTACTGCTTTATTTACTTTATTGTTATAAAGAAGTAGTACTCATTTGTTCTTTATTATTAAAATAAACCTTTTTTTTCTCTTTTGACCCAATAAATTATGAATGTTTCATGAAAACCTGGTTTTAAAATGGAAAAAAATATTGAAATTATTGATACTCTTTATGAGTACATGTTGAAAATATGTATTTTGATGATTCACCTTTTAAATGACTAAAGCTTGATCACAAAATACTCAGTAATAAAAACTTGTGTTTCCTGCATTAATCCCTGCTTACCTCCATATGATCTGGTACCCATAATAAATCTGTTATCGTAGCTTTGTGGCTATTTTCTATACTAGAAACAGCACAGTATCTGACTATTGGTGTTTTTAATGCATTGGGATCTTCAAAACCAGGCTGAAAAGATTCAATGTGAATAAGTTATAAGCAGTTTTAATACTTAGGTAAGGTCTTCATACTTATGTTAATTACATGATTCCATTTCTATGCTTATCTCAATCAAGAAACCTGTAGTTAAGCAATTGTTTTCCTTTTCCCCTGACTGTTTTTATATTTTACTGCTATGCTGACTTGTTCAATAAATAATGTAAATTATTTCATCAGAATGGTCTTACAATTATTTTGAGCGACTTTTATTGAAAACAATTTTTTTTTTAAACATATTACATTTATTACAGCAAACTTTAGGAAATAAAAGAAGAATGTGTCTGAGGAAACGAATGCCCCCGCTCAAGCTTGCTTATATGTAAAAATACTTTTGGGGTGGATAGAAGGACAGATGGGAAGACACACCGAAGGACAGACGGTCAACGGTAATACTTTATGCACCCATATTTCATTTAGGTCAAGCACTACTTATTCAAAGGGTAGTAGACAGTGTGGGCAACTCTTACCAAAACATTTGTTTTTTTATTACGATTTCCTCCTCTTTGTTGTTTAAGTCTATCAGCATGTGCAGATATATCCCATAATACAACTTGTCCATTGTAACATCCACCAGCTATAATGTTAGGATCTGATGGATTAAACTGGAAACTGTAAATATCATCAGGTGCTTCTAAAAGTAACTGTAAAAAAAAATAAATGACAATTAATCCATTCACTTCCAAAATATAATGAAATTATAGTACATCAGAACAACAGTATTGATTTACTTTTAAATGGTAATTTTTTTGGTTGAGAAACAGGTGCATTCTGCCTTCTAGTTCCAAAAAAGATTAACAATGTATTTCCTTTAAATAGGCCACTTCATGGTTATTGCAGCCATATCAAATAGGGGCAGACTTTTTGGATCGAGGGAGAAATAGTAAGTACGTAAAAATCTATACATGTTTCCTAGCAATTTTTCTGATTCAATGTTTTCCCTTGTTTTTCACAGCATTTTCACCTCCACCATGAAAATCTGCCCCCTATCTAATTATGGCTGCAATAACCTTGATAGGGCCTATTCAGTAATTAATGCGATGACTTTAATTTAAAAAAGTATGGTGTTTTAATTTTTGCTTTGATTATTCCTTTACAACATGTATATATAAATCCAATCAATAAAAATTGTTTGTGTTGATTGTCAAATTCCAGTATGTACAATCTTAAATGCAATTAACAAATTTTAAATTTACAGTCTACTAAACACTAGCTTAGAATAAGTTGCAGACATGGACTATAACAGCAAAATGCATGATATTTCATTTTTTCACGACTTGCAAAGTAATGTAACCATACCTGTGGATGTATAGGATCAGTAAAACTCCATATAAGTATCAAAGATGGTGTCATGATCACCTTTGCAGCTGAATCAATTCGGTCATCAAATGTCATTTTTTCTGCCACGGACACAGCAACCACACCTGAAACCAAGTATCATATTTTTAACATATATAAAACATACCATCATTTTGTAAGCCTGTGCCCTTATAAATGCTCATCCTGAAGTTCAATTTGTAATTTTCCATGATACAAAAAGATGCAATTAAATATTACATTTCAGTTTGGAAGCACAAGACAACTTTGTATACATGTACTTCCTAACATTTATATCAATTGTCATTCAAATAGTTATATTCCCGAAACACACAATTTTGATTTTGATATTGCTTCAATAATATCAGAAAGTAACTAATATAACAAGAGTGCACACGCTGAAATGTCTCGCCTTCTTCACTAACCATTGATTTTATGTTGATAGTCCTAAATATAAAGCTTTACTACAAGTAACACATAAACTTAATATGATCCAAGAAAATGAGGTCAAGGTCAGATAAACCAAACGAAAAATACATGTACACCTTACAATCATTCAATTAACCAAACATAGTTGACCTATTGCTTATAGTTTTTAAGAAACAGTCTTAACCAAGAAAACTTAACATTGACCAATGAACCATGAAAATGAGGTCAAGGTCAGATGAACCATGCCAGACAGACATGTACACCTTACAATCAATGTATGCATTAAATATAGTTGACCTATTGCTTATAGTATCTAAGAAACAGTCTTAACCAAGAAAACTTAACATTGACCAATGAACCATGAAAATAAGGTCAAGGTCAGATGATACCTGCCAGACAGACATATACACCTTACAATCCTTCCATGCAACAAATATAGTTGATCTATTGCTTATAGTTGAAGAAAAAAAGACCAAAACACAAAAACTTAAACTCTGAGAAATGAACTGTGAAAATGAGGTCAAGGTCAAATAAAACCTGTGAGACTGACATGTACATCATAAAATATTTCCATACACCAAATATAGTTGACCTATTGCATATAGTATTAGAAAAAAAGACCAAAATTCAAAAACTTAACTTTGACCACTGAACCATGAAAATGAGGTCAAGGTCAGATGACACCTACCAGTTGGACATGTACACCTTACAATCATTCCATATACCAAATATAGTAGACCTACTGCTTATAGTATCTGATATATGGACTTGACCATGAAAACTTAACCTTGTTCACTGATCCATGAAATGAGGTCGAGGTCAAATGAAAATTGTCTGACGGGCATGAGGACCTTGCAAGGTACGCACATACAAAATATAGTTATCCTATTACTCATAAGAAAGAAATTAACATTACAAAAAATGTTGACTTTTTTTTAAAGTAGTCACTGAACCATGAAAATGAGGTCAAGGACAATGGACATATGACAGACGGAAACTTCATAACATAAGGCATCTATATACAGAGTATGAAGCATCCAGGTCTTCTAGCTTCTAAAATATAAAGCTTTTAAAAAGTTAGCTAACTAGCTGTCGCCGGATCACTATCCCTATGTCGAGCTTTCTGCAACAAAAGTCGCAGGCTCGACAAAAACCAGTCCTGCATGACAGAAAAAGTTCTTGAACTCAACAATATGCTTCCTTTATGGCAGATTGCCTTATGTTCGGATAAATGCACCTGTTTTCTTTTTTCTTTTCTTATCAGTTCAAAATTCTATAATTTCTCATCATGACATATAAATAAATGAGATAAATAAAGCATATTTCTTGAGTATATTTCTTGCTAATGCTAATTGAGCAACAACAACAAAAACTTTGGATATTCATACCCATTCTTCCCAGAGATTATGATCTTCAACTTCAAATCTTATTTCACATTTAATTTCTTTTTAAATCCTAGAATTGTTTTACCCATAAACCAAGATTCAAGCTCATTCTTTTCTTTTTTTTTCCTGAAAATATTTTAAATTCCTCCCCTCTTACCTTTTATTGTAGGATGCCACTGTATGCATGTAATTCTCTTCTCTTTACTAAACTGTAGATCTGTAAATGACTGGTACTCCTGCAACATTCATTTCAATTTTACATGTGAACTTCATTCTGAAAATGCATCTGGGTACTAGACATTACACTATTCATGTACAACAATTTTACAGCGATAGATGTATACTACACATTTAAATTTCAACATTTATACCTTTAGAAAGTTGTACTCATAATTAAACTTGTAAAGTAACTCACTTTGAGATGATTGTCTGCTTTACTACCAAAGCTTTGGTCACCATCACCTAGATGTAACCAATCAATAAAGAATACATCCATAATCTCATTCTGTTGTAATGCAGCTTTAAATCGTGGGGTCACATCACTTATAAAGTTTGGTAAATTTTTGGAACTAAGGATGGCTTCTTTTTCTTGATTTGAAAACTCTCTGGGATAATATTGTGTATTAGCATTCCTTGGATATTTCCAATCAGTCTGTGTGCCTTCTTCTTGCAATGTTGGAATGGCCTAGAAAATAGAATAATGCTGTTCCATTTATATGTTTCAGTTCATGCATTACCTTTCATAAATACTGCTTACATTCAATCAATTTTAAAGCCATCAAAGGGTACGTAAATTTATTCTTATAATAAAATTTTTGTAAGTATAATTAACATAGCAAGATAATAAATGTGATTAAAAAAAAAAGAAACCAAAATTTAGTTAGTCAGATGAATTCAATAGATAAGCTGACGGCTGATAAATTTATTTAAGAAATGAATGCTTCTTTTTGTAATTTTATTGGGCTGTAAAAGTGTTCACATTTTGTATGAAGCGCAGAAGCGCTTCATTCTAAAAATGTGTGCACAATCAACACTTTTACACACCAATAAAATTACAAAAAGCAGCATTCATTTCTTATCATTACATTTTTAAGCTAATAAGACCATGAAAAACAGTTTTATCAAGTTTTTCTTTTATTTACCTGTGCACTATTTTTGTAGAAGCACGTATCATCACGAATGTAACATTTCATTTTGATATGAAGGTTAATTTTTGAATGACACACGATTGATGTTAGCCAATCAAACTAACAGATTCTCGTGAAACATACATTTAATGTAATTATTTAATGATAGATAAAATGAACAACAACAAAATATACCTGTGTGCTCTTGTCAAGTTCTAATTTCTTAAGATCAAACGTTCTATCATCATATCCTTTACATTCTATATAACCATCTTTGGTGTCTGCAACATTTCTGTCAGAGAAATTAGCAGGTCCTCCAAACTCTTTTCTGATTCTTCTAACAGAGACCTTAATCTACAATGAATAAAACAGAGTCTAATGATTATCTTTCCTTACTTTAACTTACCAGATGAAGAAAAATTGTAATACTTAACCTTTATTTCAAACTTGTGAATCAATATGATACATAATTAATCAAAATTCAATCAGAGGTACATAAGCACGGTTGTGACCAAAAAATACAGTGTGTATGAATATTTTCAAATCATTACATTCAACTCAACACTTTAAAAGGGCAAAAAAATAATGACATATATGTTTAGACCTAGCTGGGAAATACGATTGCGTTAGGTAAACGACAACCAAGCCTTTAAAACTATCCTGATAATGGAAATTATAGATTTTCTTTCTATAAAAAATAGACATGTTCAGATATAAAAGACACTTTTGGAACACTTGTACCTAACTAATGCTTTGTTGCACATTTTCTTTTTCAATGCCATTCTCACTACCCTGTAACATACCCTTCGTCTATTTTCCACAACATTTTCCTCTTTAATCTCCTTCTCACTACCAAGTGAGACCCATTCTTTAGATTCTGGAGGTGTATAGGTGTATATAATCTCTTCCTCTGCTTCTCCTCCTTCAGCCTCAGCATCCTCTACACCAGCCTACAATAACAAAATGTATATAAAGAAATCTGGTATTCACATTTAACATGTGCATAAAAAAACTTTTTTTTTTATATATCACATGGTCAATCGTACATTAATAGTATATTCCTTTCACAAATAAAATTTGCTCATCTAAATCTCTTGCAAAAATTAACAGACCTTCTCCTTCTTATACTTTGTGTTCCTTTAACTTTAAACTTTAACATAACAAATGTTAATGCAATTAAAAGATTTAATAAATGAAAGAAACATTTTTTTTTAGAATTTCCGCTAGAATCTATAAGAAAAACTGTTGGTGTAATGACAATTCATGTGAAGTGAAAGGGCTAATTGAAGAATAACCATGGAAACGTCCTGAATAAACAAATATTTTAGGTAAAATATAATACAAGGGAAATAAAGGAATATGTAGAACAACAACAAAAAACTGAAAGTGGAATACATATATCTTTCCAGCTTTTCTGTACAAGATAAACATGTAAAATAAAACTGGATATCAAATAACATGCACAGTGAAAAGAATAATTTGTTCTTCACAAATTTAAACCAGGGTAGTGATGAAAATGAAAATTTTAGACACGTTTTTACTAGCTGCATACACTGAAACTGTGAGATTAAATGTATATTACCTGAGGCATATTAACCTTGCAGACATAAAAACTTTTGAAATTAATATGTTTGTAGCTTTCCATTATGAAACTAGCATGTCAATATGTAAGTGTCAGGAATGAAAATTATTTTTAAAAATCCACTCCTCATTCATTATTATCTTATATATTTACAAAACAATGTGTATTGAAATGTAGATAATGACATTTAATCACACTATGACATATAAGTGAAATTCATAAAAATGTCTTTAATTCTAAAATCATTTTAAATTCATTCTTTTTGTATCTACAAAAGTATTCCTGACTTACACTCAATATCTTCTCTTTAGCTTCTTCTGTTAAGGCAACATAGAAATTCTGACCATATTTAAACTCTGAATCATATACCACCAGAATTTCATCTGTTGGGTAATTCTGAAATGTTAACAATACTAAGGTTGCAATAGGTCTGAAGCAATTGTCTAACAACTTTTTCAATATTTTTTGTATACTAGTATTCAAATACAAGCAATACTGGAAGTTTCAATGCATCCAGATAACTACCTCTGTAAAATCTGATTTTCCTTTAGCTGGAAAATCTTTATCCATTATGACACATATTAAAACAGAAAAATTAAAGCATGGAACAAAGGAAACTTGAAAATAAAATGAAAAAGTTGCAATAATTATACCAGCAGTTCACATTCTATCTGTGCCAATCACTAATCAAGAACCTGTATTCCAATGTCTGTCATTTTTTACTTATTCAGTGCTTGTCCTTCATAGATTAGACTGTTGTTTGTTCTTTTGAATTATTTTCACTTATTTTGAGAGGCTTTTCAAAGAATGGTGTGCTCTTTGTTAAAGCCAAGGCTGTTACTTTCAGATGCACACAATTCTTTCCTTAAAGCCTCTGATATGCACCTAGTTCACTGACATTTATAATGTATGTCCTCAACTTTATAGGTAAGGAGAGATATTTTGATCACAGATATATTCATACAACAAAACTTTAGAAAACATTATTCTAAACAAGGTATTTAAACATACAATAATATCCTGTTTGAGTGGAGCAAAATCACAGACACCAGCCCTCATCCTCAAATCTTCCATTATTTCATCTTTCGTAATAATTTTGATGGGATTTTCTATTGTGACATCTTCGTCCATTCTGCAATGGAAGATCTCCTGTGTTTTTGATGACAAAAACAATGGTACAACTCCCTCAGGAAGACCTTTATCAATAGATGAATAAATGTAAGTATTACTAACTTTTATAAAAGAATAAACAACTTACTTTAAAAACTAAGCATATACTGTGGAACCATTAATTTTTGTGGGTACCAACTTGCGTGGATTAAGGGAAAATGGTATTTTCATGGATATTTGATTTTTATAGTGTTGCAAAAATTTGTTTACAAGCCTATAGTCAATTATTATTTCGTTTAACATTTAAATCAATCTGTGGTTTCCCTCTACCCACTTAACCAACGAAAATTGGTACCCCTCAAATATTAATGAATCTACAGTATTACTCAACTATGTGTAATTATGAGAAATACATCATACCTATATAAAAATTATCCTATATTACTAGTTCTAACTTCTTACTAAGTATTATCTTGTATAGGGTGTTATTTAATCTTGTATACAGCATTATTTTATCTTGTATACAGCATTATTTTATCTTGTATACAGCATTAATTTATCTTGTATAGAGCATTATTTTATCTTGTATAGAGCATTATTCATATCTTGTAAAGAGCATTATTTCATCTTGCATAGATCATTATTTTATCTTGTAAAGGACATTATTTTATCTTGTATAGATCATTAATTCATCTTGTAAAGAGCATTATTCATATCTTGTAAAGAGCATTATTTCATCTTGCATAGATCATTATTTTATCTTGTAAAGGGCATTATTCATGTCTTGTATAGAGTATTATTTTATCTTGTATAGATCATTAATTCATCTTGTAAAGGGCATTATTCATATATAGAGCATTATTCATATCTTGTAAAGAGCATTATTTCATCTTGCATAGATCATTATTTTATCTTGTAAAGGACATTATTTTATCTTGTATAGATCATTAATTCATCTTGTAAAGAGCATTATTCATATCTTGTAAAGAGCATTATTTCATCTTGCATAGATCATTATTTTATCTTGTAAAGGGCATTATTCATGTCTTGTATAGAGTATTATTTTATCTTGTATAGATCATTAATTCATCTTGAAAAGGACATTATTCATATCTTGTATAGAGTATTATTTTATCTTGTATAGATCATTAATTCATCTTGTAAAGGACATTATTCATATCTTGTATAGAGTATTATTTTATCTTGTATAGATCATTAATTCATCTTGTAAAGGACATTATTCATATCTTGTATAGAGTATTATTTTATCTTGTATAGATCATTAATTCATCTTGTAAAGGACATTATTCATATCTTGTATAGAGTATTATTTTATCTTGTATAGATCATTAATTCATCTTGTAAAGGGCATTATTCATATCTTGTATAGAGTATTATTTTATCTTGTATAGATCATTAATCCATCTTGTAAAGGACATTATTCATATCTTGTATAGAGTATTATTTTATCTTGTATAGATCATTTATTCATCTTGTAAAGGGCATTATTCATATCTTGTAAAGAGCATTATTTCATCTTGCATAGATCATTAATTCATCTTGTAAAGGGCATTATTCATATCTTGTATAGAGTATTATTTTATCTTGTATAGATCATTAATTCATCTTGTAAAGGGCATTATTCATATCTTGTATAGAGTATTATTTTATCTTGTATAGATCATTAATTCATCTTGTAAAGGACATTATTCATATCTTGTATAGAGTATTATTTTATCTTGTATAGATCATTAATTCATCTTGAAAAGGACATTATTCATATCTTGTATAGAGTATTATTTTATCTTGTATAGATCATTAATTCATCTTGTAAAGGACATTATTCATATCTTGTAAAGAGCATTATTTTATCTTGTATATATCATTAATTCATCTTGTAAAGGGCATTATTCATATCTTGTATAGAGTATTATTTTATCTTGTATAGATCATTAATTCATCTTGTAAAGGACATTATTCATATCTTGTATAGAGTATTATTTTATCTTGTATAGATCATTAATTCATCTTGTAAAGGACATTATTCATATCTTGTATAGAGTATTATTTTATCTTGTATAGATCATTAATTCATCTTGTAAAGGGCATTATTCATATCTTGTATAGAGTATTATTTTATCTTGTATAGATCATTAATCCATCTTGTAAAGGGCATTATTCATATCTTGTATAGAGTATTATTTTATCTTGTATAGATCATTTATTCATCTTGTAAAGGGCATTATTCATATCTTGTAAAGAGCATTATTTCATCTTGCATAGATCATTAATTCATCTTGTAAAGGGCATTATTCATATCTTGTATAGAGTATTATTTTATCTTGTATAGATCATTAATTCATCTTGTAAAGGGCATTATTCATATCTTGTATAGAGTATTATTTTATCTTGTATAGATCATTAATTCATCTTGTAAAGGACATTATTCATATCTTGTATAGAGTATTATTTTATCTTGTATAGATCATTAATTCATCTTGAAAAGGACATTATTCATATCTTGTATAGAGTATTATTTTATCTTGTATAGATCATTAATTCATCTTGTAAAGGACATTATTCATATCTTGTAAAGAGCATTATTTTATCTTGTATATATCATTAATTCATCTTGTAAAGGGCATTATTCATATCTTGTATAGAGTATTATTTTATCTTGTATAGATCATTAATTCATCTTGTAAAGGACATTATTCATATCTTGTATAGAGTATTATTTTATCTTGTATAGATCATAATTTTATCTTGTATAGAGCATTAATTCATCTTGTAAAGGGCATTATTCTATCTTGTATAGAGCATTATTTTTCCAGTTTTCAGCATATTCTCCTGTACTACTATCAGATTACTTACATTCCTAAACAGCAAAATCATACAACCAAATAATTAATCTGTGTTCAAATAATGAGTCCAGTTATAACTATTTAACTAAAATCAAATACTGTTCCATGTTGTATATCCAACATATCCTACAGAAAAAAACTAATCTAAAAAAAATGTGTGTATACCTTCCTCCTCGGTAGCCTCAGCATCTGTTGGTGTTTCAATCTTTGGTTCTTCTTTTTTCTTTTTGTCACCTCCTAAAAAAAAGCCATGTCAAATTGTGATAAAGTAGGTTTCACTAAAACATTTTATAATTCATTGCTTGTTTAACAGCATTGCTGTCAAGCATTTATCATCAGATACTCAGTTATTTAAACAATAAAGATTTTTTTTGTTAAGTTTGTTTTAATGTTTACCCTTGAATTTGATCCTATAAAAAGTGAAGCATATTATAGCAGTTATATATATTTACAGTTGAAACAGGAGTTTAACGTTTTTCAATAATTACTTCATTAATCTTTAAGCATTTTATGACACCACGTGGTCAAATTGTTTGTCCCACATAAGTTTATTTAAAATTCCATTCAAAACTATATACTCAGTTCTTATTCAATTGTATGAACAGGAAGTTTTTATTTTCAAGTTTTTTGTCTTTATCTAACTGTGAACACGTTTTCCAATTTCCTATATAAATGTTTACCTTTTCCTCCAGCCTTTGCAGGTGCTTTGCCAGGAGTAGGACTTTTAGCTGGAGTAGACTTGCCCTTTGCACTATCAGGTTTCCCTTTAGCGCTACCAGGTTTCCCCTTGGCACTGTCAGGTTTACCTTTAGCACTGTCTGGTTTACTCTTAGCACTGCCTTTTGGAGACTTTTTGCCTGCAGCTGTGTCCTTTTAATAGAAATCAATTTATCTTTATATTTTAAAATGTCGAAATCAGCTTTTTTTTCAGAGAAACAAAATAAAAAAAAACCTCTCAGATCTGTACTTAGTGTCTTTTTTGTTGTTGGGATGTATAAATACTCTGCCACATCCGGTCTTTTTAGACCTATGTTTTCCTGCTTTGGATTGATCTGATGAGTTAAGTCCTTTTCAACTGACTTTTATAGTTTATGTTGTACTGTTACACCACTGTCCCAGGTTAGGGGGAGGGTTTGGTGCCAACAAACTGGTTTAACCTCCCCCCCCCCCCCCCCCCCTCAATTCTGTATGTGCCCGTCCATAGTCAGGAGGCTGTTTGTCATTCAGTGGTTGCTGTTTGTTGCTTTATATTATATTTGTTTTTCGTTCATTGTTTTGTACATATCAGGCCGGTAATTTTCACATTTGAATTGTTTAACATTTGTCATATCGTGGCCTTTTATAGCTGAATATGTGGTATGGGTTTTGCTCATTGTTGAAGGCTGTACAGTGACCTATAGTTGTAAACTTCTATGTCATTTGGTCTCCATAGGAGAGTTGTCTCATTGGCAATCATATGATATTAACAGATTTACTGTAATGACTATTGCACAATAGGTAACCATAGAAACGAACTATTACCTTATCTTTCTCATCCTGCTTGGCATTCTCTTTCTCTTTGTCTGATGAATCTTTAGTCTCCGGCTCAGGCATTTTTCTTCTGTTCTATGCCCTAAAATTGGCAACAAAACTTACATATTTTGTAATATCAGAATTTGTATATCTATTGAATATATTTCTTCATAACAACAGTTTTCTTTTCCGGACCATGGTTAAAAGAAAAGTTTAGATGTAAAAATATGCATCAAACACGTGCATCGCTAAAACGACTGCAAAGTATCCACTTCAAAACAATTATTTCTATCAAAATTGTAAATAAATCCTTCAAGTGACATATGATGCCATTTAATCCATTCCTTTATTAATTAGTCCATTGTTGCCGATAGCTATAAAATGCAATCAGCTGATTATTGATTTTCTATCAAAATCGTAACTAGTTCAAGGTTACTGATCAGGGGAAAAGTCCAAGAAACCAGAAAAAAGGACACAAGATGGACGAAGTCGAATCATTATATTTCTTTCGCCACAATTTTAATTTTTCCGCAAAATGCGAAAATGACGACTGCCAGCGGAAACCATGACCAACTTTTCACGTTTTTCTGAAAGATTAATGCGAACGTCAAAACTGCTGACAGAAAGGTTGTTTTAGTTAGGGTCAGGGTTGAAATGATTAATCTTCAAATAAAAAAAACAGATATATTTAAATCATCCAGTTGATAAAACACTGTAATTGATTGTGAAGAAATACACTATAACTGTAAATTGATGTTATTCCAATAGGTTACATACAGTTGCAGACTACAAATATGACTCCATAAATTACTGAAGCCCAAGTCCGTCAAATTTGTTGTGATTGCAATATAATTTTATCTAATAAATGACAAATAACAATTCATATTCTTTTAAATTTATTTTATTTTGTTATATATTTCAAAATATATGTAAATAGCAAATACAAGTTATTTATAGTATATTTCAGTCAGGATTCTACTTCGTCAAAATTATCTCCCCCTTACGCCAGTCAATTTATACAATCGTAAAAATGGAAGCCATTGTAGGGATGACGCGCTGCCGATTTAGCTCTTGAAAACCAATAAATTTATGCACATAGCACTATTACGATCCTTATATGCCAGTTGTATTTTAAAGGAAAAATGTATCTACTAGCTACTGAGCATCATTTAATGTACTTTTTTGCATTTAGTCAACTTAAAACTATTGTCTGATCGGTTGTCAGGTGGAATTTTTGAAAGTTCAAAAACATTTAAAAAATTCTAATTAAATATTTTGTGGAGGGGCAGACTAAAACTTTTCAGAGGTTGAAGACTAATAACCCTAGATAACATACACAAAAAATGAAGTTTTTTTGAAGTTATGCATTTTTAAGATCCAGTTGAAAAGTCTGTCGTCAAGTACTTTTAGTAAAAATTTGTTATTCGAACACACCTACTCTGTTGTTATGACTAATTAGAAAGGTATTTCACTTGACCCATATATTTCATTATTTAGTACTGTGATTTTTTTAATGTTATTAAATCAACCTGTAGCCTAAATATATAAAAATAATAGAATCTGAAGCGAGGTGATGTGTCAAATATTTTTGCTTTATCCGTTTTCAAGACAGAATAGTCAACTCAAACACGCCGGAACATAAAAAGGTGCACTCGACTTTCTCTTTTCGATGCTATTATTGCCCATTTTGCGGATTTTTTCCCAAAAAGCTATCGCCGGGGGCAGAGATGCAAATTAATGCTTTAGAAAGATCAATCTATTATCTTTCTGTGGAATTTTTTTCGGCGGAATTTATGCTTAAGCACAAAAAAGATCCACTAGGATTTGAACCTGCCACATTGATTGATTTATGAAAATTTGTCTATAATTTAAAAGTTTACAAATATCTTGAAGCTCTATACTATAATTCAAGTAAAAACACATATATAAGATGCATAAAATCCTAAATTATGCACCTTTATTAAACTTTTAAAGCCCATAGAAACCGATGTAAACAATTCAAATATACAACAAAAAGTTCCATTTCTTTTGTTTAATTTCAACTGGGTTTCCGCCTGTATATATGTTTCAGAGTAAACAGACAAACGCGAAAATAGTTGAAATGAATAGAAAACAAGAAAATAACAGATTTTGGAAAAAAAAGGGGGAGGGCTAAAAAAAATGTGTCCTGTCCCAAGTACGATGCTGCGGCTCTTTTCACAAAAAATCTTAAGAGTAAGATTTTTTGTGAAAAGAGGCGCTGTCACTGAAGTGTTATTCAAATGTCTGAATACAATAGACGTATTTACACTTGTATGCAAATTTATCCGCCATTACGTAAAATCACACAGGTTCCCGTAAACTTTAACATCATAATTCAAAACATTTGACGTCACAATTAAAAAGTGATTGTTGCCTGACGTCAAAAGGTGATTCGGAGTAGATCTAAGGTCATTCGGAGGCAAAATATAGCTAAATACCAAAAGTGTAAATACGTTAATGGGCGACAAGAAGCACAGGCACTTGTTTCTATTTTATCCATGGAAAGGTCGACTATCCATTATGACCATAGTCGACTTCCCATGGATTTTTAGGATAGAAACAAGTGCCACAAGAAGTCCCTTTTTTGTACAAACATGTGTACGACTACGAGGAAAGTTCATGTCAACAAATATTTACGTTTTCTGTCTAGTTACAGGTATACTTGGTATATTTAGATGTATTTCATTGTTTTTACTTATGCTTACAAGAATATACTATTAATGAAATGTCCTGATAAATTTTAGCGTCTTTGGACCAAAAATTGTGGCTATGAGTTGATCTGGATCTTTCAAATGAGATTTGTTTTCGTGTTGGCGTCCATTATTAAAGTTCCCGTATGTAAGCAATGTGTGTTTCCAAGAGCAACAGATCAAAATTTTAATTTATTTTATTCAAATATGGCACGAAATGAAATGTTATGATGATATAAACCATTTAACAAGCAATACTGTTATTTATGTAAATGAACAAGTATTATTTTGGTGTTTGAAATCGGAAAGTATAAATGGCGGGAAACTTAAACAGGTGCTCGTTTTTCTTGTATGAAGGTTTTGATGGGGTATATCCTGGGGGGGGGGGGGCTACTTCATATATAGAAGGTGATTGTGTCAACGTATATTTGTTCCGCCTAACAGAATTTCCACTGGAACTTTGTTATAAGCTATGCCATAATATCTATTCCTGTTGGAACAAATATTCTGTAACCTTTATTGGAACTTGGAACATGTATTAGGAAGGAACTTATATTTCGTGATAGGACGTGCCGCTGGAATATTATAGGTCACACTTTACAGCTTGAAAATATGTGATGATAGGTTGGGAAAACTATCAGAAGTTATGATGAGGTCAATAAAGTTCCCATTACTTGTTATATGAAAAGCCCTGTAATTTTTCACAGCCGAAAGTCTGTTACATAAGGAATCTGAGCTCCGAGCAAAGGTGATATTTGGTATTCCACTTTTTCAACACACCACACGAAACGGCCTAACCAATATATGGTAAAAGGTTAAATTTTTACCTACGTAAGACATGAAAAGGTATACATTTTTAAAATCTAAATTATATGAAAAGGTTGGGGTAACAGAACCCATCGGCACCCCTATCAATTAAGTATTTAAGTCCCCCCCCCCCCCCGAGGGCTTATCATATGCAGATATATACACATATATGCATATTTGTCTCTGAGTTTATTGTGTACATAATAGAGAATAATGGTCAAAAAGTGCAGAATAAAGCCCCCCTCCAAACAAAAAAAATAGGGAATAATGGGGTGCTTAAAGAAGAGAGAATCATGAATTGGCAAAAAAATATAAAGAATAGAGAAAAATGACACAAAAAATTAAAGAATACAGAAATGAAGGACCCCCACCCAGACACTCTTATATTCGTCTTTAGGATTAAGGGGGTATCGGTTTTTATCGAGACATTTTTGTATTAACGTTAATTAAAACCAGCAGTAACATTCAGGAGTCAGTTTTACAAAAACACTTACGACTAAGATTGATCGTAAGTATACTGAATTGTTCATGACTTACGACTAAAGTTTTTTTGTGAAACCGACTCCTGAGGACACTAGATATTTTTTTTCAGAAATCAATATAGTTCAATTTATCTGTTATTTTCTTTTACTAATTCTGTTTTACTAAATTTGAATAAAAACCACTTATATCAGTGAATAAATTTACAATCAAACAATTTGGATAAAACAAAAGATGAATGAATGGACGGTGCCTTACAAGGTTTTGAATTTAAAAAAAATCAAACTAGTTTTTTCTATGAAAACCGGATACATTAGGGGCGATCATTTCATATGGGTTGGGGAGGGGGGCGCATGAGGATTTTGTTTACGGATTGACTATACTCATTTTCATCTGCTGAAACACATGATTATTTTTCTGCGGAATGTTGCAGAATATTCATTTTCATCCTGTCTTGGGCTTAAGTTCCAGCTCTTAACAAGCCAGCCTCGATAATCATTTCAAGTTCTACCCCCCCCCCCCCCCCCCCCCCCCCCCCGCCAAAAAAAATTGTCCCCTAAAGAATATTTTGTAAACTGGGACATAATATATTGAAATTATTATTTATATTATAATCTTCCCAGATCAATGTTTATATATGACGCTTACGTGTACTTAATATAAAAACCATAAGCAAGATGTGGCCAGTATATGGTTGCTATCAGGACAATCAAAGTTCTATCCATTAAGCTTGATCAAAGCACCGAGATTGGTCCGAGTTCTGACGTACTTTAAAGGACTTGTTGTGGCTGTGGGCGGGTTTTTATGACTTGTTTAACAGTTAATCGTGGGATCCACGGCCTCAACAAGTCATACAATTCGGCCACTAGACGTCAGAGCAATCTCGAACTACACAGAGATATGCATGCAATTAAAATAACGAATCCTTAATCTACATTTATTCAACACTGTTACAGTGTAAATAGAAATTATTTTCATCATCAACAATTCTCTTGACAAACTGGGCAAATCCTGTTGTTTCTTGGTAATATTAGTAACAAACAAACTATCTTATTTTTATTCAGTATAAAATCCAAACAAACTATCTTATTTTTATTCAGTATAAAATCCAAATTTATTTCCACTTTTGTACACAACTTTTCCCTGCATTTTGTGTTGGAGAATAATCATTTTCATCCTGTCTTGTGCAAGGTTATTCAGGGGCGGATCCAGAACCTCGAAGTCTGGGGAGGGGGGGGGGGGGCACCATGAAACCAAAATTAAAGATTTGTTTAGATATGTATATATGCGAGTGTGGGTGGTGGTGGTGTCATGTATTGGGGATGATGGTGGTCGTGGAGGGGGGGGGGGGGGGGGGGTCAGGTCTTCATTTCTATATCTTTTCATTATTTTTTGATCCATTTCTTTCTAATCTTTTATTTGCTGCCATATTGTCCTCTATTCTTTATAGTTCATCACACCTTTAATCTGTTTTCTATATTTTTTGGGCACATTTTTTTCTAGTCTTTACTTTTTTACCATTATTCTCCAATCTGTAAACCCCATTCATACCCTCATTCACTGTAAACCATTCATACCCTCATTCATGGTAACCTATTCATACCCTCATACATGGTAATTAAAACAAGAAAAATGGCAAAATTCCCAAATTTCTATAACGTACTTTTAAAAATCCTTTTGTAATGACTTGAAAGTATTATATTGAAGCTTGGAAGATACTATTTTCCAAGTATAGACAGTAAAACAAACTTGGCAGTGAACAACGGCAAACGGGATTCCGAAAATATATAATATAATATATGTGTTCTTGTTTGAATCTTTCAGACCGTCATCATTTCAAATTTATTTGATTATTTTATTATAGAAAACGACCAGAATTTGCATATTTGGCTTCTTTTAAACATCTCCTTATACTTTCATAATTAATTCTTATGAAAATATTGGGCAGATTATGTAAACCTTACAAAAGAAGATTGTTACCAAACAGGATTAGGGTCTCAAACAAAATGATAAAGTTTGTTGTAATGCATGCCTGATACATATACGGCATTAGACTCGACTTTTTTTAAACAACACAAGAGATTTAATTTTTAAGTATTTGGACATCATTCGGATACGGTGGTTTTAATTTCACCAATCTATAAATACGTACGTTTTTCATATAAATTTTCAAAATCGTCATGTTCATTAATTACCACATATCTGCCAGAAATTATACATTATAAGCAACAACAAAAAGCAGATGGCAAAGGTGGGTATAGGGGATCAAGACCCTTATAGAAACGTTGAAGATTCGGGAGATGAGTCGAGAGAGGAGGCCTTTAACAATAAGTTGTAGAATATAACGCAAGATGGCGGAAAAAAAAAAAAAAAAACTTAATTAAAAAAATTATAATTAAGAACACTTTGCGGCCAGTTTCCCTTCCTAAATTTGTAACATTTGGATTTGAAGTTCCTCAGCTAATTTGTGGACATATGGTTTGTGTTTGTCTAGCTTTCATTATTTACCGAGAGAATTGCATTGTTACATTTATTTTTATGCAATTTTAAGTACGACTCGATTTTGTATACAATCATGTGCGATCTACTCTATTTATTTGCATTAAATATATTATGTCCGTTTGAATTTGACCAGTGACTTAAATTCAAAAGTGTAATTGTTTGCTACATATATATATATATATACCAATCCGGCGAGTTTGTTGATATATGTTTCCTGCACCTCTCAGAGATAGTTCTCTGATGGCAAATTTCAAACCAACTTTACACAAAAACCATATAGCCAACTATTCTCTACCTTTGCTATATTAAGAAGAAAATTATAACATTATTAATTATGGTAATTCACTTATTACTTTTTTCCGGAACGTTTTTTTTTTTTTTTTTTTTTTGAACTTAAATTTATAGTATCGTCCTGCCAAACATTAAAGAGTTCTCATTTCTATATGCAGTGTTTGCAAGGGGATTATTGTTTTGCCTATACATGTATAAGTAATCTCAAAATCATCAGAGCACGAAAAAACCACACGCTAAAGAAGATCCAATATATAGTATTGTACAACACAGAATAAATTTCTTGTTTTACATTTACTTAGATTTTAAAATTCAACTAGCAAACTTTTAGAGTAAAATATGTTAACTTCTCCCAACGAAAAGCATGCATTCCGATTCAAACAAAACATTATCTGAAACTGACACTATTAAGATGTTTGACTTCTCGATTTACGACAGATTTGTCACGTTTTTGGAAAACGTGTATTTCAACAAACTATCGGCATTCCCAGGGAACCATCTGTGCTCCTATTCTTGACGACTTGTTCCTTTATTCAAACGAGGCTGACTTCATACAGAAGCATATTAGGAAGAAAGTAAAGAAGCTAGCATCATCCTTTAACTTCACGTTCCGCTACAAGATGATGTCCTCTCAGTAAATAATTCAAAGTTTGGTGACTATGTTGAACTTATCTATCCAACCGAACATGAAAAAAAGATACAACAGATAAGTTAAGTCTGTCTCATATCTTGACTTACATCTAGAAATTGACAATAAGGGTCGGTTGAGAACAAAAATTTACGACAAAAGCGAGGATCTCAGCTTCCCAATTGTGAACTTTCCATTTCTATGTATAGCAACATTCCAGCAGCGCCTGGAAAAGGAGAAAATATCTTCCAGTTGATACGATATTACAGAGCTTGCATTTCTTATCATAATTTCCTTGACAGAGGGTTGCTGCTTACAATGAAGCTTTTAGAAGATCCAAGTGGTGAAGTTGAAATCACCCCTTCGAAAATTTTACATGCAGACGCCATCACGAGTTGGTTGACAGTTATTGAATATCAGGGGTCTGTTGTTAAACT